GCAAAAAACTGTAGATGTATTAAAGGTTAAGTGAAAGTATTATTAACCCAATCCAAAATAAATAAATAATAAATAAACAAAATAAAAATGGAATGGAGTATGGGACTCGTTCACACACTCATGACTATTAACATAATATTAAAGACGCACAACGAAGACACTCAATAAAAGAAAACTTGCTGGTTTTGTTGAATGACTTGGTAATAAACATTGTATGCTGGAGATGTTCATCGTAATAGCAAAGTTCATACATACAAAACTCCTCATTTTCACCATTCCCTCAGTTACCAGTCTGCCTTAGCCCTGGTTGCTCTGAATCATGTGATCCACCCATTCCATGTGAACTATAGTCTGTTCCCAAGAGTTCATAGTGAAGGCAAGCCACTAACCAGTAGCATCTGATACCAATAAATGCATGGCCTTCAATTTAGATGCCTATGATTTTGTAGGAAACCTGAACAATGCTGGAACGGTATCTGATGGCTGAATTCGCTGTTGAAGTGTATGTTTGGGTGTGTTGTGCAGCTTGGTAAATGACTGCAGATGTTGGTTAGTCTGTGTGATGTCAGTCTCATGGCCTTTTGAAGAAACTGTGTGCATCACCACAGTAACACAGTATCTTGAAGGTCATTTGTGTTTTTTTATTCGAGGCTGAATGAGATCTGAGCTGTAAGAAATTCAACATCCATTTGCATTTAAAACGCTGGATTTCAGCACCGTCTTGTACTTGAGATGTGAAATGAAAATGGCCGTGTTTACTTTTGGAATTTACATTCTTGGTCCTTTTATGCATTATTCATCAATATATACAAGTACTCAAAACTTGCTGAGTTATGTTACATGCGGAATTATATTACATAGAATTACATGCAAATTACATACAACACACAAGTTCATATTTGTGTTTTACAAAAAGGATGTCCGCTGGGTTTTAAAAGGTCTAAAAATGTCTAACAGTTCCAAAACAGAATATTAGGGCTTTAAAAAGTCTTAGATTTACTGAAATATTGGGTTGTAGGTCTTCTTATGTCCATGTAAAGCTATCCAATCAGGCCAATTTTATTTATATATATATATATATATATATTTTTTTTTTTTTTTGAAAAACAAAATAATTAACAACATAATTTATTTTCATAAATGTATTATTCGTTGTTTATTTGCATTAGTAAATACATTAACTAACATTTAACCACTTGTCTGGCATTGTAAAGTGTTAAATAAAATAATTTTACCTGGCTTAGACTTCCAGAAAAAAAAAAATCATGAGAACAGATGAAATTGACGATTGCTTTGACTAGAGTCCAGTAAACCCTGTTCTGAATGGTTGGTTACAGAGAGAGGTCAGATACGGTGGCTTTTATTGGCTAGGAGAAAGGGGTCAATAAATGGAGCTGTTCCCGTTAGCACATTAGAGAAAAGCAGGAAACAGCAGCAGTGGTTTAACAGGAAGCTGAGTGGGGTTTCACTTTTTCATCAGACTGCTGAATGTGTGCGCGAGCCAAGGGGATGTGATAGAATGGCAGGAAAAAGTGCTCAGAATAGGAAGTGAGATGAGAGAAAGGCACAGAAAGAGTCTAGAGGAGGGGGAAGTCTGTTTTTAGCCTTAAAATGCTGTTTTATCCTTTTGAAGAACCCATCTTTTCCTCTGGCAGTGTGTTGATGCTGTGATTTGATACCAATCATGCATTAACAGTGACTGGTATGTTTGTAGATTCCTGCATAATCTAAATTTAATTATTCTTTTTACTATTGATATAGTAAATTTGTATTTACATAATATTTTTAACTAAACAGGGCACTTTTAGATTAAGGGTTAATAAAATTATTTCTTTAGAATTTGGGTTTTCTGTTTTAACCAGTTTATTAAATTTATCATGGTGAAAATATTAATAATAATGTGTTTTCCCAACTTTTCTAATCAAATCTCTTGATGCCATTTGATGCAGGCAGACAACTTGCCGCATGATGAAGCTTACAGAATGCAGTTATATGCCCTTAAAATTCCAGATACCAATTCAAGATGAGTTTTTGTGTACTGTTTGTATTATATTAACATAACATTTACATAGTACATTTTTAAGTGTTAGTAAGAGAACAAAACAGCTTTTTAATTTGGCTCATCACTTCATTAAGTCAGTTTAAGAAAAAAAAATCATTGGGGAAACTTTATTCTTTCTCATATTTACACGCCATATATTTGATATACTGTATTTAAGTCCAGAGATGTCAAAAAAAAACTTCTTTAAAATATGACAGATTTGCTAAAAGAAAAAATGGATAAGTAGTATAATGATGCATATTCAAGTAAAATCCTGCGCCATTGTGTCTCAGGGCTTTTCGGACTTTATTGACTATAGACCTTTTTAACGAATTTAATGAATATTTTATTCATTCATTATATAATTTTAACGCCTCGACATTTACTGTCACCGTCTGGTACAATTTAGTATTTTCATATCAATAAAAATCAGACAGCTTAACCATTCAATTATTCATTTTCATGTCGGCTTAGTCCCTTTAATAATCCGGGGTCGCCACAGCGGAATGAACCACCAACTTATCCAGCAAGTTTTTACGCCGCTGATGCACTTCCAGCCGCAACCCATCTCTGGGAAACATCCACACACACATTCACACACTATGGACAATTTAGCTTACCCAATTCACCTGTACCGCATGTCTTTGGACTGTGGGGGAAACCGGAGCACCTGGAGGAAACCCACGCAAAGGCAGGGAGAACATGCAAACTCCACACAGAAACACCAACTGAGCCGAGGATCGAACCAGTGACTCAGCGACCTTCTTGCTGTGAGGCAACAGCACTACCTACTGCGCCACTGCCTCGCCCTAGCTTAACCAATAAATGAAAAAAATTCTGTGATCATTTACTCAACTTGAATGTCTTTATCTTATCTCAAACCTGCATAGATTTCATGCTTTTGCAGCAAATGAAATATATTTCCCTTAAACAAGGAAACTGTTGTGGAGATACTGTAATGAGTTTGCAAGTATACAGTTAAAGTCAGAATTATTAGCCCCTCTAAAGTATTAGCTCCCCTGTTTATTTTTTCCTCCATTTCTGTTTAACGGACAGAAGATTTTTTAACACATTTTTAGACATAATAGTTTTAATAACAAATTTTTAATAACTGATTTATTTGATCTTTGCCATGATGACAGAAATTAATATTTTAGTAGATATTTTTCAAGAAACTTCTATACAGCTTAAAGTTACATTTAAAAGCCTAACTAGGTTAGTTAGGTTAACTTGGCAGGTTTGGGCTTTTAGGCAAGTTATTGTTTAACAATGGTTTGTTATGTAGACTATCGAAAAAAATATAGCTTAAAGAGACTAATAATTTTGACCTAAAATGTTTTTTAAAAAATTAAAAACTGCTTTTATTCTAGCCAAAATAAAACAAATAAGACTTTTTCCAGAAGAAAAAATAAGATCAGACATATTGTGAAAATTTCCTTGCTCTGTTAAATAAAAAAGAAAAAATTAAAAATTAAAAAAAATTAAAAAAATTAAAAAAGAAAAAGCCAAATGCAAACACTACCAGATCACTGTTGAGATCACTTTCTTTGTTTTTCCTGAACTAGTCTGCAGTAATAAAACAGGGAGAGGGGTCTGGCTGCAGACTTGGTGCAGTGCAATCTGAGCTGCATCCAATGCTTTTTAATGTGCTCACCTAACCCCACCCCTAACCCTACCACTCACAGTGATGTCACTATAACTCCATTAAGTGCATTGTGTCTGACATTGCATCTCTGAAATATGCAGTCTCAGTTTGCATCATAAAGGCTGAATCCAGATACTATTAAAAACCGGAGACTCATTAGAAACAAACAGATGGCCAACCAAAAAGTTACTCAGGGTTTTGCAAAGTGTTGCCAACACAAAATACATACATTCCTGATATGTGAGTCCCATCTCACACTCAATACACTACAATTACTATGGAATAAGTACAGCACTACAACATAAAAGAGATTGAGAATGTCACTTACCCGTAGGCATGGGCCGGTATAAGATTCTAACGGTATGATTACCTTGGATAAAAATATCACGGTTTTACAGTATTGTGCTAAAATATATTCTTTTTAATTGTCTGGGTAAAAAACTAAAACCTTTTTCCCCTTTGAACATAATATATTTTATTTTGATTTTGTTACAATTTAAAACGACATATTTGGATATTTTTTTTCTACTAGAGATACTGTTATCCTAAAACACAAAACAAAAAAAGTAAACAAAAAAATATTACACCTACCTTAGGAATGGTATTACAGAAAAATTGAACTAATAAAACCTTGACTTGTCCAAACACGGTATACCTTGAATACGGTTATCGCCCCATGCCTACTTACCCGCCTTATAATGATGTTTTTTTCTCAAAACTCTTATTGTGCAATCTCTGTCACCTTCTTGTGGATGGTAAACATCAACCATCTTTGCTCTGCACAGTATTACAGGCTGATGGATGCTGGCGTGCTGTATCTTCGAAATTATAAATATTTAGACTTATAAATAATATAAATAAACTGCATAGTTGCAATCTAAACAACTTGCCTAAGAAAGCCTCAAAGTTACATTATGTTGTCCAACACCTGCAATATTTGCCAAACTGTAGTGTTTATTCATCTGCTGTCATTCTATGTGGGCTGAGTAATATACAAGGCAGAACAGGCTGTACGAGTGCTGATATGCATGGTTATCAGCCATTCAGAATCGAGAACCAGACAGAACAGTTGTACAAACCAATATAGTCATTTTCAGAATGCAACTTTAAAATATAGTTACATACTGCATAAAAGTCCTATAGTAAAATACAATTCACATTACAGTTAAACACTGTGTAATTTACAAAACTGTTAATGTAGTCTATGAGTTTGCATACTAAATTCTTTGTTGAATCTGTATATAATACACTATTTGGGTAATCTCTTTCTTTTTATCATGAAATCTATCTCTTTCTCTTTTTCTCTCTCTCCAGAAGGGTCACCCTGACAGATTGCAGTGTGGTTTACAAGTGGGAAGCAGCTTGTATATCCTCGACCTGGAGAAAAACCAGTAAGTCATTTCCTGTCTGGGGTCTGATCAGCAACTAATAAAGATACAGTCATTATATGTGAACATTTGCTTGCAGAGATCTTTTGCCAAAACCACCTAATGTGTTTTACTACCTGCCAAATGGAACTGGGGTGTCCATGAAAGAGAACACAGTGGTGAGTAAAGCCTTTCATATGTCAGTCTGTGTTCAGTTCATAATGGTTTAAGGCAAGACACTGCAGTTGAATAGGGTAAAATACTGAAGGGATGGCTCATCCAAAAAACACAATTGTCACGGTTTACTCAACCTTCACTTGTTCCAAACTTGTTTGAGATTCTATCTTGTGTTCAACATAAAAACATATTTTGAAGAACGATGGAAACCGGTAGCCATTGACTTCCATATAGGAGAAGCAAACACCAAAATTCAAAGGTGACCAGTTATTTACCAATACCAATACCAATATTTTAAGAACAAGTGAAGGGTGAGTAAATGATGACAGAATTACATTTTTTTGGGTGAACTACACCTTTATCGGGTTGTATTCACTATACTTCGCTTTTTGCAGTTGATTGACTGTTAAGAACTGCAATAGTACATTTTATAAAATGTTTAAATACGCAAATGACGCATATTTCATTGAATATTTGCTAAATATGTGCATACATTTCTTGCAAAAAAAAAATCTAAACACTGGATGAAGTCAAATTTTTTGATTCCTTTATATATATATATATATATATATATATATATATATATATATATATATACTTATTTTACATACATAAATATATATATATATATATATATATATATATATATATATATATATATATTTATTTATTTATTTATTTATTTATTTATTTATATATATGTGTGTGTGTGTGTGTGTGTGTGTGTGTGTGTGTGTGTGTGTGTGTGTGTGTGTGTGTGTGTGTGTGTGTGTGTGTGTGTGTGTATTCAATTATATTCAATTATCACTCCTTATTTCAGAATATACTGCAAGAAAAGCAAAAAAAGGAAATCACACTTTTTTTGTTGAGTAATTGTTTTATATAATCAGGAAAATTATGAAGGAACAAATCTCTTGAGAGTATACAGTATGCAGTATAAATAAAACTTCATGTACATAAGGTTAATGTGTTGTATACCCAGTGGTGTAAATGATGCTGAAGTAGATATTTATGACTGATTTTGAAAAATTGCCTTTTAAAATATGTAATAAAATTCACTTTGTATTGACACAAGTTTATAGTGTAGTACAACAAAAATGTGGCCAATTGAAGTATGACAAAAGTTTTTTTTTTCTTTGTTGTCTGTCCATTGGTCAAAAAAATGTGTTGGGCAAATACTAGTTATGATTAAATCACATCCATTTGATTAAAAAAAAAAAAAAAAAAAATATATATATATATATACATATATATATATATATATATATATATATATATATATATATATATAGTTTTGTTTTTATAGTACACACACATATATAATACACACACACACAAACTCTTATGTTGCATGCGGTTAAGCACAATAAATATTTTTGCCCTGCACATTTTTGTCTACTGCCCAGCATCATTATTTAATCTACTGAATGCAAATTTTATCTTTTTTTCCCTCTGTCAGACACATTGTTACTATCATGGTTCAGTGCAAGGTTTCCCTGAGTCACGCGTGGCTCTCAGCTCCTGCTCTGGGTTACGGTAATACTTTCTTTACATCACTCATGTAGTTCACTGACGACTTCCTGTGAGAGATTTAACCGTATTATGGCCATTGCTAAACTTTTAAGAATCCTGTGGCTTAAAGTATTTTTAAATGGTAAAACCAGCTTAGAGTTCAGAGGTTATGACCATGAAAGACTCTTCACTATAATAATTACTTTGTATTATTTATAGGTTTGAAAGCCAATTTTTGGAAAGTTTGTTACTTAATGTAATATGCTTTAATTGATTTACTTGGAAGATTATGACCTTTTAAATTATACATGTTTACAAGATTAACACATCAAAAGTTAAATACCGCAGGAGCTGTACACTTCTATTCAATAGTTTAGTATTTTCAATGCTTTTGATATTAGTCAGTTATTCATTTATTTATTTATTTTCTTTTTGGCTTCTTTTATTTATTAATCAGAGGTCACCACAGCGGATTGAACCGCCATTAGTTAGTTATGTAAGCTGTAATTATTAAAAAAAACAATAAAGTATTAATATTGTGACTGTAATATATCTTTTGTAAAATATTTTCATGTGTTGTATTGTGAATTTTTATTAGTATTCATTGTTACACGATCCTTTAGAAGCATTGTAATGTACTTATTCGGTGCTTAGTTTTGACCCAAATTTTGGTCAAATATGGACAAACCCAACCAAAAATGTGAATAAAAAATAATAATTAAGAGTTACATTTAAAATATGAATTTCTGATTATTGAAAATTGAACCAAATGATTGATTCTGACTGTATTTTACTTGATTATGAATAAAAAATATTTTTAAAATGTTTCATAATAGACCATCTCAAAAGCTTTAACCAACTTGAATGCTTGACTTTTAATGTTTTGTTTGAATTTGTGAAAAAAAAGAGAAAACAAGACGAGCTTTTCTGAAACTGAAACCTTTATTTCCTTCTTTTATATGCACTTGTTTGCTTTATTTGAATTTAAGCCCATTTTAAAATTAGATTTTGTACCAGACTGGCCGTGTTTACTGTTTCTTTAAGTAGAAAATAAAATTAATTAAAAATTACAATATTGAATAATCTAGAGACATTATTCATAATTCAGGGCCTTTCCATAAACTAGGAAGAGGCCGCTACACTAATATCATCAGATGTGTGCTGGAAGGTGATGCTCAGTCTGTGTTATTCAGTACATCTTTCTCTCTCTGCAGGGGAGTGATAGTCATTAACGCCACACTGAGCTTTGAACTGCTTCCTGAAGGAGAAGAAGAGCGAGGAAAAGATGATGAAGGGAGTGGAGAAATGGAAGAAGGAGAGATGCATGCAATTTACTCTACACACTCGCCAACATCTGAGTCTAGAGACTGTGGGGTGTCACACACTTCTATACCTCCCATTCAGATCATCCCACACACACACAGGGTGAGCAGGGAGTGTTTAGTTTAAACGTTTATTAGTCCCCTTTGGGCAATTCATTCTGACATGGTATGGTGCTTCAAATGACACACTTAATACAGTAGATTCCAACATGTAACATTAAGTACACAAGCCTAGACAAATATAACAAATAATAATAATAATAGAATAAAAAATAATACTAATGAACCATTGATCAGCTACATGTATTACATAATTAAATAGCTTCAGGCACAAAAGTAAATTTATAACAATTTGTGGAACAACTAATTGTCCTTAGACGTCGCCCAAGGCAGGGGCATCCACATAGTTAAGGAGTGTGTCTATCTTCTGTTATTTTATGTGCCATCCTCAACACCTGCTGTTCGCAGTAGGATGCAACACTTCGCAAGGAAACTCAGTGAAATTTTGAGCACAAATGAACAATGCTTTGAAGATGGTTCCAGACATTGCGAATGCGTGTATGATAGATAGTACTTATGATTACTATTTTGATGTTTTCTTACAGAGTAAGAGAGACATTCTCTCTGAGATCAAATATATTGAGCTGGTTCTGGTGGCAGATCATAAAGAGGTAAGAGAGTGAAGCCATAATGTCACACACAAACACACTTTGTGGGTTGTCATAGACTTGTATTGTTTTTATACTGACCTAACCATTTAGTTTTTTTATCAACTAAATGTCAACCCAACCACAGATTTTTATTACATTTTATTTTACATTCTCAGATAAACATCATTTAGTGTTTTTAATATTTTATCTCACTTTGAGCTCTTTGTTTTTTTGTGAGGACATTTGGTTCCCATAATAAAGGTTATACACACAAACGATGATTTTTACAAAGCTATATAGTCTTTACAAATTCAAATATATTGTCGCAGACACAAAACGCATGCAGACGCACACATCTGTGAGACTCTTCCACCCTCTGCTGGTACATACAATGCATGACATCTAGTCAGTTTATCTTTATCAATACTTGGGATTTCAACATTGCATTTGTTTTGCTTTTCTGTCTTCCTCACAGTATTTGAATTATCAAAAGAATAACAAAACTATAATTTACCGCATGTTGGATGTCGCAAACCAAGTAGACTGGGTATGTTATACATTTACCTGTTTTATATTACACAAACCTTTATTTATGTTTTGAGTTTATTGGATATATTGGATATTGAATTCATTGGATATGAAATACAGTAAAAACACTAATACTAGATTATGATAATATTGATTTTATGGATTTCTTTTTCTTTTAATATTATTAATTTCATAGATTGTTTCAGTTTTCATTGACATATGATCCTCCAGAAATCTGGATTATTTGGTGTTCAAGAAACGTGTATTATTGTTTTTATAATGAGAACAGGTAATTAATGTCTTTGTAAAATTATAGTATACATTTTATTATATATATTTAATAAAATAAATATTTTTTTTGCACAGTTTTAATAGTTTTTGGTTATTTCATCTTATTTCATTTTCATTATTTTAGCTAATACATCAGCTAATCCAAATATTTTTACAATATATTTCAGTTGACGAAATTGTCACTATTTATATACTGAAAGCATTTGAGTCTTGCCATTTTTTTAAATCACTGTCTGCTCTGTGTCTCAGTTCTACCGGCCGCTGAATGTACGTGTGGCTCTGCTGGGTTTGGAGATCTGGAGTGACCAGGACAAGATTAAAGTGGATAAAAGTCCCACTGAAACTCTAAACCGCTTCCTGGATTGGAGGACCAGGGAGTTACTGCCACGACTACGACATGACAATGCGCAGCTCATCATGTAAGTTCAGATGCACTGTGGGAATGATGACAACAGTTTGATCAGATTTGAACATTTTGGGCAAAATCATAATTTGCTTATATGTTCAGGGGTGAGTCATTTGATGGAACTACGGTTGGCATGGCGTCTCAATCCTCCATGTGCTCGAAGGATCGGTCAGGAGGAGTAAATGTGGTGAGAAAAAAAAATGAATTTATCACAGTATTCACTGAATAATCAGGCTTCAGTGTTTTATGCCTTTCTTTTAAAAGTAAGATAATTGTACTAATAGTGTAATGGCTGTTTGCAAAAGCCAACACATCACAAGTGAGCAGCAACATGCTATTTGACAGGTCAAATTTACCAATGCCATTTGCACCACGCTTTTCCACAACTTTATCCCTTATTTTGGTATATTGATCTATTATATTAATTAAAGGAACGCTCAATGTTATTTTTGAAAACAGCTCCCCTAGAGTTAAACAGTTGGGTCCATTTTTGAATCCATTCAACTGATCTCCGATTCTGGTGCCTAAAAAAAAGCTTATTTCTAAAAAAAAATAAAGACTTTTTTTTAAATACTTTTTATTTAAGATTTTTAAATATATATTTTTTACAGAACAATGTTTCCCAGCAGTTTTACCCCTTACACACGAGGGAATACAATAAATAAAAAATAATAATAATAATGATGAAATAATAATAATAATAATAAAAAATAATAAAATAAATAAAGAAAATAAAGAAAGAAAATAAAAATAAAATAAAAAAAATGTAAAAATAAAAATAAAAGATATTGCCATCATAATTACTTCACAGAAGATACATTTGTACATCAAGTTACATTGTGTTGCATTGTAGTTACATCCAATTACAGTGATGATAGGTTAAGCAACCTCTAAATATACATATCTAAATATGTCACAATACTTTTCCACCTCTGTTTAAAACTTTAAAGAGACTTTATTTAATAAAAAAAAACTATGAATGGCACTCAGGAGAGCAGTTATCTTGTTTCATTTTATTTTACATTCAATACTGGGAAAAGACACACAGAATTTTTGACTAAGAAGCCTTCTTTAGTGTGTAGATCAGTTTAATTGTTAAACACACAAAGAGGAAAGCTTTCAACCAAGACATTTGTGCCTTTTCCTGTTAACGAATGTAAAATAAATAAGATATAAGAAGACTATTATTCAATCAATAAGAAGATTGTTTAATCCACAACAACTACATAAATTTACATATGTAGTTAGATCAAATAAGTCTTTAATCTGTTAACGGTAACTTATGAGTAAGATTAAAGTGAGATTCACTTGCTTTGTTGTTTCTATAGTGTCAGGATAGCACAAAGACTCCACCCTCTTCTGTAATGCAGTTATTCATTTGCATTTAAAGGGACACACACTTTTTTTTGACAAGCTATTAGAAATGATATGTAAGTTATTATGAGCTGAAACTTCACAGGGACACATTCTGGGGACGCCGGAGATTTATTTTAGATCTTATGAAAAGTTGTATAATATATCCTCTTTAATCTGCAACAAATCAGGCCTTATTTTTGTGTTTATTTGTATTTTCTGTTTCACAGGATCACCTGGTGAGTGTATTGGGTGTGGCGTCGACAGTGGCACATGAATTGGGTCACAACCTGGGAATGAGTCATGATACTGCTGACAGGCGCTGTCATTGCCAAAACGAGCCTCGCCTTGGGGGCTGCATCATGGAGCCGTCCACCGGGTGAGGAAAATAAGTGTGTGTGGCAGTCTGATACCATATCGCTGATGATTAATCATGATGTAAATGTCTTCATGTGCAGGTTTATGCCAGGTCAGCTGTTCAGCAGCTGTAGTGAACGCGACCTGTCTCTTAGTCTGCTGCACGGGGGCGGCATGTGTCTGTTTAATGTGCCTCAGCCGGAGAGTCTTCTTGGGGGACCACGCTGTGGGAACCTGTACGTGGAGAAAGGAGAGGAGTGTGACTGCGGCCTGCTGGATGTAAGAAGCACCTTTTTTGCTTACTGATATTGTTGAATCACAATTTTTCCAATTGGAGGATTGTACACACGCACAAAATATACCTGGGTTTGAGTTGGCATGTTCTGATGCCATGGTTAAAAAAAGTTACACTCTTGGTGATTAGTGTGAAATAGACATATTTCAATACAATGAAAGTGTTTTTCTTTTTGTCTGCTGCTTGCTTATAAATAGAAATACTTTAGGCATTAAAGGGATAGTTCATAAAAAAATAAAATTCTGTCATCATTATTTTGGCCTTTTTGTTCAAAACCTTTATGGCTTTCATTTCATTCTTTAAAGCACAAAAGGAGACATTTTGAAGAATGCTGAAAACCTGTAACCATTCACTTTCATAGTATTTGTTTTTCCTACTATGGAAGTCAATGTTTACAAGTTTTCAGCTTTTCTCTTATTTAGTCTTTAACAGGATAAAGAAACTCATAAAGGTTTGAAATCACTTGAGGGTAAGTAAATGGTGAGTAAATTTGCATTTGAACATAAACTTGACTAACAAAATCAGCTACAAATCTCAAACAGATATGAAGGACATATCCTACATACATGAAAGTGCACAAAAATAAAACTCCTGTTCTATTTACATTTTAGTTATGTATGACTTGTACATATTCTTTAGTTAAGAAATATATCAAAAAAGATGATGGTAGTAGTTGGCAACATGACGTCCAGTAGAATGAATGGATCTTTATAGCCCTCTGCTGGATGTATGTTAAAATACTAGCACATTATTTCATCCGAACACCTAGATCAGTATCCACAAACACCTTCTATTTAATTTAGATCATCTTTAAGGTAATTAATCTTTTTAAAAAGACTTATTCAAACCAATGTTGTATTTGAGTGTTTTGTGGTAAATGGGGAAAGTACTGCATATCCTCCAACACAGAGCATAAACATATTGTTAAGAAGTACATAAGTATTATTTATCATTGTTGTAATTAAAAGAGCCTATTTTGATGCGATGTGTCCAGCAGGTGCCAAAGACCAAGAGGGTAAATGGTAGATGAGGAGAATATGAGATTCAAAAAAATAATTCAAGGAAAGAAAGCAATGCAAATTTGAAAAGTTAATAATTACTGAAATTCCACTGCTTTAATGTGAAAGCAAACGTTACAGTGTAAATATTAAATCGTCATATTTACATCTGATGTATTTTCTGTTGTATAAACATATTGTAGATGAATATTTAATGGTGTTTTATAGGCTATAAATACTGTACAGTTCAAGATTTTGTCCCCAGTCCGAAGACTGTTCATTCATTCATTCATTCATTCATTTTCTTTTAGGCTCAGTCCCTTTATTAATCTGGGGTCGCCACAGCAGAATCAACTGCCAACTTATCTAGCATATGTTTTACCCAGCGAATTCCCTTCCTCCTGCAACCCATTACTGGGAAACCACCATTCACTCTCATTCACACTCATACACTATGGACAATTTTAGCTTACCCAATTCACCTGTACCGCATGTCTTTGGACTAGTGGGGTAAACCGGAGCACCCTGAGGAAACCCATGCGAACGCGGAGAGAACATGCAAACTCCACACAGAAATACCAACCCAGCCGAGGCTCAAACCAGCGACCTTCTTGCTGTGAGGCGACAGCACTACCTACTGCGCCACCGCATCCCCTCCGACGACTGTAACAAAAACTAATTTTTCTATTTCATATCAATTGTGTTCATTGAACTTATCAAACAATAATCTACAAAGAAGATCAAAGGTTTGAAATGACATGAAAATAAATAAATAAATAAATTACAGACTAGAATAATAAATCATTGATAAATAAGGGTAGGATAAAAAAAAGGTCATCCCAAGCGTCAAAATCAAATAAAATAATCCAAACAACACCCGTTTCTAATAATTACTGCCATTGTCAACACTGTCCAAACATATAAGTCTGGAAAGCATCTAATAAGCTCTCACATCTCTAATCAGTCTCTTCGCTGTGTGTGTGTGTATATGTGTGTACTATGTGTGTGTTCAGGAATGTAATGATCCCTGCTGCAATGCCAGCACATGTAAACTGGTTCCAGGGGCCCAGTGTTCTTCAGATGGCATCTGCTGTGAAAACTGCAAGGTTTGTAAGTTTATTTTTAAACAATTACACACTCAGGCATGCCCACTAATGCCCGTCTCTTCGCCTGCAGCTGCGTGTGGCCGGTTCAGTGTGTCGGGAGCCACTGGGAGAGTGTGATTTGCCTGAACACTGCACTGGTTCTTCTCCATACTGTCCTCCCAATGTCTTTCTACAGAATGGAGAACCATGCAAAGGTGGTTCCTCCTACTGCTACAGCGGTGTGTGTGCCAGTCTGGATGACCAGTGCCAGATGCTCTGGGGACAGAGTAAGTGTTTCATGCTTTGAAATTATACATTTAATTATTGATGAAACTTTGACTTTAATGTGTCTTATTGTCCATTTCTCTGGCTCTCTCAGACTCCACCCGAGCTCCCCCCATCTGCTTCTCTTCTGTGAACAAGCAGGGCAATAAGTATGGGAACTGTGGTCAGATGCCCAATGGTTCCTACATCCCCTGTTTGAAATGGTAAGAGAATGTTCTCTAATGTTCTCTTTGCTTGTGTGTGTGTTTTTTTGTTTTTTTTTTAATAAATTAGGGTAGAAGGAATAGTTCATCTGAAACTAAAAATTACTCACCCTTCATATGTTCCAAACCAGTTTGATGCTCTTTCTTCTGTTGAACACAAACGAAAACTGGAAACCTGTAACTATTGACTTCCATAGACTTTTTTTTCTTTTATGGAAGTTAATGGTTACAGGTTTTCAGCTTTCTTCAAAACATATTTTTGTTGTTCAGTAGATTAAAAACTCATAAAGGATTGTAACCACTTAAGGGGGGAGTAAATGGTGTGAACATTATCATTTTTGGGTGTATTATACCTTTTTTTTTGTACCCCTTTTTAATGTTGCCTTTTTAGTAAAATGAGGACTTTTCATCATGACTTTGTCTTGTTTTGCTCAGGGATGTGCACTGTGGTAGGATCCAGTGTCAGGGTGGAGGTGAACGTCCTCTCCTGGGCTCTAATGCTGAGATTCTGACCACAACGGTCATACTCAACCAGAGTGACTTTACCTGTCGCGGGACCTACTTTAATCTGGGCGATGATGTTTCTGACCCAGCCATGGTGTTACAGGGGACAGCCTGTGGGCCCAACAAGGTGAATGCTTATAAATTGTGTACTTTTTGTTTTGATTGTTAATGTAATACTTGTTACAAATCTGTTGTAAATTGTTTTTGTAGAAATAATGTAATTATCTAATTTCTCATAGATCTTGCGTTCAAATTATGGCTTACTTTAGCAATATGATTTTCTTACCATCTAGTGATTGCAGCTTTTTCATACATGTAAACATTAAATATTTATATAGAGAGAAACAAATATGATCACTCGAATTAATACCATATAAAACTTTAAATATCATATATTGGAGACAAATTATTAGCCCTCCTTTGAAATTTTACAATACACAACATTTTTATTTCCCAATAAAATAATAATATTGACCAATAATAATATTGACCTTAATATTGAACAGTTAAAAGAATTATATCTATTTTTTTATTATTCCAGCCAAGCTAAAAAATAAGACTTTCTTCAGAAGAAAAATATAATAGGAAATAATGTGAAATTTTTTTACAGCTTTGTTAAATAATACTTGGGAAGTATTTGAAAATGTGTGTGTGTGTGTGGTTGTGTGTGTGTGTGTGTGTGTGTGTGTGTGTGTGTGTGTGTGTGTGTGTGTGTGTGTGTGTGTGTGTGTGCGCGCGTGTGCGTGTGCGCGTGTGTGTGTGACATATCAGGACACAAATCTGTATAATGACATAGGTATGACACAGGTATTTCAAAAAGGAGGTGAAATATATACATTGGTGACGTCCTCATTTCTCAAAATGCTTATAAATCTCACAGAGTGAGTTTTATCAGAGAGTAAAGCTGTACACAGTCTCCTGTGATGGTTGGGTTTAGGGGTATGGTGGGGTGAGGGCAATACAATATATGGTTTGTGTTGCATAAAATGAATGGAAACCTATGTAATATACACACTTTTCACAAAAACGTGTGTGTGTGTGTGTGTGTGTGTGTGTGTGTGTGTTTAGAGTCAAAATCAGAGTTATTATTCAATTTTAAATGTTTTTTTATTTATTTTAATAAATAAATTATTCCCAAATAATGTTTAACGGAGCAAGGAAAATACCACATTATGTCCGATAATATTTTTTCTTCTGGAGAAAGTTTCATTTGTTTTATTTCAAAGCAGTTTTAAATTTTTTAAACACCATTTTAAGGTCAAAATTATTAGCCCCTTTAAGCAATACACATTGCTATTATACAATTTTATTATATTCTCTCTTTCTAATTATATTCTCTGTGTACAGGTGTGTGTATATACACAACCCATTATATAAATCAAGCCTGAAATTATCCCTGGAAAATTACTTATTATTAATTTATGTTCAAATGTATATAAAAGCAGACAACGTTGTGGTGCAGTAGGTGGTGCTGTCACCTCACAGCATGAAGGTCGCTGGTTCGAGCCTTGGCTGGGTCAGTTAGCATTTCTGTGTGGAGTTTGCATGTTCTTCTCGTGTTCGTGTGGGTTTCCTCCGGGTGCTCCGGTTTCCATCACAGACAAAAGGCATGTGGTACAGGTGAAATGGTGTAGGCTAAATTGTCCGTAGGGTATAAGTGTGAATGATTGTGTATGGATGTTTCCCAGAGATGGGTTGCAGCTGGAAGGGTATCCGCTGCGTAAAACATATCCTGGATAAGTTGGCAGTTCATTCCGCTGTGGTGACCCCAGATTAATAAAGGGACTAAGCTGAAAAAAAAATGAATGATTGAATTGAAGAGAAATATTTTTTCCATAATAATACCTTTAGTATATATTATTGTGGTTTGGGAGAAGTCTGTCATTTCTGGTCACAAAAACAAACACTTGCTGGTTGAATAAAAGTAACTTTCTAAGTCAGAATTTGCCAGGGGTATGAATAATTTCAGGCTTGACTGTATACACTGATATATATATAATAAAGAGTATTAAAGTATAGTATTTTACAAGATGTAAGATTAAGCCTTTGGTGTATCCAGAATGTGTCTGTAGCAATTTCAGCTCAAAATAACCATCAGATTGTTTATTATGACCTTCAGAATCTGCCCATTTTGTTGTCTGAGTATACTGTAGCTGTTTTTGAAGCCTGTAACTTTAAATGCAAATGAGCTGCTTCTTCCTGCCCACCACTCCCACGTGCGTGTCTGCTTCACTTGCGTCATGTTAGTGTTAACAGCAGTCAGTGATAGAGACAGACTTGGATGGCGCTGAAATACAGCTTAGTCAAAAATACCAAGTAAGTTTATTTCATGTATTTGTTGTGGAGTTTATTCAAGCCTTTCTGACATGATGAGTCTCAAATGATGGGCCTCAAAATCACTGGGATTTGGATCTTATTTTAATGTCAGGAAATTTTAAAAAAGAGACTCGTTGGATTTATATCTCTCCAATATGACAGTGGACACACTGTAGATACAGACAGTTCTGTCCAAACATCTTACAAATGTTGATTTTGCATAATATTGCCCTTTAATATTTCCCAATATTAAATATCATATTTGATAGGCCTTATGAATTGTATTGTATCATTGTATTCCTAGGCATGTGTGGACCAGAAATGCCGGGACGTGTCCATGTTTGGTGTTGACGAATGCCGCAGCAAGTGCCATGGCCACGGGGTGAGTAGCGAACACTGCTATAACTTCACAGAATTCAAAACAATTAACAAAAAGCCATGTGTCATTAAAACATTTGATTGGTAGGTGTGTAACAGTAATAAGAACTGTCACTGTGATGAGGGCTGGGCTCCTCCTGACTGCAGATACTCTGGAAATGGAGGAAGTGTGGACAGCGGACCTGCACAAGAACCCAGAGGTACAACACACATACACACACACAAACACACACACAAACACAAACACACACACACACACACGCAAGCAAAAATAAATTGTGTGTAAACATTTAGACTGAGTTAGTAACACGTCACCACTCTGATTACAGTGCTCTGCTGGTGTTTAGCCTTGCTTTTGTCTGTATACAGATTCAGATCCTGCGCGGGTGGCTCTTTTGGTCATTTTCCTGTTTGTGCTGCCGGTGTCTCTGCTGTTTGTGGCTCTCCGTTTTCCTCGCTGTCGACGAGGCCTTGTGTACCTTGGGCACACACCATTCAACAAGACCCGACAGAGCCGGTGAGACTGACAAAAATCAAAAGACATACAGAAAGAACAATGATGATAACAGTAATTGATATAATTAGTGCAAGAAGGTTTAACTGCTGTTCAATTTCAAGAGATATAATAATGATAATAATGATAATAATAATAATAATAATGTACTGAAATTATATTAGGGCGACATGGTGGCTCAGTGTTCAGCACTGTCGCCTCACAGCAAGAAGGTTGTTGGTTTGACTCCCGGCTGGATCAGTTGGCCTTTCTGTGTGGAGTTTGCATGTTCTCCCCGTGTTCACGAGGGATTCCTTCGGCTGCTCCGGTTTCCCCTACAGTCCAAAAACATGTTCTAAAGGTTAATTGAATAAACTAAACTGGCCGTAGTGTATGTGTGTGAATGAGAGTATATAGATGTTTCCCAGTGATGGGTTGCAGCTGGAAGGGCATCTGCTGCGTAAAACTTATGCTGGATAAGTTGGCGGTTCATTCCGCTGTGCGCGACCCCTGATAAATAAAGGGACTGAGCCAAAGGAAAATGAATGAAACTATATTAATTTATGTAAATTTATGCAAGCTATAACTTTGATGAACATATGCTTGTAGTTTTACAAGCTAAACATATAATTATAGGCTCAAACCAATCCAAAAATCAGCAGATGCAGGACCAGAACAAAAAATGTTAAATAAATTTTTTTTAATGTTTAATACATTTTTAAATTAAATTAAATTAAATTAAATTAAATTAAATTAAATTAAATTAAATTAAATTAGAATAATCCATGTGCTATTACATTATTCTAATTATAATATAATTACAAAAAAAAAAACTATCAGGTATTTTGGCTCCGAGTCATTTGATTTTGGGTATCTACCAATACGAAACCCGAAACGATACTTCTATAAAACATAAAAAAATGAAGAAGAGCAATGAAACAGATCCAGGATGATTTTTTATTTAATTCACCATATTTTAACATTCAACAACTCTGGTAACAAACAGAGCACTTCTGTGAGGTAGCATGAACAATCAAGTAATAAATAACACAAATTCTTCACTTTCGGACTTTAATGCAACAATAAATAAATAAATACATTTTCTTTATTTAAATACAATACAGATGAGATTAATTAAATTGCTTGTGTGTTTTTTTTGTGTTCCATGTAGCCTAAATGTCTGTTTAAAATGTACATTTTCCGCTACACTACAGTCAATACTATAATTTAACATTTATTTGTAAATCTTGTGCGTTTTAAAATGTTTTTCACCTCTTGTCCTTGTTTTATCCATCAAAATTAATCATTTTATGTTTTAATCATATATGGCCTTTGTTTTTTGCTTTTTCAATGCGGACTGAGAATGCTAATGAAAGTCTATGAGGGGGTGCATTTTGCGGCAGCGGTGCGTTTCTCGGCACAACAGTTGCATTTAACCGATAGTGTTTCTGCAACAAAGTGATGTCATGCTACACGCGTTGCTGTTTTTGTGTGAAGTCAAGAAAGAAGTCTAACTCTGTGCCACCACTATAGATGTGTTATATATATATAACGAGAATATATATAATATACATATATATTCGAGTCTTGATTGGGAGGTAACGTCTGATTCCGATCGAGTCTGAAATCACATGATTGGGCCTGATTTTCGATCATATGATCAGATTTGGACATCCCTAAACAAAAGAAAGATAAAATTTTTAACAGAAAACATTCTGCAGAGCCATTATCATTTGTTATGTGCAAATAACCGTTCACTAATAAATAGAGCTTATAAATATCTATAAATATATTAAAGTTGTTAACAAAATATCTTGAATAACAGTTCTATGGTAAACGATGTAGATTTATATTAAAATTGTAATTGATTCTGAATATAAAACAATGCAGAAATTTTTACCCATGTTTCTGAAAGATTTTTTTTCTTTTAATTGGTGTGCTCAATCTAAAGATACAATAAACAAAACCCGTGCAGTAAATCAACAGAAACTCAGTCAGATCTTCCATCACATTCTTCTATCACATATTAAATCATTTATTATGTTGTGTTTTACCCATGGTGCAGTGGAATCACAGTGTCCTACATTGAATACTGTATGAAGGAGGAAAACCCGAGGTATCTGCAAATGTATTGTAGTGCATAAGCTGTATAGCATATTAGCTGTATCTGTACTTTGTTAAAGATTTTTCTCAATGAAAAAAACTGAAATTAACAAAATAGGCACGAAGTCCTCTGTGATTTGCTAGCTCCTCTGTGTGTTGTGTGACTTCAAGCAGAATAGTTACTCTGAAGAGTCTTTGTAAAACACCAGAGATCAGTGGTGATGTTTGTTTAGTATTAAATGTGCAGTGTTTCTCTGCTAGCTGTCTTTCTCGCACAGATCTCCAGTTTCCTATTACTCAACGGTAGATTTAGATAGTGAGATGCATGTTTATCTGCCCGGTTCTGTAACAGTGCATTCCCTCTAATGTTATCAGTATAAAATGGATGTAAAATGGACTGAGGCTTGTAGGGCTGGATCATATGGCTTAAATAAATCAATACCAATAAATGATGATACATTTTTATTATCAGTAAGTAATTAACAAAGATAATTATTACAATAAATGTCCTGATAAAAATTTGAAGGCATATTTTTTTTTTAGAAAGTTATATGAGGTTTTATGTGGGTATATGTGGTTTTTAATGTATGAAAAACACTAGCCTGAATACAAGAAGTACAAATGCACACATGTTGTGCCTTAATGAGTACATTTACTGTATTTATAAACTAATACAACCGTTAAATAATACTGGTCTAATGATAGAATACAATCCAAATCTGTATCTTCCAGTCCTGCCACACTACCACAGTGTCAGATGCTGGTACTTCAGTAAATCAATGCAGTAGGCTTTTAACTGTGTAATTCATGGAACAGTGTTTGTCTGTTTGTCAGTGCTGTTGAGAGCATTGCTTTTTTTCATCTAGCTTTAATCTAAAACTGAAAGACAGTTGTGTTCTTTGATGAATTCTGTGGTTTTTCTTTGGAGCTGGTTGCATAATCAGTTCGAATAAAAGCTAAACTTGTGGTCCACTGCTTTTGCAATCATCATTACAACATTAATCAAACACGTGTTGCCGTTTTATTAAGGACACATTAGATTGAGATAATGATTGCTATTGTTTTATCATCCAGCCCTTGTCTCATTCAATTTAAAGGGTTACTTCACCCCCAAATTTGAATTTTGTTTTTAATTAGTTACACTTATGTTATTGCAATCAACGGAGACCTTCGATCATTTTCTGAACACAAATTTAGATATTTTAGAGGAAATCAGAGAGCTCTCTCATCCTCCATAGAGAGCAAGGGTCATGTGACATTCGAAGTCCAGAAAAGGAACCAAACATTGTCAAAATATTCCATGTGTCTTCAATGGTTCAACAGGAAGCTTACAAAGCTCCAATAACTCTTGTTTGGCTATGTTCGCTAATTATCTCTGCGTCAGATCAAGGTGCACCTTTACTATGTGCAATATGGCAATAGCGTGTTGCACTGCTGACTCAAGTGGCAATACGTCACACTGCCAGTAGTAAACATGCACCCTGATGACCTGCTGAGGACGAGAAAACAAAGGCAAACAAAGTCAATTGGACTATTTTTTGCACAAAAGTTTACTTAGAGCCTCTCATGATTACAGGTGAACTGCTGAAGCCACATGAATGTTTTGACACTGTTTTTTTTTCTAGTATTCGAACATCTCAGGACCTTTGCTGTCTATGATGAATAAGAGAGCTCTCAGATTTCATTATAAAATATCTTGTGTGAAAATATCTTGAGACAGCGGTCTCCGGGAATTGGAATGACATGAGAGTGGATAATTAAGAACATGATTTTTTATTTTCGGCTGAACAAACTCTTTAATTTCTCTATGCTAAAACAATGTATAAAGTGTCCAGTATTGTACATTAAGTAAATATTATATTCCACTTAGGACTCCTGCAATGGAGCTTGCGAACGCTCGAAATGGTGATCAGGCGCAGCCGCTCAGGTACCAGTGGCCTCACCAGAGTGACATCCCCCTCACCCAGGCAATCAGCAAGGTACAGTCAAGCACTGCCAAAAAACAGCACTGCTTCAGAGCATCTGGCCCACACGATGATATGATTACTCGGCTGTAATGGGGTTTAGGGTTACTGAGAGTCAGAATTAGGAAAAATGAGCTTAATGTCCTGAGAGTGGACAATAGCACAGAGAGCTGGTAGAAGCTGGTGATCAAACAGAATATAAGGTATTTTGGGTTTTGCTGGTATTGTTTAATGATTAACAGTGACGAGTCGCATACAAAATAAAAGTTTCGATATACATAAAATGTTTATGTATGTTGATTATGTATATTTTCATAAATTATGCATAATAAAAAAAACATTTACATATATTCATGTTTAATTATTATTTATGATTAATATATTATTTATAAACTGTATACATACTCTCAAAACATGACTTTTGCTTCTTGTTTAAATTACTTGTTTAAAATGAGTTGAAAAGAGTTTTTTAGGCACAGCTCAATTGTTTTATGTTCAATCCACTTAAATTTGTAAAAATTCTAAGTTAACTTAATCTATTTATGCTGGGACAACATGAAGTAATTATGTGGAACCCAGCATTTTTTACAGTGTAATAAACATACACAGTGCACTAAAAATTATTATATATGCAAACTTTAAATTTGTATTCGATTACTCATGATTAATTGTTAAACAGCACTAATATGCTGATATATACTACTTGGATTTAATTAACCAGTACATTAATTTATGATTAGAAAGTTGGTTATGAAGTTGAAAGTTATAAATTGACCACCATGTGGCCTGAACTTTGCTAAATGTGTCATTAAGTGGTTACTCTCTGGGTCAGATAGTGACCATATACTGTACATGATCATCTTTGATTACAGCATGGTTTTCCATTGCATTGTTTGGTCAACCTTATGCAAAATCACAGTGTTTATTTTAATCAACAGAAGCATAATTGTTTTGGCTGAGATCTTTTGTCTGTACCGGGAATATCACCACTATCTGACACTGTCTACTCCAGGTCATCTCAAGACTTTCAATAGGGTTCAATAGGATTCAGCTTAGTTCAGGTTGTGTGTGAAAAGAAGCCTTTTTCACAGTTTGAACCTGTTAAACTTTTTCGTTGTCACCTCAGAATATCTGACCATGAGATACATGTTCTTAGATGTTTTTTTTTATAAAATAAAAAGCTACAAATTGCATCAGTTATTATCAATTACAAATTTAAGAGGTGTTATCAGGTATGAACGTTTAGTTGAACATGAACATTTACATTTTACACTGATAAAAAAATGACTTTTGCTTAATGGTTGAAAACTATTTATATGTGCTGAATTTAAACAAATAAAATAAATTCAGTAATATTCAACTTAATTTGTTTGTTTAAATTCATCCCAAATAAATTGTTTGCAACCATTTACCATAAAGAAATTTTGTAAATCCAGTGAATATTTTTTTCGTGTAAGGTCAAATACTGAGAAGTGATAACTTAATAAAATAATCTAAATAAACCAACAAATGCTACACATTACGATTTTCTTAAAAATGAACTAAACTCCAAACTGTTAAACTAATAAGCTAATAATGTAAGTAAAAGCTTTATCATTAAATGTAGTGTATTAATCAATGTGGAGGTCTTGATTCATCAGTTGCCCGAGGCGATCCTACGTTTAACTGTTGCCTAGGGAACAGATCCAGTGTAATATATTTAGATTTAGTATCGTATTAAAGCCAGACTTCTGATATCGATCCAAACACCTACTGTAATTGCATGTTGTGATTTTCTGTGGTAAATTATTCATTTTTTTATGAGTTACAGGACAGGACAGAGGCAAATTCTAAGTTTTATGACCCAACGTAAGGACGAGCAAAGCTACTAAGGGTTGAAAGTCAATGTTTGGGTTTTAGAGGTCATAGTCCAGATTTTTTTTTCACCTGGTTAAACTCAACATGTTTGTAAAAATTACCAGGATGACAAGGTGAATGTAGTATGAGCAGATTACATTCATACTGACATTCATAACATAGCAAGTACTTTTTAGTAGTTGTAAAATTAGGATTTCTTCAAAATAAGTAAGCTCTACTCATAAGGACGACTAGGTGAATTTCGCATGACCAGATTACACACTGCACAAAAAGTGTTTTTATATATATTATATAGCATAATAATATAGTATAATAATATAGTATTAATTTGCTTACCCTATTGGCAGGTTATTTTGCTTGTTTTAAGGAAAAAAAACATCTGATTTTGGCCTAATATTTCTTAAAGCAAGACAATATTTTTTGCTAGTCTAGAAAATGCTTCTTGATTTATGAATTTTGAGATATTTTATGTATTTTTGTTGTAGTTTATTCATACTACACACACATAATATATAGTAAGTACTTTTTAGTAGTTTTAAATTTCGGACACAACCAATGACAAAAAGATCTGCCTGTTTTATGAAACCTTCTGTGTGAAACACATATGCTGCTTCTCATTTGTCAAATCTTTCCTGCATGAAGTTTTATTTCTAAACAACCTGCAAAAACATCTGACAGTAACTGAAGTTCATTTGCTTCGGCTGCCATTGCAACCCCACCAGTTAACTCTTCATAGCTTTATGTCATAACTCAAACAAGCTGACTAACTTTTCTTATTTTAACATGCATGTGCTGTAAACGCTCACTCGCTCTCTACTACCCCATCTGCAACCCTGTTTATCTTGTCAGGTCCAGAACAGGCCTGCTGCTCCAACTAAACCTCTTCCGCCCGATCCACCTGTCTCTAAACCTGCTCAGGTAAATGTCCTCGCTGCCCAGGAACGCTTGTGAGGAACACAGATGTGTGTAGTGGATTTAGCAGTGTGTGTGTGCTTAACACAATCCAATGCTGTTTCTGTTACTCTTTGTGGTTCTTCAGTTGGCGGCGCATTGGCCCGCCCCTCCTACCAAGCCCCTTCCACCTGACCCCGCCCCCTCAGAGAGCAAGATGCAGTGCAAGGTAGAATGTGCTCTTGCTGCTGCTGGAGCAGCCGTGTTCGACTGTCTGTTCAGTGTCTAGCTTTAGAAACTCGATGTTTGTAGTTTTGAATAGTGTCTCTGTCTGGTTTGTCTACATCTCTGTGATTTGGGTTAAACAGTGAGGATGATGGTGTTTTGTGCATGTGGATGAGTTGATGGTTCCTCTGGAGTGAATGGAGTTTGTAGATCAGACTGAGAGAGAACTAGAGGTCTTAATTCATTAATTCATTCATTCATTTTCCTTTGGCTTAGTCCATTTCAGAGGTCACCACAGTGGAATAAACCGCCAACTACTCCAGCATATGTTTTATGCAGCGGATGACCTTCCAGCTGCACCCCAGTACTGGGAAAGTCTTTAATTTAATTTATTTAAAAGTTAAATTAACCTAAAATTTGTTTTGGAAATATTTTATTTATTTGAATTAGGGTAAATTCAATTAAATTATTATGTATTATTTACTGCTGCAGGTCGTTTTATGTGAAGATAGTTTAACAAAAATCGCGAACATGATTTTTTTTTATAAAATAAAAAACTGCAACTCAAGTGATCTGGAAATGTAAAAATTTAACTCAGTTATTGTTTTTTACACCTTAAGTTATATGTTAAATAATACTTGAATAGAAACTAAAAAACATAAATTCTTAGTGGTCTTTAGTGAAACTTTGCAATTAAGTTGATTTTTTTATGAATGTTTCAAACATTTTTTGACAGTTGAAGATATTTAATAGTGATGTTTAGAACCAGCAGACCCCGTAATTTTATTTTATTAAATGAAATGTTATTTTATTTAGATATTTTTGCATGTACAGTTGAAGTCAGAATTATTAGCCCCCCTGTTTATTTTTTCCCCCAATTTCTGTTTAAGGGAGAGAGTTTTCAACACACTTATAAACATAACAGTTTTAATAAGTCATTTCTAATAACTAATTTATTTGATCTTTGTCATGATGACAGTAAATAATATTTGACAAAATTTTTTTCAAGACACTTCTATACAACTTAAATAATTTTGACCCTGAAATGCTCATTGAAAAACTTAAAACTGCTTTTATTCTTGCCCAAATAAAACAACTAAAACTCTCTCCAGAAGAAAAAATATTATCAGACATACTGTAAAAATTCCCATACTCTGTTAAACATCATTTGGGAAATATAAAAAAATGTGCGTAGAGTAATGAAGTTTGCCCTGTGCGCTCGCAGTTTTTTAAACAAAACTTCTTTGGTGCGTCAATCTTGTAAATGCTATTATTCAAAAAGTGATGTAAAATAGTAATGATTTGCATTCATCAAGTAATTGCTTCGTACTGTTTTTTTTTTTTTTTTTATTTTTTTTACGGGTGATTTAAAAACACAAACGTTTCGGCACAATGCCTTCCTCAGTGTGTGCTGCAATCTTCTCACTCCACCCTTTTATCCCATAGGCAATTACACTGCGTCATTAGTTAGACGGCCACTCCATGATCAAAAAACAATCTCATTTTCATTTCATTATTCTATGATTAACCACATAAGGACTATTTAGCTTCATATTTCAAACATTACTTCACTGAGAAAAAGCATATCAATTATCATCATTTGCCAAGTGTACATCAATACAATGAAAATTCAACAGTCCATAACAAAAAAAATACATTTGACGGTCACTCGATGATTAAAGACAATCTTACCTTCACCTCAACACACATAACTAACCACACAAGAATTATTTACTCTCACCTTCAAAAACATTTTCACAGGAAAATAGCATATTTACATCAACACAATGAAATTCCAACAGACCAAAACAATAAAAAATACATTTCTTATAGTCTAGACGGCTACTCGATGGGTACCAACAGTCTGTTTTTCATTTCAGTATATCATAATCAACAACACGAAAAATATCTTTACCTTCAAAAACATTATTTTATAGGAAAATAGCATATCACACACTGAGGTAGGCATTGTGGTAAAACATTAGGCCCTATCATACACCCAGCGCAATGTGGTGCACTGCGCAATGCAATTGTTGAAAATTGCATGAGGCGCACAGAAAAGCTATGTGAAAACTTCCACTATTACGAAATCCCCATAGTGGACGTTTCCACATAGCATTTTCATTCCGTAGCATTGAAGTTCCCCTCCCAAGGGGGAACATTATTCATATAGAAATATAAAACATAATTTAACCTTAGTTTAGTCTTACCAAGTTGCTGTGGAAGGTCTACACAGCTGAGTTTTTGCACACGTTTGTATCTCTCCCAGTCTTTCTGCAAGTGGAAAACCAAAATATAAGTGCAGCTGCTTGCTTTGCATAGTCAGAAGAATCAGTTGTGCAATGCATGGCCTGTGATTCAGTCTGGTCTTAGACAAACTAGCCTTGTGGTTAAGGGGTGCAATCATGATGCAGTAGTTGGTAATTCCCAGTGATCTCAGTAAAAACCCCCGTAAATTAGTCTCACTCAGCGCCTGCTTTTCTCTGTCACATGCCTGCATCCACAACACTACGTCCAGCCTACAGGAGCTCGACCAGCAGCACCAAGCAAACCTCTACCACCTGACCCTGTTCTCTCCAGCAGACAGGTATAACCACAGCCCTGTTGAAGAGAGAGTTGACCCAGAAATCTACACCTACTCAACATTTACTTGAACTCAAGTGCTTACAAATCTTTTGGGGTTACTTTTTTGTCAGTGTTTAAGTAATGGAAATAACACACTTTATTAGAATAAGAGGCTATTTAGGCCAAAAACAAATAGTGATAGATTCTAATCACACTAAATGCAAATAGCAATGAGGAACCAAGTGAAAATAGCAGTGTTTTTAACGTTATTTTATTTTTGTTTTTCGGTGCAATCTTTAGCCTATCTTAGTCTTTAAAAAAAGAATTTAAGATTACTAATGTTAAAATATGTGTTATGTTATTTTTTGCTGCTTTTTTAAAGATGAAGATCAGCTTAGGATTGGGATGTGTTTCTTTGTACCCAACACTGAATACTATATATAAACATATTCATTTATTTATTTGTTTTCCTTCTGCTTAGTTTCTGATGCAAAAATATTATTTTATTATTTATATACTCTTCGATTGTATTTACATGCTATTTATTCCAAGTGGAAAAGCAGGAGTTCGCACATTAGCATTTAGACTACATTATGAAACAGTACAAAATAATGTCATATTCAGTGTAAATAAGGACATTTATCAAATTGATGCTGCTTTATAGGAACTCTTTACTCCTGCCCGTGACTATAATCATAAACACTTTGTTATTAAATAACCATTTGGCATTATACTAACAATGTTTTATAGTTTATTATTGTTTTATTTAAAAATAAAAATGTCTGATCTGGATGTTGTTCGTAATAATCAGTAGCCAAAAAAACTATGGAAGTTAATACCCACAAACAATTTTCAGAAAATCTTTCCTGCAGGCACTGGACATCTACCTGACGTCTTATTGACCTTGTACCCAATGTACCCCAACGTCGTGAGGACGTTGTCGTCAGAACCCAGCAGGTTGACGTCAGAACCCAATGTCAGGCCGACGTCAATATCCAGTGTCCAACCAAAAATCAACCAAATTTGATGTCGTTATTGGATGTCAAAATAATGTTGTCCTTAGACGTGGGCTAGACATTGAATTTTGATCACCTGACATCACGACCTAAATCTAACCTAATATTAACGTCTTATGATGTTGTGTGCCTGCTGGGTTCTTACGTCTTCAACTATAGAAAGTCAAACAAGTTTGTGACCACTTGAGGGTGCTTAAATAGTGAGTAAATGTTCATTATTTGGGTTAACTGTCTATTTAAGAGTGGCCCTCTATTAACAACACTAATCTGCTCTTCTTCTAATACATCTAAGACTTTTGCTGTTCTTTTAAACTGTAATGATTAACAAGTTGAACTTGAGATTAAAAAAGTCTGAAAAACTGTCCTTATCCTATTTCAGAACCCTGTTCCCCCTAAACCTCCTGTTCCCAAGAAACCCCTGCCTGTGGATCCTTCATGTCACCCTCCTGTCCCTCCGCTGATGGGACATCCAGTATCTGCTGCTGCATCTTCTTCTTCATACTCCTCAAGAAATTCTGCGTCAGCCGCTGCTCCCGCCAGGTGAGACCGCTGAAGCTGTTTTAGCAAATCATTCATATGAAGTCTGTGCAAGTGAGTAAACTAGCTTGTAAGAAGGAATCTGATTGAAATTGTATTTATTTGTACAGGCCTGCTCCTCATCCGCCTTTACGGAGACAGCAGTACCATGGGAAACCCCACTCTTCTCACCCCGTATAGTCAGGAAGGAAACACCGGCCCTACTGCAAATTTCTGCACTATGGTTTGTTTTCAGTATTTTGTCTTGTTTTCCAGTAAAAAAAAAAACATCTGAGTTTCTTGAAAGCAAGGTAACTTTGATAATACGTTTTAGGTTTGTTTTAAATATAGATTCTGATTTGTTTATTAATGAATAAATTAATTAGTTAATATATGAATATAGTTTAATATATTCTTTATAAATGTTGTATATTTATTTTATAGACTTCAAATATTCTTTCCTTTTCAAAAAGAACAAGTCTACAACAAAAGTCAAACCAAACTAAGAGATTAATAGTCACACAAGTCCTCAAGTAAATAAAATAGCCAGAGCTCTGTTCTCTGTAAAAAAATGCTGGGATCTTCATGATCGGTTTGTTTTGAGACAACATGGAGGAATTTAGTTTACTTATTAGTTAGGCCAAACAAAATCGGCTGACATTTTTTGCTATTTCTGCACAGAATATTGAAAAAATCTGCAGATTTTTGTGGAATCGCATAAAAACTTAATATGTTAAATTAAAAAAAAACAATACATGTTAATCAAATTAGATCTCAATTAGATCCATTTATTTGGTAAACAAAGCAAGTCTCTTATAAAATGTCTTCTAAAAGACGGAAAATATTACTTTACAAACTTTATTGTAAATGAATCTTATGAACATTTTCTTATTAATTAATAATATTAATAAAATTCATAAAAAAAATGAATAAATATAAATGTACACACAAGTAAATAAATAGACTCTATGGAGGGATTTCTGTGCGCGAATTCCGTGTGGGCCTACTTATTAGTAAAGTTAGTAGTAGCTAGTGGATTGAACATAATACAAATACGTTATCCCCCAAACAAGTCAAGAAGTGTGTTGTTGCTGCTCATTTTAAGTAAGTAGTTTGAAAAAAATGCAAACATAATTTTTTGAGTGTTGTAAGGATGACAAAAAGTCATTTGTATGTGTACAAAAGGTACATTTTTGGCTGGTTTTCATCAGCTCTCTAATGCTGTTCATTAAAGTAAAAATTTCTAAGATGGCCAGTTCAATTAGGGCCGTACTCACACTAGGTACAGTTGCCTCGAACCGGGCCAAAGCACGCTTGTCCCCCCTCCCGTCTCCCCTGACGGCCCGCACTCACACCATATCGGGCCTCGGCACGCTTACGTCATCGCTGCTGCACTGTTCAGTGAAAAGCGCTCTCACTCACTCAGCAGCACAGTGGAGATTTCTCTCGTTTTAGTCGTGTGATATGCAGTGACATGCAGTCAGATATTTTGCCAAACAGTCCTTAGGGATGCGGTGACACGCAGTCAGATATTTCGCCGAACAGATCCGCCACTTTTGCCGCTCATAAACAATCATAATTTTCTTGTGCTGCAGGAATGTGGAGGTTTGCTGAAGGCGCGCAGCTGTCGTGCAGTAAGGAGTTTGCATCTTTAATAGCAAGCAGTTTGCGTTCACTGAACAGTAAGAAAGATTAATAAAGCCACATGAAACAGTCCCTTAAAAGTCACGTCTCGCTTTCAGTTTCTGGCTTTTTTGGCGCGTTTTGCACTCCCACACAAGCGTACCGCGCCAAAGCCCAAGTGAACCGCGCTCAGGCCCACCTCTTCCAACCGGGCCAGGGCCATCCAAGTGAACCGTGCTTGAGCCCGATTCAGCGCACTCACACTTCTCAAACAATCCGGGAAACGGGCCTGGGCACGGTACGGATGGCATAGTGTGAGTAGTCCCTTAATCAGCAGGGTTTGTGCAGAGTGCAGATTTCATTATTGAAGCTCAGAGATTAATCCTGAAGGACAGTAATATAAGATGATGTAGCAAAACATTTTCTATTTGACAACTGTTACCCTATAAGGGCTAAATGATAAACTGTAAAATCCAACTTTGAAAATTTTTAGCAGTTTTAAACAGTTCAGATATATCTATAATTTACATTATTTCTCATTATTAACTGAACGTAAAGAGACAAAACATGGTGTGCCTTGCATTTAGCAAATATCTCAAAACAGTCCCTACAGTGCAAAAAAGCACAAGTGATTAAATACTAAACCAACATGAACATTCAACTCGCTGAATCTGCTTCCATGCTCAAATTACAACTACCATATCATTCACCCTCTCTCTGAAATACTACTCAGAGACAATTTAGCTGGATTCAGTTAACAGGATTCAATTAGCAAGTGGAACTCAAAGGAAGATGTGGCAATTATACAAAACCATTACAACAACAACAAATATTGGGTGAACGTTTGTTGTAAGCTGAGCACTGAATGTGCTGAAATTTGTGCTGTTGGTTTAGAGGTCATTAACACCAGTGGTTCTCAAAGTGGGGGTCGGGACTCCTAGGCGGGTCGCGGGACAATGAGGGGGGGTCGCTTAGCGGTTTCCAAAAATCAACATTTTATTAATTACCATAATTTATCCATAACCTACTGAAGAACAAATAAGTAGTTAAAGGGCACCTAGGTTACCCCTTTTTTCAGATTTAATATAAGTCTTTTGCGTCTCTAGAATGTGTATATAAAGTTTCAGATCAAAATACCCATCAGATTTTTCCTTATACCTTTTACAAGATGCAGTCTTATACTGATTTCCAGCAGGGGGTGGTTTTGTCGTACTGCGCCTTTAAGCCAATTCTTTCCCGCCCACTGTTTCTACATGCCTCCTCCCTCAGCTGCGTCAGACAACAGACAGACTTAAAGGAAGGAGGTCTCACGTAGCGTTTGTGAGATACTACAGTAAGAACTAACCTTTACTAATCAGTATTGTGAAGTTGCATAGATGAGTAACACACAATATCGTTACAAAGTTAACGCGCGCGCACGCACGCACGCACGCACGCACACACACACCGCAGATGATACACACACACACACACACGCAGGCAGGCAGACAGACAGACAGAGCGCACTTAGCCTAGTTAAGGCTAACCTCAAGTGTGGATATCTGTTATACTAATGTACAAAATAAACCTGATTTAACTTCCACAAACCGGGATTGAAGCGTCTTCTTTTATAATTGTTCTGACACGCGGCTGTGCTGATGAAGTAAAGCTGAAGTAAAAAGCTGTAATTAATTACACACATACTCTGTTTTAAAACACTTTAAACATGTGAAACTTACTCCTAATCACATTTGATGATGATTGCTGATCCTAGCGAACAGTACAGAGCTTTTTTTCCCGGTTGCTTTGCGTATGTCTGTCTGGTCTTGTTGACATATACACGCGACTACCGGAACATGTTAATGCGCGCAGCTGTCAATCAATTCGGTGGGCGGGGGAATCGCACACCTACGTAATGGTGCGATCGATTTGAAAACAGCTCCAATTGGCCGACACTTTTTTTTGTAGTTAAATTGAAAAAAAAAGGACTGGGTGTGTTCATATCACCCCAGTATGACGGTCTATACACTATACCAACACACAGATCTGTCCAAACAGCTTAAAAAGTAGATTTTTTACCATAGCTGCCCTTTAATAGTAACATTGCTATCATGTTAATAATAAACATTAAAAAACAACATGCAATTAAAAAGCCATCAGCCTTTAGAAATGTTTTGTTTTTGTGACCCCAGGGGTGATTACGTTATATTAAAGACACAGCAATAGCGTCAGACATTGATTTTATGTCACCTCTCTGACACCTTTAAGACACTCACATACTGTACATTAAAAATAAAACAGACCACAACTGAACATAGAGGATGGTCTCCGAGTGGCGTTCTCAAAAAATAAATTGACGAATAGACTTGGGCCTATTGGTATGTATGCACCCGTTGTGTGCAAGGTTTATATATGTATAACAACTTTAGAGGGTATTGGGAGTTGCGAGTCACTGGCATTGTTATTTTGGGCGTCGCAGACTAAAAGGTTTGAGAACTCCTGATTTACACAATTAAAAACTAATGCACTTTATTTGTTCAAGTATATGATAACAGTATTTTGGTGGTTCGAAAATAAAAAAATGCAAAAAAAGTTTTAAACTATGTAATTGTGCATTCGTGAAAACTGTGATGTCATGCACAGATATATTTCGTGTTAAGCCTAGAGCAACTCATGAGTACTTGACAACAGTTGCTGACTGCAGGATTGTATGTATGTAGGCGCAGTGTTTCTTTATAAGTGACATCGCCACCTACTGGCCAGGCATGCAGAATTCATCGTCATCTTCTTCAGTGTGTGGCTAATAATCTCTCTGGGCTCTATTTTGACGATCCATGCACAAAGCACAGTGCGCAAATGCTTTCAGGGCGTGTCAGAATCCAGAATCCGGGGCGCATGGTCTAAAAGGGTTAAGTTTATTTTCTTAATGAGTTATTGGTGTTTTGAGAATAAACCAATCAGAGTCTCATCTCCCATTCCCTTTAAAAGCCAGTTGCTTTGCGCCATGGCACATTTGCTATTTACATGATGTAAAATAAGTGTAAGTGGAAAAACTGAGCATTTCACTAGCAAGCAAACAGTTAAACAGCATCTACAGCGCGAGAATGAGAGATAAATGATCTACTTTCACTTTCGCTCTCGTGGATAGGGAAACCTTGTACGCACAGACATCAATTAGCCTAAAAATAATTCATTTTGTTTGTTAAACGCAAATATTTATTTCAAAACTATTTCTAAATTCAGTTCTAATTTCCAGCAAATGAATAAATGAACAATAATAACGAAGTGTGTTCAAAAACCTGAGTTATATCCTAATACACATGCTGTGCACCATATGGTCTAAAACCTGACAGGACAAATCTAAGCTTGTTTTTAATAAAACAAATATAAATATGGATATGATAAATAATACTGCTAATAATAATAACATTATACAAAAGTAAATTGAATAAACTGAAAAAGCCTCCCGAGATGAAGAAGGCATGAAGGCAGTGGGTTTTCATATTTATGTAGGCTAGAAAATAATATGTTTTGTAATATTTTAATCCTTTATATTTATATCCTATATATATATATATATATATATATATATATATCCTTATTATATCCTATATATCCTTAATATTTTAATTCTTTTTCATATGTAAAGATATTTGCATATTGCTCTACATCTTGTGTGTATTAAGCAGTGTGTAAACAAGGCGCAACTCTGTGCTCTACTTTAGACCGGCTTTGTTTTGGTCTATTGAATAATCGATTATAGTTTCTCAAAATAGCAACGCGCCAGCAATAAAAAAACATTTATTAATTTATGAATAAGATTGACGCAACTGATGGGGATAGGTCATGTGATAATAACAAACGGTGGCTGCACTACACCTGAATTTCATTAATACTACTCCTATTAATAATATATTAAACATATATTTCTAATGCAAAATCTAACAAAAAGTGCTTAGGTGTAGCTTAAATAATGTGTCTGTGCTCTTTGGGAAAGAGGTTCATCAGAATAAACAGCAAAAATCAGTCCAAAGTACTTGAAAAATGTGGGTAAAGTAATAAAAAAATAATATTTTTTAATACTTTTAATACTCTTTCCACATTTTTTGAGTGCCTTGGACTGATATTTGCTATTTAAACTTTTCTGATGGTTGTGAAGTAAATCTAAGTCAAATGTAGTTTCTATTTCTATGTAGTTTGATTTAACCTGATATTTTTACACAAATTTTGTTAGATTTAGTTAGCATATTAGGAAGCCAAATATGAAAAGGCAGTTCAAGAATTATTCTATGATAGATTTTATTTTATTATTATTATTAATTTAGGGACTTTTACTGGAGAACAAGACAATAACACTGATTTAGGAAAAAAGCCGTATGGATAATGTATGGATCCACTGTGGGAAACAATGTGACGAAGACTTGCACAATTCTTTTTGCACTGACCATGAGTGAGGATTTGACTCTGCAGGGTGGACATTAAACACCTTACAGGCCTCTGTTGCTCTGCTTCTGAATCACAGCTTCAACTTTGAACTTATTATGGGAGGAATTACGGACTCCAATAAAGCTGAAAGGATGCTATCAACCTGAAGATGTTTTCAGAGTGGACAAACAAAAGCTTTTGAAAGTGGATATACATTCCTTTTGCGTTTAGACGCTAAGTTAAACGCATGGACATTGGATATGATGAGATGATGCCTTGAGGAAGGATTTCTTTCTCTGAGATGCTGTATGCATGATCGATTTGCCTGCCTAAAACAATGTTTGTTTGTTTGTTTTTTTCCTACAGAATCTCTTCGGTGCCTAATTAAATTAGACTTGTCACATTTTAGCAGTGATTGTTCAAAATAGACACAGATCTGAATCCCAGAACTTTTATTTCTATAGCTGAAGGTTTTCAGTAAACTCTGTCTGATTTAGTTCATTCCATTCAACCTAGGTTGATTTTAGTACAGACACAAACACACACGCGCACAAGATCACTGTAAAGTCTTTACTGTAATAAGTCTTATATCAATGTCAGACTACAGATTGTGACTGTAAATGCTGCTGCTGGCTGGTTGAAAGATGAAGATTGCCTTTTTTTGATCAAAGCACTGAGGAAGGTCGATGAAAATATTTAAGTGTATTTTGAAATATGCAGTATTTTTAATGCAATAAACATGGGATCTATTTTTACAGTTGAATGCAGATTTGATTGACTTAATGTGTTTATGATTAATCCTTGTATTGTATGATGGTTATTTCTTGTGTTTATCCAGTCGTTTAGATTTATCTCACAGGTTATGACCGTATGAACATGTGCTAACAGGCAAAATTAAGACGTAAAATAATATGACAGAGAGATGTGACAGCACATTTTTTATGGTGCGAGTTGGCCATATAAAGTTAATGATTGTGATACTAGACTGATGCTCCTCAGGGTGTTGATGTGAATTTACTAGAGAATGTTTTTAAGACAAATTTTTGTTAGTTTACCAAACAATATCTAGAATAATAATATGAAGCAGGTAGTGGCAGTATAACAGGCAATAATTAAGAGTAAAATCTAAAAATGACTTTCTATTATGAGCCTGATATGGTGAAAAGTATCAAGTGTGTGAAGGACACGATTCATGACAAGATAGGGAGAGTAGTGTTACCTTTGCTACCACTGAGTTTTATTGCATTTTATGTAACCAGAGCACATGGTACAGTATTCACACCTAGCACTGGCCTAAACTTATGTTTTTGGTCTGGTAAAGAAAATATCTTAATAGAATCCTCTTTTTGTCTTATGCTGACAAAAATTGAAAAAAAAAATCAATAATAGCCTATAACATCGTATAAATGTGATCTTGTGATCTAATCTTCCTTGTTTTTTTTAACCAGAGGGATGTGAAATTACTACTCAGGCTTTTTCAGTCAGGTTTCTGTAACCACACGGAACAGGTTTAAGTTAGTCTTCTCCCTATTTTATTTGAGTGAGTGGCCCACGTGAACTTATGATGACCCATGTAAGCAGTAACCTTTAGAAAGCCTTCTTCCTAACCATATCCGCTATTTTTATAACACACAGACTGTAAAATAGGACTAATAAGTCATAACAGTATCTTTCGTTAACTGTATTTTATTTAATTGATTAATCATGTTTGTAACTTAGTTAGACAAGCTTTTTTTAAGTTTTAGATTAAAAATTTAGGTTTAAGTCAAAAACTGTTCAAACAATAAAAATAAAATAAATTAAAGAAGTTTCTATTTAAAAAAAAAAAAAAGTCTGCAAAATGAAGTAAAATTAGTTTGATTATTTCAATTCCAATAGACTATTTCTTCTTAAATGGTAAATTTTGAGAACAAAAAAATCAGTTTCTATTGATTTATTGGATTTAAGTATGAGTAAAATATTAATATTTGTTTCATTCTGAAGGCCTGGAAACATTTCTTCCAATTTTAAATATAAATATTGTAATTTTAGTGTTTTAAAGAACAATTAGTCCGGGTTATTCCATCAAATACAGTAGATTTTGCAAATCCGCTCTTGAAGTTAAGATGTTTGTATTGTGTTGTCTAAAATTGTCATTGTGTCTTGTTATTTTATGCTAAAAATTTTAAATGACAACATTTTTATTATACGTTTGGAAAACAGTAGACCCACAGAATCAAACAAACTCAAACACAAAATGATCGTAAAAAACAGATAGTTCATTGTTCTTTTTCAGTCAAACCTTATTTAAATATTTAACATTGGCGGTTCATTGCGCTGTGGCAACCCCTGATTAATGGAGGGACTAAGCCAAAAAGAAAATGAATTAATTAATTTTTAACATTCATGAAATACGTATGTGAGCATATGACAATAACATTTTTTTTCATAGATAAAATCGAGAAGGTGGGACATGTCAAACTCTCCATTTGAAAAGAGGACAAACACGTACATTTAGTAAACTATCCACTGTTCACGCTTGGTTAATTTCTAATTAGCCTACATTATAACTGGAAAACATCACAAACTTATGCTTCGAAAATCTGGAGACCACCATATTGATAAATATCCCATCAAAAATTGATGAAGATAATGTTAGACATCCCTCCTAAGCGCCTTTTTCTGTCATAAAAGTGTCCAAATGATTTCGGAAGGAGATCTATAAAGCATGCAGGCTGTGATGTAATCCCTAGAAACATAAAGTCAAGGCTGTATAAACGTGCGCGCGACCGCGATCTGTCAGATAGTCCTCCAGTCCCGCGCCTCGCTGAGCTCATTGTGGAGGGACAGCAGGGTGGGAAGAACGCCGTCAGAGCGGTAGGTATCTTTCATTCACTCAATAAAATATTAATTTACCATGATAACCGTAGTCACCGGTGAAAATAATGGACATAATACATTATATTTTAAACAAATCACCTATGGTGACTCGGTATTAGCCATCACTATCTAACGTTAAACCGTATAACAAAAATAAAAAACATTTTAAATGCTTCTACTGTTGAAGAACAGATCAAAATGCCTGAAAACGAACAAAATTCGTTCTTGCTTAATAACATTGATGTTGATATCTGGGAGGATTGTTTGATAGTGGTTTGAGAGTCGGTAAACATAATTTAAAGCGACAGAAGCAACAGGATTCATTTCTAAATTCTTTAATACTGCTTTACTTTAAAAGCACACAGTAGTTCAACGTGGGAGTGACAAAGTTCATAAATGTAATACTCTGAACTCTTATGCCGTAAAGTTATCAATGAAGTGGATTTTAAAAATTGTTTACATTAGGTAAATTGGATCGTCTGTTTACATCTGTATTTATCTGTCAACTCAAAATAGGAGAGTTTTTAGTGTCCGTAATTGTACAGTGTGTTATACTGTGCTCTTATGTAACACAGCACAAAACCACCTGCCCCATCCAGACCATTAAATCCAGATTAACACCCACCCGGACTATCAGCATCTGAGATAACAGCAAACATGGGCAAGAAATCCAAACTCAAAGTGTCAAGTGACAAAAAAGAGGAGAATGGAGATGTAAGGTAAGTGACTCTTCTGTTATATACCAAGGAAGTTTGTGTTGATTTTTTTGTCATTTTAAAAGACCTTTGTCCGTAGTAATAGTTCATAGTAATACATTTGTTTAAGCTGGTTTATTGCTGGATTCATGTCCTGTCATATTAGTCTTCTCACGAAAGAAGTTGATCATTTATCTGTGTTAAACAATGTTAACAATGTAGCTGTAAAAAAAATCTGAATAGTTACAGGCAGAATGGTTTAAAAAAACAGCAACAACAGTTTAACCAAATGCTAATTTACATTACTAGTTCATTTTATTATTAAATCTAATGTTTTTTTAAACATATTTCCTTCTAGCGGTGAGAAAAATGGAAAGGAAGAGAAGGAGGAAAAGGAAAAGTTGGAGATGGTGGGACCGATAGAATTAGTGAGTTGAATATTGCAGTATTAATACTGTAACTTTTTTGTAACACATTAATATTTCTCTATCATAAAGGTCAATACACAAAACTGTATAACAAATACTGAAGGAAGGCTTAGCTATAACTAACCGTGGATGGTTTATATCATAGAGATTTACATTAGATATCACCTATGCTGTTGTTGTCTATTGGAAGGAATGCATCAATAGAGCCACCATTTTAGTACAGGGTATCGCTTCTTTGAAATCAATGTGGTACCAAGGTGTGGTGGAGCACTGGCCCTCCGGAGCCATAGATATGTAAACATATATCTATGATCGGGAGTTTTCCCAGTGGTCAGTATGCAAATATTTTTTTTAAATTACAGAAATTATAATTTTACATCACTTTTCTACATCGATGGATAAGTGACTGCACGGACATTGCCGACAAAGAGCATGTGTTTGTGTGAATAGAAAAGTGTTTTGTCAAATGTGAAATGTGCAGCATAACAGTCCGGCATCTTCAGATTAGCTTTAATCTTCTTGACTAGTGCGGTTGAATGAGATTTATCCTGGGAGCACTGTACTAATGTGGCGGCGGTATTGACGCATGCTCAGGGCTCATATGTGATATCTAGTGTATATATCTATGGGTTTATATAAATAAAACTTAACCTAACCTGTACTAAGAGAAGTGTGTCTTTGTGTTAGTTTCGATATGCAGATAGTATCGACATTTTACTGATGATGCTTGGCTTAATCATGTCCATGGCCAATGGGGCAGTTCTTCCTCTCATGGTAATTGTATTTGGAGACATGACGGACAGCTTTGTGGATGATACATTGTTGGACAATTTGAAGAACATTACCCTCCCACCTAGTGAGTGATTTTTTTTTTTTTTTTTTTTGTATGCCTCATCGCTGTCCTATTAATTCTCAAATTACAATACATTCCTTCATTTATTTTCTAGACTTCACCTTTCCAGAGACCAGTAATATTACTTTGGGGGAGAAGATGACAACGTTAGACAACTTTTCTTTTTATTGAAACACTGCAGTTTTCATATTTAATGTTTAAATCTTAGTCTTTTATAGTGTATGATAGTCTCCCTTTTCCTTCTCAGACATGCTATATACTACAGCATCATGGGATTTGTGGTCTTGGTGGCGGCATATATGCAGGTGGCCTTTTGGACTCTTGCGGCAGGACGTCAGGTGAAGAAACTTAGAAAGATATTCTTCCACTCCATCATGAAACAGGAGATCGGCTGGTTTGATGTCAACGAGACGGGACAACTCAACACACGCCTTACAGAGTACGTCATGCAGTTAGATTGATGAGCCTACATGTTATTCACAGTGGCACATGCTTACATTTCACTCTTATTTTTCCTCTCCAGTGATGTTTACAAAATAAATGAAGGCATTGGGGATAAACTTGGCATGCTGATTCAGAATCTCACTACTTTTATTGTTGGCATTATCATTGGCTTTGCTAAAGGCTGGAAGCTGACCCTCGTCATCCTCGCTGTTAGCCCGTTACTCGGTATCTCAGCCGCTGTCATCGGAAAGGTAAGATTAAAAGGAACATGGAGAGAAACAGTTTTAATATTTTTATGACTGCTGTAAGCTGCTGATTCACATGGGTCCCCTTAATACAATACGTTACGGTATGGTACGTCAGTTGTACCACAAACAAACACAAAAGACATTTCTTTTTACACCAGAAGTTTTAAAAGGAAAGTTCATCCAAAATGAAAATTCTGTCATCATTTACTCTCCCTTCAAAGCTGAAAACCTGTAACCATTGACTTCCAAAGTTTTTTTTTCCTAATATGGAAGTCAATGGGTACCAGCTAACGTTTTGTTTTTCAAAATATTGTTTTTTGTGTTCAACAAAAGAAACGCATAAACCCAAAATCTGAATTTAAATATAGACTTAAAGAACATTTATCAGAGTACTACATGACTATTTTAGCTCCCCTTTGAGGGGGGAACTTCAATGCTATGTGGAAACTTCACATAAACAGTTTTGCATCTGAACTCTTCATATATAAATTGCTTCACGAAAATATATTGCTTCACGAAGCAATCTCAGACACAATGCACTCAATGGAGTGAGTGACGTCACTGTGACGGGTAGGGTTAGGGGTGGGGTTAGGTGAGCGCATTAAAAATCAAAAAGCTCAGATCGCACTGCACCAGCCCCCCCCCCAATCCTGTTTAACGGAGATATGTTTTTTTTAACACATTTCTAATCATGATAGTTTTAATAACAAATTTTAAATAACTAATTTATTTTTTCCTAAGTGACATTGACAGGCTTAACTAGGTAAATTAGGTTAACTAGGCAGGTTAGGGTAATTAGGCAAGTTATTGTACAATGAAGGTTTGTTCTGTAGATTATAAAAAAATATTGCTTAAAATGGCTAATAATTATGACCTTAAAACTGTTTAAAAAAAATTAAATTAATTAAAATTAAAACTGCTTTTATTCTAGCCAACATAAAACAAATAAGACTTTCTCCAGAAGAAAAAATATTATCAGACATAGTGAACATTTCCTTGCTCTGTTAAACATCACTTGGGAAATATTTAAAAAAGAAAAAAAATCAAAGGGGGACTAATAATTCTGACTTCAACTTTATATATTAAAGAGTATTATGAACTAAAATGATAATGAATGTAAGAAAAGTAACTTTATAACCTTGCCTTATTAGGTGATGACAACATTCACGTCGAAGGAGCAGACGGCCTATGCGAAGGCTGGAGCAGTGGCAGAGGAAGTGCTGTCATCCATCAGAACCGTCTTTGCCTTTGGTGGACAGAAGAAAGAGATCAAGAGGTGTGATTGAAAGTTATCTTGCATCTAAATTTGAACACTATTTATTCATTCATTCATTTTCTTTTTGGCTTAGTCCCTATGGTAATCTGGTGTCGTTATAAACACCATTTAATCATTTGGTAAATTATCTTAGAACTATAAATGCTGGACAGCAAGAGCTTAATTTTAGCACATTGTAGTCTGGCTGTGAGAGTGTTAGCCTGTTGTTGTCCAATAAGATGAATTGGAAAAGCATGGGGAATAACAGCCTATTTTTGTGTTTTTCACAAGGTATCACAAAAACTTAGAGGATGCTAAGAACGTTGGAGTAAGGAAGGCCATAACTGTGAACATTGCTATGGGCTTCACATTCTTCATGATCTACATGTCCTATGCACTGGCCTTTTGGTACGGCAGCACTCTTATCCTGGGTGGGGAATATACGATTGGCATGCTTTTGACGGTGAGTATAAAGCAAGGATATTTCCGATACACAACCTCAGAAACTCCCACAGTCACATTGGTCCAGGATTTGGTGTTGTGTCAAATGTTGTAGGTGAAAGAAAATCCTTATTAATAGCATGTGGTTATGTTTTCTTTATGGGAGCAGATTATTAAATAGCCACGAGTCTGTTTCACAAGTGCATTTTCTATTCTTCTTTTTTTAGATTTTCTTCGCTGTCCTAATTGGAGCTTTTGGCCTCGGTCAAACGTCTCCAAACATACAGACCTTCTCCAGTGCTAGAGGAGCCGCCCATAAAGTTTTCCAGATCATTGATCACGTGAGTGAACACACTGTTAGCTAATCATAAATGAGTACAGGATATTATATTATATAATGTTGGAAGAAAAAACTGTTGTCGAAAGTTCAACAATATAATTGTTCCACATGATATTACAATTTCACTTTCCGCATTAAATAATTAAACACATTAAAGAATTAAACTTACAGTAGCATTGACTATTCCGCTAACACTTTCTTTTCCTAACTGTAGTACTGTGATCTATTAGCTGCCAAACTCTTGTTTACATGTCAAGTCATGTTTAGATTGAATTTTCCTATGGTAAATCTCATGACAATGTGCGGATGCCTTTTAAAATGACTTTAAGGCATAAGCATATCCAGGGTCCCTATATAGTCATAAAAAAGTTTTTCTGTTGAGTCATATTAAAATTAGAGGCCATTTTGTACAGAAATACTTCATGATTGTGCCTATAGTACTATTCAGTTGATTTTCTAATATTTTAAACGAAGTCTACTATTCTCACCAAGACCAGTGTTGGAAAAAGTTACTTTTGAAAGTAATGTATTTCAGTATTGAGTTACTCCCCCCAAAATAACCGGTTGCATTATTTAGTTACTTTTTACTGGAAAGGGTAACACTTTATTTTGATGGTCCACTTGAGTGTTAGTAGACTGTCTGCTTAATATCTGTTGATACTGCTCCTTCAGCAGATATTTAATTGACTGTAAGAAACTTTGCAAGTACATGTCAACTTACACTAACCCCAACCCTAATCCCAACCTGACAGGCTATTTATAATCTAATGAGAATTAGTTGGCAGGTAGATACAATGTAACTTAAATTCAACAAATGGACCATCAAAATAAAGTGTGACTCTGGAAAGTAATGTGTTCCGTTACTTTTCTTACCTGGCTGAGGCTTTTTTAGGAGCTGTACACTGTACAACCTACATCTTCATTCATCTTTAAAGAAACACATCGTTCTGCCATCTTGGTTTCTGTCTGTTTCTGCATTCTCTCATCGAGTGCATGACTACATAATTTAAATATCATAAAATATTTTTAATTCAACAATTTATTTTTTTAAAGTTAATTAATTAAACTAAACAGGACTGTGGAGGAAACCAGAGCACCCGGAGGAAACCCGCGTAAACACGGGGAGAACATGCAAACTCCACAAAGAAATACCAACTGAGCCAGCCGGGGCTCGAACTAGTGACTACCCACTGCGCCACAGTGACACCCTTATGTATACATCAGGGTTAATACGGTCATGGAAAACCTGGAAAAGTCATGGAATTTTGACATGGCATTTTTCAGGCCTGGAAAGGTTTAGTAAAACCAGAAAAATCCACAAGGTTTTGTAAATGTCATGGAAATTACATTTACATTTAGTCATTTAGCAGACATTTCTGTCCAAATCGACTGCGATCGCACTAAAGCTTGTGCTTGCAAAATACTTTCATATGGCGCTGCCAAAAGGGGCGGGGTTAAACAATATGATTAGACATTAATAAAAGTGAGCGATTGCTCCATATTTTAAATTTCTTATTTTAAATGATGTTCTATTGGTCTATCACCTGATGTGATTTCGCAGGTAAGAATTCACCAAGCTTGAACTTTCGAATGCAAACTTGAATGCAAAATGTAAACTTGTCACACATATTCTTGGTCTGCCGCATTCGCATGCCTATGAATTGAAGTCTATTAAGCGAAAAGTGCAGTGTGATCGCGGCTTTAAATTAGAAGTAGTTTTACCTAAGATTACTAGTTTAACAAGCTATTAAGATTATCTAAAATTAGTTTGACAAATGTCTGCATATTGGAATGGAGCTTAGTTTTTACTTTTTTTCTTTTCTTGGCCAAAACATGCTCTCACATTATTAGTGCTGTGTAAGCATAATCTATTTTACATAGATATAAAAATAAACTGAAAGTATTGTATGTTTTATGATATGCTGTAAAAAATGTTAACATTTCTTATGATTTACCATATGTAGACATTACATGGAATATTAAGTCATAAAAATTGACTTGAAAGTCTTGAAAAAGTTATGGAATTTTTGTAGTAAAAATGTGTATGAACCCTGATACATATAAATTGTTAATAACTATACTATCTTTGCGATCCAAAATAAGTTTTCCTTATTTTACATACTTCAAAGTTTTTATTCTTAAAAATATCTATTCTTTAATAGCAAAGAGTACAGAAAATGTACACAAATATGCAGCTGGCGTACAAAGGGAAATCATTTGCAGCCATTTATCTAAAAACGATCTATGCAATCATAAATAAGTGAAAAAGAGGTGCACCATTGGTCAAAGGGGTGGGGTGTTTTATTTGTGAAGCTTATTGTATTGTTTCCTGACTTTGTTGTACTATAGCTCCATATATATTCTGGTCATTTGTACATACTTTCAGGTGTCCTGGACTGTACATTTTTAACATCTGTTCAGTATCCAAGAAGGAAAAGTCTGGACAATTAAAAGACACACATGCACACATGCAAGCACTGAACTTGTCTTTATTTAGACTCAGATGGTCCAGTTTAAACAAACACCACACACACGGTGGACAGGCAGCGGCTTTGAGATAAAGTCCAGAGACAAAAAGGTGCGCACAAATAATCCAGAGCCAAGTTGCATAACTTCCTGTCATTGTTTTAGCAGCATGAAATATGGCCAGGTCTCAGGATCAGAGTTGTTTCCCTGCTGAGATCCAATGAATAGAATACCACAGGGGGTCGTTTGTCTCTGCATTAGTGCAATTAGTGTGCTATTGATGTCTATTAGTCTGAATAAGGTTTGATTTGTAAACTTAATTCGTTGCTGGAATATAAAATATGAAAAAAATTGTTCTTATCAACAGGAACCCAAGATTAACAGTTTCTCTGAGGAAGGATACAAACTTGACGTCGTTAAAGGAAACATTGAGTTCAAAAACATTCATTTCAGATACCCCTCGCGAGATGATGTGAAGGTAGGTCCATCAAATTGTTATTTTATGTATATTTGAACAGGATGACAACAGAATGAAATCTGTGTCTCTGGTTTGGCTGTGTAGGTCCTGAATGGCATGAATCTTAAAGTCATGAGTGGACAGACCATTGCTTTAGTGGGCAGCAGTGGGTGTGGAAAAAGCACAACAATCCAGCTGCTGCAACGCTTCTACGACCCACAGGAAGGGAGCGTAAGTACAAAGAGAGACAGAGACGTGCACACTCTTTGACCTCCCTGTCTTAATCTAAGGCTCTATTTACAGTGATGCATTTTATTTTTATAAAGGTTAATCATCCAGCATTATAGAACAGGTCTCCGTCCACACTACACCACTGAAAACATTCATCACATGACCATACATGCACTCTGACAACGGCATTTTTGAAAACTTTGGGGTAGTGTGGATGGAAGTGAAAACTGTAGCAGAAGTTTTAAGTGCGTTAAAACTAAAACGTATTAATGTAAATGGGGCCTAACTTTTCTCTAACCCTTCAGGTTTCTATAGATGGTCATGATATTCGCTCTCTGAATGTGAGAGGTCTGCGAGAACTGATTGGCGTGGTCAGTCAAGAACCAGTGCTGTTTGCAACAACAATTGCCGAAAACATCCGCTACGGCCGGCAAGACGTCACCCAGGATGAGATTGAGCAGGCTGCACGTGAAGCCAATGCCTACAACTTCATCATGAAGCTCCCTGATGTAGGCTTCTAATTTGATGATCCTGATAACAAAGATTGATTGGATCTAGTCTGACCAATATCTCTGGTCATTTTCAGAAATTTGAGACGCTGGTTGGAGACAGGGGAACCCAGATGAGTGGCGGACAAAAGCAGCGTATTGCCATTGCACGAGCACTTGTGCGCAACCCAAAAATCCTTCTTCTCGACGAGGCTACCTCTGCCCTGGATGCAGAGAGTGAGACTATTGTGCAAGCAGCTCTAGATAAGGTAACAAAGAATATTTTTCTGTGTTCATTTTTCTATACTATATATATATATATATATATATATATATATATATATATATATATATATGTGCGTGCGTGTGTGCGTGTGTGTGTGTGTGTGTGTGTGTGTGTGTGTGTGTGTGTGTGTGTGTGTGGGTGTGTGTGTGTGTGTGTGTGTATATATGTTGTTTATATATAAATGTTGTTTTTTTTTTCATCTGAACAGGTGAGGCTGGGAAGGACCACCATAGTTGTGGCTCACCGACTCTCTACTATTCGAAATGCTGATGTCATCGCTGGTTTCCAGAATGGTGAAATAGTAGAACTGGGCACGCATGATGAACTGATGGAAAGGAAAGGAATCTACCACTCTCTGGTTAATATGCAGGTTAGAAACCCACTGTTCAGACATGAATCATTTGCAGCTAGTACGCTGTAATGTTTTCAAAACTACCAGACATGAGACCATTCAGTGCTGTCATAATAAAAACTCTCATTTCCCGATAACATTTGAGCTCTTTTGAGTGGGTTCTTAAAACAATACTGACTGTCTATTGTGTTCATGCACAGATATGACTGTGATTAGGGCTGGACGATATCGTGAGAAAATTCTCATATCATAATATAAGTCATCTCATGTCCTGATAATGATATATTTATCACGATATAGGACCATTTTTGTAAATTCAGTCAATTAAAAGTTTATATATGAAGAGTTTAGATGCAAAAACCTCTAAGCACCGTCTGAAATTTGCTTTATAATTTGTGTTTTTTCAAGCCTTCTGTTTATGTTAAGGTATTTTACTTTAAAAGCAATAAAAATAACCTATTCTTTGCACTAAGAGGAAAATTACTGAAACTACACACAATAGCCTGAGAAAAATACAAAATTTAGATGAAAATTTCAGATGGAATTTAGAGGTTTTGCATCTAAATTATTCATATACTGACCACATGTAAAGCACTATTTTTTTATTACATTATATAATATTGCAAGTATATATAGAGAAATGTACCCATTTATATGTGGTCGTACTTCTCACTTTATTTAGAACATTTTCTTTTTCTTAGAACCTAATTAGAACAAATGTTTAATTAAGAATTGTAGAAATTTTAAATAAATATTCATACGATATAAAAGACTTTTCAAAAACTAATGACTATATGCCCAACATAATAAGAAAACATATCGCTAAAAAAAGCTACATTTCACACAATGCCGTTATTCATATTTCTGTGTGCATCCCTGTAAAATATACAGTTAAAGTCAGAATTATTAGCCCCCTTTTAATTTTTTTTTATTTCTTTATTTAATATTTCTTAAATGATGTTTAACAGAGCAAGGAAATTTTCACAGTATGTCTGATAATATTTTTTCTTCTGGAGAAAGTCTTATTTGTTTTATTTCAGCTAGAATAAAAGCAGTTATTAATTTTTTAAAAAACAATTTTGGGACAAAATTATTTGCCTCTTTAAGCTAATTTTTTTACGATAGTCTACAGAACAAACCATCATTATACAATAACTTGCCTAATTACCCTAACCTGCCTAGTACACCTTATTAACCTAGTTAAGCCTTTAAATGTCACTTTAAGCTGTATAGAAGTGTCTTGAAAAATATCAAGTAAAATACTATTTACTGTCATCATGACTAAGATAAAATAAATCAGTTATTAGAAATAGGTTTCTAAAACTATTATGCTTAGAAATGTGCTGAAACAATCTTCCCTCCATTAAACAGAAATTGGGGAAAAAAATAAACAGCGGCGCTAATAAGTCAGGGGGGCTAATAATTCTGACTTCAACTGTATATATATATATATATATATATATATATATATATATATATATGTATATATATGTATAAATTGCATTCATATATATGATGAAAAAATATGACAAATTATAACCGTAAACAATGTATTTTTTAACACCACAAAATCAACAATAGAGCATAATAGGAAATGACAGACTTTTTTCTCCATACAGTATATAGTTTTAAAAGTCAGCTAATCACTCGTATGCAGTATCTGCTCATAGACTGATCCTCTGATAGACATGACTTTCAAATGCTCTTGTGTTTGTGTCAGTGTAAGCACTTGGACGAGGCCAATCAACTGCCTTTAACAATTCTCTCAGCATCACTGTCATGTCAGCAGTCAATTCATGTTTTTTCTGTACCAACTGGTTTTGCATTTGGTTATTTTGACAAAACTGTGACGTATGGCATTCTGTTCTTGGATGACCTGATTTTCAAGCCTTAAAATCCTTTACTGGCTCTTTTCACTTCTATAAATGTTTTATTTCGTTCCTGTTCCTTTACTAGTTAGTAAGGTCAAAAGCAGCCCTCTTGACATCTCATTAAGACCGTCAGTGATTTGGTTCATCACAGCAACCAGAAGTCATTCATGCTCTACAAGATTTGTCTATTTGAGGCAGCATGAGTAATGCTGGCTGTCAAAATATGTTGAGCTGATAGCAAAGCTGTTTCATGCCAAGTTAGGATGTTGTAGTCAAGTAGCAGCTAACAGTACAGTGACTTGACGACTTCCAGTTACTGCAGATTGAATTTGTTTTACTGTGAACAACTCTTAAAACATACATAAAGAGACCTTATGGATTGCATCTATCTGGATTTGAGTGAATGAGATACATTGACCAAATCAAAAAAATTTGTTTTACTTTAGGCTATCCATGATGTAATGTTTTTGTTTGTTTCAGTGCAGCATTATATTCAAGCTGTGGTCTTTTGTGGTTGATAAAAATCAAGTCAACAGTGAAATGCGCTTAAAGAGTCAAAAATCATCAACAAGTAAACCAAAATAAAATGTTCAGCCTGTGCACAAATTAAAATTGAGTTAATATTTCAGCAGTATCTAACACTATCTGTTTGTTCTCTGGTAAACAATCAGGGTTCTCAGCAGTCATGGATTTGTTTGGAATATTATGCAATTTTAAAAGGGATATTCTTTAAATATTTATCGTGGAGCCGTTGGAATATCAGAGATTTCTGTTTGTCGCTTAATATTTTTGTTTCCATTGATCAAATTGTAATTTTTCTTCACCATATTTTTTATCACATTGTTTTATATGTCGATTATGTTTAGGATCTTTTTGAGTTCCATTTTATTTCCTGCCACCACACAAACAGTCAGTACCTCTGATTTATTTATTAATTTTCAAAATCTGGGGTAATTTATCCATTACTGTTCTCATGGTGCCATTAAAGTCCTACAAAATTATATTCAGGGTAAAACACAAAAGTCAGAGAATTTGACATTTGCCTTAAAGTGAGAAGCTTGAACAGTGCGTGATAAAACAGGAAATGTGTTTAGAATGCAAAGAAGGTATATTTCTAGGTTTTGTGTTTGAATTACAGATGTTTAAAAGCACAGAGGTAGCAGAGGAGGACAGTGAGGAGATGACTATGGATGAGAAGAGTCCTTCAGTCAGCTCTATGAATGAACGCACACTCTTTAGACAGAAATCCAGAAGTGGCTCCGAAAAAGAGCTGAAGGAAGAAGAGAAACCGACAGAGGAAGTAAGAGACACAAAGTACCTACGTTTTATTTGATAGATTGACTAATTTGCTTATTTCCTTAGAATTCTTTTTAATTTGCTTACAAACACACACACACACACACATGTTGGTACTGGTGGTTTTGCTGTAAATCTCCACAGGCTTAATGTATGTTATACAATTAAAATTGCTTGTTATATGGCCCTACATTACCCCTACTTCTAAAACCAATCCAGTTTGTATATAAAAACCCCATTAAATATAATTTGGAACCCTTTTTTATTACAGTACAAGTACATGAGGCATGTTCACATAAGTCACTGTCTGTAATAGTGTACAACTACACTCTCTAGCCACTTTATTAGGTACACCTGTTTAACTGCTCATTAATGCAAATTTCTAATCAACTAATCACATGGCAGTTACTCAATGCATTTAAGCATGTAGACATGGTCAAGACAATCTGCTGCAAACCAAGCATCAGAATGGGGAGAAAGGGAATTTAAGTGACTTTGAATGTGGCATGGTTTTGGGTGCCAGACTGGCTGGTCTGAGTATTTCAGAAACTGCTAATCTACCTGGATTTTCACGCACAACCATATTTAGGGTTAACAGAGAATGGTCTGAAAAAGAGAAAATATCCAGTAAGCAGCTGTTCTGTGGGCACAAATGCCTTTTTGATGCCAGAGGTCAAAAAAGAAGGGCCAGACTGGTTCCAGCTGATAGAAAGGCAAGAGTATCTGCAGATACTAAATGCGCAACTCTGAGACAAATGGGTTACAGCAGCAGAAGACCACAAAAGGTGCCATTCCTGTCAGCTAGGAACAGGAAACTGAGGCTACAATTTGCAAAGGCTCACCTGAAGATTGAAAAAATGTTGCCTGGTCTGATGAGTCTCGATTTCTGCTGCAACATTCAGATGGTAGGGTCAGAATTTGGTACACTTTGGGCCTTTTAGTAACAATTTAGAATTGTGTCAATGCCACTGCCTACCTGAGTCGCTGACCATGTTCATCCTTTTATGACCACTGTGTACCCATCTTCTAATGCTTACCTCCAGTAGGATAACGCACCATGTTATAAAGTGCAAATCATCTCAGACTGTTTTATTTATTTATTTATTTTTTTAACATGACAATGAGTTCACTGTACTCAACTGGCCACCACAGTCAACAGAACTCAATCCAATAGAGCACCTTTGAGTTGCAGCAAATGTGCAGTAACCACATTATACTATCATGTCAATATGGACCAAAATCTCTGATGAATATTTCCAGTACTTTTGTATCTATGCCATGAAGGATTAAGGCAATTCTGAAGGCAAAAGGGGTTCCAACCCCAGTACTAGTAAGGTGTACCTAATAAAGTGGCCAGTGAGTGTATGTCATACCCATGTGATTTTACAAAAAACTGTCCTTTTAAGCAATAAGTTAATAATAATATTTTAAATTAAAAAATATATATATAATAATAAAAAATAATATATATTTTTTTTTAAATGTGGAAACAGACATGAGTATTATTTTAACTTAAACCTAATGTTTAGCTTGAATTATTATTATTATTATTATTATTATTATTATTATTATTCCAGTTTAAGGAACTTCAAGGTTATGATTAAATATTTTGAACGAGATTCTTTTTCATAACTGTTAGGATTTGTTCACTCTTTTCTTCTCTGCAGGAAAAGGTTCCAAACGTTTCGTTCCTGACTGTCCTGAAACTAAATTATCCTGAATGGCCATACATGGTGGTCGGAATTCTCTGTGCCACCATCAACGGAGGCATGCAGCCTGCTTTTGCTGTCATCTTCTCTAAAATCATTGCAGTATGTTGCGCATAACGAGAGATCAATAATACCATCAAAATAATGACATCATTGAGACATCATCATTCCTTATAGTATTTTGTTGTTTTCTTCCTCTTCAGGTGTTTGCTGAGCCGGATCAGAATCTCGTGCGGCAGAGGTGTGACCTCTACTCTCTGCTGTTTGCTGGCATTGGAGTTTTGTCCTTTTTCACTCTTTTCTTACAGGTTTGTTTCATGTTATTACACATAGCACTTGATAAAAACACTCTATATACAGACATTAAGCCACTTAGGTGTCATCTAGATAACCATCTGATACAAAATTTTAATCTGAGATGTAAAAGGCTGATTTATATGGATGCACATGAAAAGATTTTGTCCTGAAAACATACATGTAAGGTGCATCTTGTACATTTAGTGGTGGTAAAAAGTACATGTGATCTGATCTCTCTTATCTAAAAGCTGAGGACTGTTGTGAAATACCGCTTTGTAAGCGCCAAAGAAAAGCAGACAAGTCTGTCAATTATTTGCTGGGTGAAACTACCAATGTTAAAGATTCAGAAATGCCAAAAGAATGCTTTTTTTTTTTTTTGGTTTGTTTAATTTCAGATGTATTTTTTATTTCAGTAATATTTCAGCAGAAAATATGTAGTTCTTTTAAATATTATAATAGTATTTAAAACAACACAAAATATTTTATTGGAAATAAAATAAAATATAATATAATATAATATAATATAATATAATATAATATAATATAATATAATATAATATAATATAATATAATATAATATAATATATGTTTCTTGAGCAAGAAATCTGCATATTATAGTGTCTTTCAAGAATCATAATATGATGTAAATATCAGAAAATATCAACCACATGACATGTATGTTGTATTAGCTGAAATGAAGATAATATGTATATATTTTTAAACAATGTATAAATCAGTGTTATGATAAGGGACATCTATGATAAAAATCATTTTTGTAAGGTGTTTGAACAGAACTGTGTGTAGGTATAGTGTGTCCACAGTCATATAAGAGTGACATAAGCACAATAAGTCTTATTTTTGACGTTAAAATTTGATCCAAATCCTGTCCCATGACTCATTGTTGCAACTCCACAACACATACTTTAAATAATAATTACTGGGAAAGTTCTTACTGTAGTATTTCTCACTAACATTACGTGAGATCTGCTTCCTTCATGTTAGTCACTGTGCTGTTTATCCGACTCAGCCTTTGACAGACACGTGGAAACGGTGGGCGGAGAGAACTAGCAGTAAAGGCACCGTCTACAAAAACAACTGCTTTGTTTTCAGAGCAGATAATTGCAATATTCTGAAAGCTGTAATAAATAATCTGATGGGTGTTTTGAGCTGAAACTTTCCAGACACATTCTGGAGACACAAAAGACTTATCTTAAATCTTGAAAAAGGGGTAAAATAAGTGTCAATTTCAGATATTTTTCTCTATTTAGTTTTATTGCTGTCTTTTTCTAGGGTTTCTGTTTTGGCAAAGCTGGCGAGCTTCTGACTATGCGACTGAGGTTTAAAGCCTTCAATGCAATGATGAGACAGGTGAGAGCACAATAGACTCATCGTCTCAAGGTTAACCACAATGATGCTATAATTAGATGTGTATTGATGGAGAGTAGCATGACACCTGTCTGTGTGTATTGTAGGACCTGGCCTGGTATGACGATACCAAGAACAGCGTGGGTGCGCTGACCACCAGACTGGCTGCGGATACTGCTCAAGTGCAGGGCGTAAGTTTTACCAAAGTCTCTCACTGAAAAAAAATTATTCAGAGATGATTCCTTGGATTTACTATTTTTTTTACGTTAAGTGGTTGTAAACAATTTATTTGTGTTGAATTTAAACAAACCAATTAAGTTGAACATTATTAAACTTAATTTGTTTGTTTAATTCAACACAAATAGTTTGCAACAGTTCTGCATGCAACACTTTTTTCAGTGCTTTAAGGAACAAAAAAGTGTATTAAGTATTATTTTATTATATTAATATATTTTAATCATAATTTCTATTAATATATTAATATAAATTAATAATAATAATAATAATAATAATAATAATAATAATAATAATAATTATTATTATTATTATTATTATTATTATTATTATTATTATTATTATTAAATATATATAAAATTATAATAATGTTATATTATTGTAATATATTGCTAAAGTGTAATCTATAGTTTTTGGTTTTACTGCAGGCAGTAACACATAATCCTATACATAACTAGCTGCTAATCTCCCAAATTGATACTCCGTATCCGTTAATGTTACGGATGTTAATTATACTGCAATTAATTATACTCCGTAATGTTAATTATACTATTAAAATGACTTATGCTGAAATATAAATGATCCATTTTGTTTATTGGAAATTCTGATGAAATAACAATGTATTTGTGCCTCCTCTTTTTCTTTTATATTTCTTTGTCCACAAATTATTGTGTATCTTTTTATGTATTGTTAAATATATACAAAAAATTAAAACTTTTTTCATTTAATGATATAATAATATTATTAATTCATAATAATAATATTTAGATACAAACAACCTCCAAGTCCGAGGCCATGGTGCTCCACCAGAAAAAGGTGGGTTGTCATCTCTAGGTTGAAGGAAAGTCCTTACCCCAGGTGGAGAAATTTGAGTATCTCTGGGTTTTGTTCACGAGTGAGGGAAGGATGGAGCGTGAGATTGACAGGTGGATTGGTGCAGCGGCAGCAGTAATGCAGTTGATGTATTGGTCCATTGTGGAAAAGAAGGAGCTGAGCCAAAAGGCAAAGCTCTCGATTTAGCAGTCAATCTACAGTCCTACTCACTATGGTCATGAGATTTGGGTCATTACCAAAAGGACAAGATCCCGGATGCAAGCGGCCGAAATGAGTTTCCTCCGCAGGGTGGCAGGGTGCACCCTTATAGATAGGGTGAGGAGCTCTGTCACCTGGAAAGAGCTCAGAGTAGAGCCCCTGCTTCTCCACATTAAGAGAAGTCAGCTGAGGTGGCTTGGGCATCTGTTTCGAATGCCTCCTGGATGCCTACCTAGGCAGGTGTTTCAGGCATGTCCCACCAGGAAGAGGCCTCAGGGAAGACCCAGAACACGCTGGATTTACTATGTCTCTCGGCTGGCCTCGGAACGCCTTGGAACCCCCCTGGGGGAGCTGGAGGAAGTGTCTGGGAAGAGGGAGTTTCTCTCCTAAGACTGCTGCCCCCGCGACTTGTCCCCGGAAAAGCAGATAAAAATGAATGAATGGATGAATAAATTGTTTGTGATAGTGATATCCCAGAAAACTTTTTTTCTAACCTTTTTTCCGACAGGCGACTGGTGTGAGATTGGCAACACTGGCGCAGAATGTGGCCAACCTAGGCACCGCCATTGTCATCTCATTTGTGTACGGTTGGCAGCTGACCCTCCTTATCCTCTCAATTGTGCCAATCATGGCTGTGGCAGGAGCTATTCAGATGAAGTTACTGGCAGGACATGCTCTAAAAGACAAGAAAGAACTTGAACAAGCTGGAAAGGTTAACATTTACACTCACACTTCACCATGGCTTAAACATAAATCAACTGTTGTTTATAATGCATTATTTCCCCGTTTAGATTGCAACAGAAGCCATTGAGAATGTCCGTACTGTGGTTTCATTGACCAGAGAGAGCAAGTTTGAAAGTCTCTATGAGGAGAACCTAATTGTGCCCTACAAGTATGTTTAAATAACTTAATCGTATATGTTTAAAGATCATATATGCCTATTAAGATTTTAATTGTTTGTGTGACTTCCTAGAAATGCCAAGAAAAAAGCACACGTCTTTGGCCTGACGTTCTCTTTCTCTCAAGCCATGATTTATTTTGCCTATGCCGGTTGCTTCAAGTTTGGCTCTTGGCTCATTGAACAAAAGCTGATGACCTTTGAGGGTGTCTTCCTGTAAGTGAATCTTAACTCACAGCAACCAATGAAAAATATCCCTCATTAGTGTCAATATGATCCAGAGTTGTCTTCCATGATCATCACTGGTAAAAAATAAACAGATGTGAGAGAGGTCAAGTAGTAAAGAAACACAGGGAAGGTCCAAAGTCTGCTGTTCTTTACAGTATGAGTTAATGATTGAGGAAACAACAGTGAGTCAGAATAAACTTATCAGATGTGCAGTAAATGTAGATTCTGTCTAAGACTACACCAGAATGAGACTGGTGATCCACATATTGAGATGCTGATTTTCAGATTAAGCTTTCAAGAAGATCTACATAAAATGTATAAGAGAAATAAGATTTTAATTTACATCTGTAATTTCTGTGAAAAAAAGGATATTACATTTTAAATATTGCTATTATAAAAATGTATGACCAAGTGATATAACCAGTTCTGTAGTATAACCAGTGGTATAACCAGTTTTATTTATTTATTTTTATTTATTTGAACTCTTGCTTATTTATCTGAATTTAAAGGGCACATAGTTTACCCCTTTTTTTAAGATTTAATATTAATATTATGGTTCTTCTGAGTGTGCCAGTTTAGATTCAGTTCAAAACACAATTCAGATTTTTTTATTATATTGTTTTAAAAAGTGTTATTTTGGAGGCGTGTACACAGCTTGCTGTTTTAGGGGTATGTTGCTTCACATAAAAATTAGTTTCGACTTCCCGCCCAACATAACAAGGGGGCGGAGCTAAGAGCTCCCCCGCTCTGTGTTTAACAACAGACAGGCAGACAGAGAGAAGCAACATGAGTGAGAGGACCAGCATTCAGCCGTACATGTACGCCTCGGACACAGACCTAGCAGAGAGTACAAAATCATTTGTGTCTTTGTATAGTTTTACAGCCAACTGTGACATCGCTTTGACTCACACGCTGAAAATGGCGGACGTGAAACAACAAACAGAGGATATGGTGATGTGTGCCTGTCAATCAGTATTGGTGGGCGGGGGGACCGCACTCCTACGTCAAGTTGCGGTCGATCTAAAAACCGCTTTAATTGGTCCACCGTTTTTATGTTGTTAAATTGAAAAAAAATATATAACTGGGTGTGTTTATATCATCCCTATATGACAGTCTACACACCATACCTACACACATGTCTGTCCAAACAGCTTGAAAAGTAGAATCTTCACCATAGGTGCCCTTTAAGGTTAAATTATTATTTATTTTGTTCATTTAATTTTTTATTTACAAATTTGTGTTATTCATGCATCATATACAATATATAATTATAGTTATATTAAAATATTGTGTCATCATTCATTAGAATACTTTCTGTTTTTTAGAATTAATAAAAAGTTTTTGTTGTTTAATTGTTTTTATAACATTTTAATTATTCTGTTATTTTACGTTGAAATACCTGAATGTTTATTTATTAATTAATTAGTTATTTACTTTTAGTATGATTTATTGACTTATTTTCTATACTTGTCTGTTTGTTGATAGCGTGATCTCAGCTGTGGTGTATGGAGCAATGGCAGTTGGAGAGGCAAACTCCTTCACTCCAAACTACGCTAAAGCCAAGATGTCTGCTTCTCACGTCCTGATGCTCATCAACAGAGCCCCGGCCATTGATAACTCCTCAGAGGATGGAGACAAGCCGGTACTCAATCCATACATGAACACACGTTAACAAAAAACAGCATGTTTAACAACTGCATAGGGCCTTATTTCAAGGCAAGATTGTATAATTCTTAGAAGCCTGTCATGATGAACTTCCTCAGGAATCACTCCTGGAAATGAATCCTTTATCATTTCTGCTGTTCCATTCTAATCTGATAACCACCCAGAGAGAGCTGGACTCTGTCCACCTTTAATATCCGGAGTCATTCAATGTACACACATCATCGAGAGACAGATATATTGCTATGTCAACACTAATATACACCGATGTGTACTAATAGGCATGTTTCCTCTGATCTCTGTAGGATAAGTTCGAAGGGAATGTGGGTTTTGAACATGTGTATTTCAAGTACCCATCCCGGCCGGATGTGCCAGTGCTGCAGGGTCTCAAGCTTCGGGTGAAGAAGGGGCAAACACTCGCTCTGGTGGGCAGCAGTGGCTGTGGAAAGAGCACCACCATCCAGTTACTGGAGAGATTTTATGACCCTCAGCAGGGCAGAGTGGTAGGTGAACACATTATAATATTGACAAAAAACTATTACCATAAAATGTTTGTTAAAGGTAATTATCACTCTAAGTTCTTTTAAATAAAGTTGTCTTTAGATTCTTTCAAGTTTAAAGGCAGATATTTGCTCCTGAGGGAAAACTGTCAAAACCAGACAGTTCTTTGTGGTTTTATTATGAGAAAATTCTAACAGATTCTTGCCAAAAATCTGAATAAAACTTGCTCAAAGATGCAATATAAACATATTTTGTTGATGGACTTATTCAAAGAAACATAAAAAATTAAGACAGCAGGTGAAGTTAAAATATAGTGCAATGCAATGTAGTTTTTTCTGGTTGATTAATATGTTCATTCAATGGCTTTTCTATAAATTAGTACATTTACAATACACCAATAATAATAAAAAAAGGACACCAATAATCCGATTTTTATGTGATTAAGACAATACTCTGATTAAGCATCTACCATGTAAACAGGGATTTTTTTAAAAATTCATTTAATCTGATTAAGGTCATAATCGAACTAAACAGAAATCAAATTAAGACACGTGGAGTATGCCAATTTTAGTCATATTATTGAAGTGCAGTACAGACATGTAAACACCTTAATTAAGCTATTATCGTCATGTAGGATTTTCAACGCATTTTGTGACAGGATAGTCTATAGACCAGGGCTATTCAATTGGCGGCCCGCAAGGCATTTTGTTCCGGCCTTTCAAATAGTGTGACCAAGACATCAAAAATAAGTTTAGTTCATTTGAAAAACGGCCGTTATAGTTATGAAGTGATGTGCATCTGTTTAGTACAGCATGAGCTGAAGAGGCGCATATGGTGAGTCACCAAAACGAGTGGCGCAGCAGCGGCACACTCGGCAGCAGGATTTGGATGAGTTTGTAGAAAAGGCCTTTTGTATTATGCATTGATATCATCAATAGGGATGCAACGATATTAGCAGTTAACAGTTAGTTAATCGTAAAGGCTTCTAAGCAGCATTTCTGTTACGAAACTTAAAAAAAAAAAAAAAAACTTGGCATTACAAAATGCCAAGGTTTTTTCCCCCTATACGACATGTGGTCTGAAATTCCATTAACATTACACTCTTCAAGCAGTTCATATTCGCATCCAATATCTCATTTGTCGTGGAAGGCATGCTCGAAATGTTCCTGAATGAAAGTGAAATTGCCAATCTGCAGTTAAATTACATGAAATTCGGGTGGAAATGTGGATAACACGGTGACGCAATAACGTTAATCGGATTATGTGCTATAAAATGTAAAACAGGATCATGAAAGGAGCATGCAAAAAGCAACCTATGTAAACACATTAATCCTATTATTGTCTTATTCAGATTAATCAAATAATTTGATTACTGATGTCCATGTAAACAGAATCAAGAAGCTAGAAACAGGGATTGAGCAATTTGACCTTTTAAAGTTGTTTTTTTATTTTGTTGTATTTGAAAGCAGCAACACAGCAAAATGTATGGTTAGTTTTGTTCTTCAACTACAAAATAGCATAGACAGCAGCTCCCACAAGTCTGGAATATCATGACATTTTAAAAGGTCTAATCCAGACATTGACAGTCAAAATATATACATACATATTTTTTTATTGTTGGTCAAAGTAATGGAATATCAGGGACTTTTTTTGTCTCATTGTTTCACATTTTTTCCTACTGTTGTGGTTTAGCTATTATTAGCACCATTTTTCAGTCGTAAGTCAAATTCATTCACCAAGATGTACCTGTTAGTTAAAGTTAACATGCCAGAAAAGTGTTCGTTTCTAGAGCTTTGGCAACAAAATAGCCACTTTAAAAGACTGGGTGATTTTTTATTTTTTTTTAGTTAAGTCTGAGTTTGAATTATGGCTGAATTATGAGTCTGAATTAGTTATCGTTACTCTCATAATAGCTATTAAATTCATGATAATTTCTATACACTCTCAAACTTTTTTACATATTATTATTTACAGCTGTATCCAGAATTATTAGCCCCCCTTTAAATTTTTATTTCTTTTTTAAACATTTCCTAAATGATGTTTAACAGAGCAAGGACATTCTCACAGTAGGTCTAACAATATTTTTTTCTGGAGAAAGTCTTATTTGTTTTATTTTGGCTAGAATAAAATCAGTTTTTAATTTTAAATAAACATTTAAGGTCAAAATTATTAGCTCCTTTAAGCTATATATTTTATCGATTGTCTACAGAACAAACCATCATTATACAATAACTTGCCTAATTACCCTAACCTGTCTAGTAAACCTAATTAAGCCTTTAAAAGTCACTTTAAGCTGTATAGAAGTGTCTTGAAAAATATCTAGTCAAATATTATTTACTGTCATCATGGCAAAGATAAAATAAATCAGTTAATAGAGATGAGCTATTAAAACTATTATGTTTAGAAATGTGTTGAAAAAAATCTTCTCTCCCTTTAACGGACATTGGGGAAAAATAAACAGGGGGGCTAACACATTTTAAAACTTTTTTTAGAGCAAATTTTTATATTATAACATTTATTGATAGTGACTTTTCCCTGAGGATCTGTATTGACACTTAGCTTTACAGTTTTACATCATTAATCCAGCTCAGCAAGAGGTCATTCACACAACCAGGGAAGTTAACATCTTAAAACCTCTCCCAAGGTCAGTGATAAGGTATCTCTTAAGGTTGTTAAAAAGTCAGACCAGAAAAAGGAAACCCGAGCATGAACATCAAAGGATGCTCCTTCACCTCAATACTTCAGGTTCTTAACTTTAATATCACACAACAAAGACCTGTTAACATCAGGTGATCTGATTACGAGCAGACATCGCTAAATAACTTGATCATTTTTGTGGTTCGGTCAGTTAAACTAAATTCACAAGCAGTGAAAAAACATACACACACTAAATTTGTTGCATGAATGCAAACATTACTTGTTATACAGCATAATAATCTGACTGGTCAAAATACATGACAAAGTGTAAAATAAAATCTGAATATTAATAATAATAAATCAAGTCTTAAAATAGTAGCAGTAGAGATGAATTGTCCCAGTAATAAATCATAGTTATTTACCCAAACTGATAAGGGTTACTCTTTGTTGACAGATGCTGGATGACAATGACGCAAAGCAGCTGAACATCCATTGGCTGCGCTCTCAAATTGGCATCGTTTCCCAGGAGCCTGTGCTGTTTGACTGCAGCCTGGCTGAGAACATCGCATATGGAGATAACAGCAGAGAAGTGGACCAGGAGGAGATCGTAGAGGCCGCTAAAGCTGCAAACATACACTCATTCATAGAGAACCTGCCACAGGTAAAAACACCACACATGAACAATCACCCACATAAACACTGTTCAAATTTTTGGTGTCTTTTTTTATAATGACACTAATCCATTTTTTCCTCATATTAAATTAATTAAAAGTGACAGAAAGGGAAATTTACAATGATAACAGATCTTTTAAAATATTCTAAACAACAAATAATTCCTTTGTTCATTAACAATTATTAAAAAGATCACTGTTAAATGAAAAAAAAAAACAATACAACTGTCTTCAGCGTTTATAATTATGGGAATTTGTTTTTAGCAACATATTAAGACGAATTCACATCATCTCACAGACAAACGCCAACAAACAGGTTGTATTAAGAATGTTTCCTATTCCAATTTCCACACACACAATAATTAAATAACTTGTTTAAGGCCTAAAAAGATATTTACATGAAACCTGTCTGATCCCTGGTAAGAGTTTGAAAATAATATCACACAACAAACACCAACAGACTTGTCTGTGCGGTGTGAATCGACCTTTAGGGCTCTATTTTGACGGTCCATGCGCAGAGCGCAAAATGCAGGGCCCAAATGCTTTCAGGGCATGTCAGGACGCGTTTTTGCTAATTTAAGGACGGGAAATTTGCCTTGCGCAGTGGCGCATGATCTAAAAGGGTTGAGTTTATTTTCTTAATGAGTTATAGGTGTGTTTTGAGAATAAACCTATTAGAGTCTCATCTCCCATTCCCTTTAAGAGTCAGCTGTGTCTAAGTCTAAGTGGAAAAAATGAGCATTTCACAAGCAAACAGTTAACAGTTGACAGTTTTTTAACAGAAAACTGTTAAACAGAGCATCTACTGCGTGAGAATGAGAGATAATGGAACTACTTTCACATTCGCTCTTGGATAGGGAAACCTTTACGCACAGACATCAATTAGTCTATAAATAAATACCTTTGTTTGTTAAGCGCAAATATTCGTTTCAAAACTATTTCTAAATTCAGTTCTAATTTCCAGCAAACGAATAAATGAACAATAATAACAAAATGTTATAATGAGTTATATCATAAAACACATGATGTGCCCCTTATGGTCTAAAACCTGACAGGTGGGCCAATCTAAGCTTGTTTTTAATAAAAACAAGTATAAATATGGATATATTAAATAATACTGCTAATAATAATAACATTATACAAAAGCAAATTGTTATGAATGAACTGAAAAAGCCTCCCGAGATGAAGAAGACATAAAAGCAGTGATTTTTCATATTTATGTAGGCTAGAAAATAGTATGTTTTGTAATATTTTAATCCTTTATATTTATATCCTATATCTATTCTTAATATATCCTATATATATCCTTAACATTTAAATTTTTTCATATGTAAAGATATTTGCCTATTGCTCAATTGTGCGTATTAAGCAGTGTGTAAGCGAGGCGCAACTCTGCGCCGGAGTTTAGACCGGATTAGTTTTGGTCTAATGAAAAATCTATTATAGTTTCTCAAAATAGCAACGCGCCAGCGGTCCGCCTCAGAACGCCTTCCTTTTTAGACCAGAACGCCTATGGGAGCACAAATGAGCGCTAATGCATTTGCTATTTAAACAGCGTAGCGCAACGCCTCAAAACGACTCTTGCACCAAGCTGAAACTACCAAAAGAATACTGCGCCAAGCCTTGCTCTACACTACCAAAAGACTACTGCGCCAAGCCTTGCTCTACACTACCAAAAGACTACTGCGCCAAGCCTTGCTCTACACTACCAAAAGACTACTGCGCCAAGCCTTGCGCTACACTACCAAAAGACTACTGCGCCAAGCCTTGCGCTACACTGCGCCAGGTGTATGATAGGGCCCTTAGAGTGATTTCTGAAGGATCATGTGATAAAACACTGGTGGTGGTGTGGAGAGACCCTCTCATATGATTGTAAAGCACAGAGCAGTACATGTTAAAACTGCTATAATAAAATGCATTCATTCAAACAGGGCTGGAGTAATGATGCTGAAAATGTTGTCCTTCCATCACACGATTACAATAAATATTGTAAATTATATATTAAGTGACTTAAAATTGCAAAAAAATATTTTGCTATATCAGTGTTTTGCTACATTTTTTAAATGTAGTCTTAGTAAGTAACAACTTTCTATAACATTTTAAAAACCTTTTTAACAGTAATAAACTTCCTGTTTGACCTTCAGTAGCTGTCAAAAGTCATTTGGAATGTTTAATTTCCACTCTTCTCATAAAACATGTTATCTAAATATTCTCATTTCACAAAGTAACCAACAATTAAAGAAAATATTTAATGATTGTGTAGATTTTGACCAAATGATATTGTGTGTTTTGTCTTCAGCGGTACCAGACGCAGGCGGGTGATAAGGGTACGCAGCTCTCAGGAGGACAGAAGCAGCGCATTGCCATAGCGAGAGCCATCCTCAGGAATCCCAAGGTCCTGCTGCTGGATGAAGCCACGTCTGCTCTGGACACAGAGAGCGAGAAGGTACAGCATAAGCACCGTTCACACACTACTGACGTTCTGGTCAAAAAAAAACATTGAGCCGTTTTAGGTTGAAATAACAATCAAACAAACAACAAAATAAAGATTAATCCAAATTAAAAACACATACACTATTAAACAAATCATTGTTGCCTTGAACCAGGAGCTGAACTCAAGTTAGGGAATCTATGAATGACCTGTGCATCTGCACTGCAGTTGCTTTTCTGCTTGGCATTTCTCATCTTGTGTTGTTATGCTTGGCTTCTGGTACTTTCTGATACTGTCAGAAATCTGCATCATCCTGCAAATAAGCGATCATAATTAAAGTCCTCAAACATAACCTATTTCGTTCAACAAAATCAAATCATAAAATTGTCACACACAAAATAACTCAAATTATCATTCAAAAACTACTAACATTTAAATAGTATGATCCTTCAGGTTTCGTAACGTTGACTGTGTCAACTTTATCAATGTTTTATTGCCAATTTTTCAGCTTTCACTGCAAAATCTTTTATATCTTTATCTCTAAAAGGGATGTAACGCAAATGAACATCAACACAGAAATTTTGGTGTTGATAATGGCAACTATTGTATTTATTAATCTCAAAACTACAAGCTTTAGTCTTTTATTTTATTATAGCAACACATAGAACTGTTTGGTAAAAAGCTTTGACACAGCGCCAACCAAGTGGTTAGTAGATAAAGTTCACATGAACCGGAAGATGCGGAGTCTTCTATTTTAGTATGTTGATATACTTACAACTGAAACTGAATATTGAATAGGGGCGGGGCTTTCTTTTTGCACATCATTCCCTAGTTGCAAACTAACAGTTATGTGGCCTAGTTAATAATATTGTGGAAGAATTTTTCAAACTGACATCAACAGAGAAGCACCATTAATCCAAACACCAAAGCAAATGGACTTTGATTGAAGATTACCATAACAAACTTTTTTTTTTTACTGGATTAACCTCCACAGATTAATTAATTGTTCTCCTAAAAGGAATAAAAATGTGCACCATTACGCAGTGAATAATCGTCTACACCTCCTCCAACCTTAAACCCAACTGTCACAGTAGCATGGGCGTTACCTTAGAGGATGTTACAATGTCCACTACATACTGGACCTAGTCCAGTTCATCATAGTGATACAGACTGTAGCGAGGACATCCTGCTAGTTTGGCCACACCGACCAAAAAATAAAAACTGGGCTCAGTGAGGCAAGCTGATTCCTAATCAAATACAATCCAGTGTTTTCAGTGTCAGCCATTTTGAATTTTGTTATTTATTTTTTGTTAATTATTGGTATTTGACACCATAGATATATACAGTTAAAGTCAGAATTATTAGCCACCCTGAATTATAAGCCCCTCCCCCTGTTTATTTTTCCCCCAATTTCTTTTTAACGGAGGAGAATGTGTTTTTTTCAACACATTTCTAAACATAATAGTTTTAATTACTCATCTTTAATAACTGATGAATTTTATCTTTGCCATGATGACAGTAAATAATATTTGACTAGATATTTTTCAAGACTTTTATACAGCTTAAAGTGACATTGAAAGGCTTAACTAGGTTAACTAGGCAGGTTAAGGTAATTAGGCAAGTTATTGTATAATGATGAGGGGCTAAAAATTTTGATCTTAAAATGGCTTTTAAAAAATTTAAAACTGCTTTTATTCTAGGCAAAATAAAACAAATAAGACTTTCTCCAGAAGAAAAAATATTGTCAGACATACTGTGAAAAATCCCTTGCTCTGTTAAACATTATTTGAGAAATATTTAAAAAAAGAAAACAAAATTCAGTGAGGGGCTAATAATTCTGACTTCAACTGTATATTTATGATTTAACACAATGCCTTGAAGATGTTAAACATTGTTGGGGAGGCAGCGGCGCCTTGTGGTCAAAATATAAAGACAATTTTTTTTTCAATGGCTTTTTTATTTATTTATTTGTTATTGCATAATCATCAGGAACAAACATACAAAACAATACAAAATTTGAAACACACAAAAAAACTAAAATAACAATGGTAAAAAGCAAAGATAAATAAAAATAAATTAATCACACAAAGTATAGTGTACAGCATTTCTACATCCAATGATTTTAAGAATTGACAGGGGAATCAAAAAAAGTGTCTAATAATTGATACATATCTCAGATTTTTTTCAACAATTTCAATGTCGAAATAAAGAAGTCAAACTCGTTACAAAACAACTGTTAATGTGGGAGATGATGATTTAGCTAATTTCTGTTTTGTGTATGTAAAACTGCGCCAATAAAATAAAGAGATTAACAATACATTCAAGACATTTGTTGAGTTTGTTTTCATTATAAAAAATAATATCTTAATGTAAAATAATAACTAAGTTTTGTCCTTTCAAAAATGTATTTGGCAAGATCCTTCCAGAAATTGTTTACACTGCTGCATTCATTAAATAAATGACAAAGGCTCTCTTTATCCACATTGCAGAAACCACCGATGTCCTCCATTTCAATGACTTTCATAAAAATGATTTTACCGGGTAAATTGTATGTAGTATTTTAAAATGAATGTCCTTAATTTTATTATTAATAGTGTATCTGAAAGGAAGTTAACCAGGCTCTTTTTCCAAAAACAATTTTCAATGGCTAATAGCTTTTGAGTAGCCGTTCATGTGGTCATTTGACTGAACGTCCAGTCAACGTCAATTGTCAGCAAATTTACACTGGAATTCATTAAATCCACATCATGATCACAAAAAGTTTATACATTTTGTGTTGACAAATAGTCATCTTACACTGACCACACCTCACTAGTGACTGAAATAGCTTTTCGACCATTTTAGCATGCCGTCTTAATGTCTTTTATCCTCTATATTATTTTTTACCGTCACATCTGCGGTAACGTTATCAGTCGACACTTATCCTCATTCATCACTTCTGTCTGTCTGTCCTGTGTGTAGATTGTTCAGGACGCTCTGGACAAGGCGAGCAAGGGCCGCACATGCATCATTGTAGCCCACCGGCTGTCCACCATCCAGAATGCAGACTGTATAGCGGTGGTCCAGAACGGGGTGGTGGTAGAGCAGGGCACGCACCAACAGCTTCTCAGCCAGCAGGGGGCGTATTATACTCTTGTCACCTCACAGATGAGCCACTGATGATGGAGCAACGACACGCCCCGGAGAAACGCTCTCCTCTGCCTGCAGCTCCATGGTATGTTAGGGTCAAATACCACAGGTAATGGGGGAGATACTAAGAACATGGACATTTGTGTCCAGATGTAAGCACTTGTGTAACTGTGCCTTGTCATGTTGTACTTTTCAGTTTTAGGCCACAATATTAATCCAAATCGGCACTTTCTTGTTGCGGATTGAATTTTATATATATATTTAAATTAATTTCAACTATCAAGCACTCCCATGATCTCATTTCCTGGATGCACAGTTTATGCAACAAAAAATGTTCAGGGCAGAACATTTCAAGCGTGATTATGTACAGTAATTTATATATGAACAGCGTAAATCATGACTAATAGCAGAGATATTCTCACTGGTGAAGACTGTTGTTGTGCATTAAGTGAATATATGACCAAAGAGTTTCTATTTTATAAGGATTTCTGTATGTGTGGTTCCTTGATGTCTGTCAGACTAACATGAGGCCATTTTATTTTGTCTTTTTATGGCACTGTTTTCCTAGCACACATACTGTATGTAAAAAAAAATGTTTGGAATAAAGTTTTCATTTTTCATTAGTGTTTGTTATTATACTTTGAGACTCATGAAAACAGAAATTCATTTTTTTTTTCTCAATTCTGAAGCAGAAATCAGTTTCATCTTGGAAAGCAGGGTTGGTTGTCAATTGGATAGTGGCGGGGTTCAAATAATTAAAGTCTCAACTTCAAAACACTGTTGTTTTTAGAATTAAAATCTATTATTTTTCATATGCTAAAAGCTAAGCAGATTTTTTTTTTATTAGTTCTTTATTTTTTCAATGTCACATTTATAATATAAAAAAAAACACAAACAGATTTTTCAATATATACACTAACAGTCAAACGTTTAGTGGTCAGTTGGATTTTTAAATGTTTTAAATGAAACTTTTCCTGCTCACCAAAGCTGCATTTATTTCATCAATACAGAACAAACTGTAAAATTGTGAAATGTTCTTGCACTATAAAATAACTTCAAGAGAAGTTTATTATTTCATTTAATCATTTATTCTAGTGATTTTAAAGAGGAATTTTCAGCTTCAGTACTCCAGTCCTCAGTCACATGATCCTTCAGAAATCACTTTAATATTATTATTGTTTATGGTAATAAAAGCAATAATGACTGGGTAATCATTTCATTCGAAACTACATACAATAAGAAAGCAGTTATTTAATTTTTATTAAAAATTTGACAATATCTTTTTTTTTTTTTACATTTTATGTATTATTATGATTTTTCTGTAAAAAAAAACAAAAAAAACGTAAAACTGTGTGTGTGTGTGTGTATTTATGTACACACACACACACAAACACACACACACACACACACACACACACACATATAGTTTGGCATGTAGCTAAAAATAATTATATATATATATATATATATATATATATATATATATGTATATGTATGTATGTATGTATGTATATATGTATATATATATATATATATATATATATATATATATATATATATATATATATATATATATATATATATATATGTATGTATATGTATGTATGTATATATATATATATATATATATATCATTTTTAGCCACATGCCAAACTCTGTTTAAACAATTTTTAGATAATAATAATAATAATGAACTGTCCTTACCATTAAAAATGAAAATATTTTTCCAAGTAACGTAAACAAATATAAACCAAAGTTCACTGCTGGAGTCAATAACTCTCCAGCAAACTGTTTGTGCTTTCCACAAAATGACTTTATTAGATTTGAGATCTGAAATCACTTCAGTTTGCTACTGTAAAATGTTTACAATCAATGCATATTCAAGAGACGCCGGTCTCCAGCCCACCTGTGTTCTCTGTAAACCTCTGAGCAATTCACATTCAAATTTACATGCGTGCTTAACAACATTTGCTAATAAAAGTGGAATGATTGCAAAAAAACTCTAACAATGAAGCATAAAAATTTCCCATGAACAAGGAAAGCAGTGCAAATTACATGTACACCTATCAAACACATGATTTAATCATGTACATCCACACAACATAAAACCATTCATTTACATCATATTGATGCAAAACACACACAGTAGGCTCGAACGTGTAAAGCCTTTACATCTTCTAATTAAGAAAATAAACTAATTATATGTTGCATTGATCTCTGCATTAAAACTGTGAAATCAGTACAGTTTACACACATCAGAGCTGATTTACCACCCATCAGTCACTAAAGGTCATCTTATGATCAGTCTGTTTTGTGTTAATGTTTCTAGTGGACTCACTAGGCCTGAGAATCCTGTGGTAGTGGACACTATCACAGAAAACAATACTGTTAATGTAGTAGAAAATGGAGGTTAGAAGTCACAGTGGATTTCCTGACTGAAGTGATTAAGAGACGATGAACTGAAGGCACATGACCGTTTCAAAGCACCTGCAAAGCATCTTAAAGGGACAGCTCCCCCAGAATTGAAAATTCTGTTATTTGTTACCCTTTACTTGTTGTTTTTTTAGATGAACACAAAATAAGATATTCTGAAGAATGTAAAATGGTAACCATTGATTTCCTTTTTAGAAATGGCAGAATTGTAATGTCTGTGTTCATTTAAAGGGATAGTTCACTAAGCTTTAAAACTCTGTAATTATTGACAACACTGACTGAGTTTCTCTGTTCTGTCGAACACAAAAGAAAATAGATTGAAGGATGCTGGAAACCGGAAACCATTGATAACCATAATATTTTCTAATATGAAACTCGACAGCTGCTAATTTTCCTCATTACTTAAAATATATCCTTTTGTGCTTAACACAAAATGTTAGGAACCTCTTGAGAAGAAGTCAACACAACATTTTTGGTGAACTACAGTATTTCTCTACAATTATTGAGTATCTCCTATTTGAATTGTGCACATGAGTGAAGCTGTGAGGATGTCATGTTGGTCTGCAGGGATGCCTGTGTCTGAGACTTTACGTCTGTCCAACAGCAGAACTAAACCACTGGGTTTTGACTGTTTTCCCAGAATGCTCTGCTTTACAGTTGGGACTGGGTCGTGATGTGCATCATTTCATGTAATGAAGTGGCGAGGTTTTGAAACAAGGTTTCAGCATCTGTCTCAGGATTGGACTTCCAAGCAGTGCAGGATGCAACAATTCTACAAGAAGAGAAGCATAAGAAATTGAATTGAAATCATAATGACAAATGCAGGCTGCCGCACAATTCCTTTATGTATGGGACGATGATCGTTTTTAAGGTATACCGCGGTTTGGAAAACTATACCATTTCTAAGATATGTGCAAGATATTTTATTTGTGTTTTTATTTTAGTTTTTTAGGACAACAGTATCTCCAGCAGAAAAGATCTCCAAAGATGCTGTTTTAAACTGTAAAAACAACTGTTTTTAAAACTAATGAAGACAAAAGAACTCAACGATTCATTTGAATGATTTAGCTAGGCATGTTTACTGTTGGCGACGCAGTGGCGCAGTAGGTAGTGCTGTCGCCTCACAGCAAGTAGGTCGCTGGTTTGAGCCTCGGCTGGGTCAGTTGGCGTTTCTGAGTGGAGTTTGCATGTTCTCCCTGTGTTCGTGTGGGTTTCCTCCGGGTGCTCCGGTTTCCCCCACAGTCCAAAGACATGCAGTACAAGTGAATTGGGTTGGCTAAATTGTCCGTAGTGTATGGGTGTGTGAATGTGTGTGTGTGGATGATTTCCAAAGATGGGCTGCAGTTGGAAGGGCATCCGCTGCGTAAAAACGTGCTGGATAAGTGGATAAGGTTCATTCCACTGTGGCGACCTCAGATTAAAAACGGGACTAAGCTTAAAAGAAAATGAATGAATGAATGTTTACTGTTCTGAAATATTTTAAATGTCTCTTAAAATAATATACATATATATATATATATATATATTGTGTCTAATAAAGAAAAATAGTTGTTTTTTACCCAGACATTCAAAAAAATGAATATATTTTAGAGCAGTGATCACACACCGTGAAACTGTGATATTTTTATCCAAGGTTATCATTCCATTAAAAACATACTGACCCATGCCTGGCCCCAACACAAATCAAAAAGTTAACTTCATTATTATTTTTTTAATTTAAGTGGATCAAACATAAAACTCTCTAAAAAAACTTTAAGAGTTGTGTTGAGTAAGCTCATTTTAAGTCAGAAAAAACAGAGAATCCTGAAATATAAGAAAAAATAAGTTACATATTGAGCATAACAAAAATGCATTTACTGTACAACTGTATAATATATGATCTATAGAACATACATACTATAGAACATATATAACAGAAATAAAAAGCAAAACAAAATATATAAAACATGTATATAATATTAAATTAATATTAAAGTTTTGTAAAAATATATGATACAGAAATAAATTACAGTTCAATTAATTAAAACATTTATAATTAATTATAGCATTACTAAAAATTATTACTTAATATATAAAATAAAATGTATATACGATGTTATCAAATGTAATAAAACATCTCAAATGTAAATAACATTAATTACAAATAAAAAGTAAACGTAAGAGCCACCGTGTCACCCCTACCATCTTTTATTTAACAGAAATACTGAATCATGTAAATATAAAATTGCAATGGACCAACCTGTCATCACGAATGCGGTAGAAAAATCCATATCCATGGCGGACCATTGGTGCAACTGCTCCCAGAACAGTAGTGTAGCCCACCAGACTAGTGGAAAGCACAAAATTACCCCCTCCGCCACTGCAAACACAGAGAGATTGTTGCATTAGACTGGCCTCATAAAGCATCACACACAGATCAGTCCACTGGACATGAAGCAGGACAGTCACCTCTTAGTATAGAGCGGATCCGCATAGAGCTCCGGCACAGGAATGCTGTTCTCTTTAGCAATCAGATACAAACCCAGCAGGTGCCTGTCAATGCCTGGAACCAGCAAACATCATTCAAACATCTGTTGTGCTGGAAATGATCATCATCACACACACACACACACATACACACACACAATGTAAACATCATCAGTCTGATGCAAACAAACCTTTCCCATCCTGAGCCTCTGCCATCAACTTGTTGTGTTTGTTGACGGCTGCATGTAAAGTGTGTCTTTTCTCTTCAGTCTGTAAAAAAAATAAATTAATTAATGTAAAAATGTGTTTTTTTTTAAATCAGTATATATCTAGCACGTAAAAAAGTGCTGGATAAGTTGGCAGTTCATTCTGCTGTGGTGACCCCGGATTAATAAAGGAACTAAACTAAAAAAGAAAATTAATGAAAAAAATATACACACACACACACACACACATTTTTTTTTTTTAAATGATGTTTAACAGAGCAACGTAATTTTCACAAAATGTCTGATAATATTTTTTCTTCTGGAGAACATCTTATTTTTTTTATTTTGGCTAGAATAAAAGCAGTTTTAAATTTTTTTATAACTATTTTAAGGTCAAAATTATTAACCCCTTTAAGCTTTATTATTTTTCCGATAATCTACAGAACAAACCATCATTATACAATAACTTGCCTAATTACCCTAACCTGCCTAGTTAACCTAATTAACCTAGTTAAGCCTTTAAATGTCACTTTAAACTGTATAGAAGTGTCTTAGAAAATATCTAGTAAAATATTATTTACTGTCATCATGGTAAAGATAAAATAAATCAGTTAATAGAAATGAGTTATTAAAATTATAATGTTTAGAAATGTGTTGAAAAAATCTTCTCCGTGTTAAACATAAATTAAACAACTCACTACAGTTTGACAAATATTGTAGGTGTTGGACAACATAATGTACCTATAAGGATTTTTTAGGCAGCAATCTAGTTGTTTAGATTGAAACTATGCAGTTAATTTAGAAGAATAGTGCACATTTAAAAAACATGTTTGCACAATTTCGGAGATAAGAATTTCAGCGGGCTTACGGTTGAAGATCTGCCACAAGATGGTGACAGAGTTTGCATAATAAGGCGGGAAATTTTTTTCTCAGATTAAATTTTAAACTACAGCCTGAACAAACCATAATAGAGCAGGTAAGTGACATTCGAACCAAATGTCTAAGCATCACAACAACAACAACAAAAAAACATGTCTGAATCAGTGGTTTTAATTAATCAGCAAACTTCCAAGGGCACCTCAAATTGTTACAATGACTAAAATAAAAGAAAGCCCATGTAAAAACAAACTAAGGTAACCGTCATCAACCAACCATTAAGGATATCATCTAAAAAGTTAACATTTTTTAAGTTAAATAAAACATATGGAAAACCCTTGAATATAGGTATCCAAATGTGTGATTATTAAGTGAAATAAATAATAGAAACAAAATGAATAATCATATGATATATGTATGTTACAATAAAAATATTTTCCCTGTTTTAAAAAAAAATTGTCTACTTATGAAATAAAAAAATATTAGAAATTAGAAATTGCAAAAAAGTTTGAAAACCTGGCTGTAATGCTCTAATCTTATTTTTTTACACACACATTTTCAAACAACCATAAAACTATAAAACATTCTTTTAAATATTCTAATTAGAATACTACAATTAATAATCAAATATTACAATGAAAATGACATAAAAATGTCTTAAAGTCTTTACAGTCTTAAAAAAACCTGGATATACGAAAAAAATAAATTCTGACAGCGTGATTAAAAAACAAAGAGTTTTCAAAATGACACTTTTCTTTACATAATTAAAATGTTTTTTTTTATTAGATTTTTTTAATTAGGTAGAAATTGAGCAAATATCACTAAATTGTAAATCATAAATGAACATTAATGAATATTATTACTGTACCTTGTAGTTTCTGCAAATAAAGTAAAATGTACCAGAGCAAACCTATGTATACAGATTGAGCATGTGGAAGTAAATGGGTCATATGGATGAAGAATAACACGATGATGTTGAGCTGAATTCACATCATTCACAGGACACTCACAGTAGCCGCAGGGTTCATCATGGTTCTGCACCAGTGCTGAGCCTCCACGGTGCAGGGCCTCATGGTTTCTGTGCGGCCGTGGAAGAAGCGGCGAGTGGTGGCTGTTTCGTAACAACAGCCCGGCCTAAGAACAGAGAGATGCCAGTTATGGCTTATAATATCATATCATAATAATGTAATATGGCATCCGCTGTGTAAAACATATGCTGGAATAGTTGGCGGTTCATTCCACTGTGGGATCTCTGATAAATAAGGAACTAAGCCAAAGGAAAATGAATGAATGAGTAATAGAATATCTACTGTCTAAGTTGATACTGCAATTGTTGCTTTTTAACAGCATGAGAGCTGAGGTTATAAGTACGTCCACTGTAAAACCACTTGTTACCAGGGGAGACTGTGCTGTGCAGTTTAGATGTACAACTTTTGCACGATCAGTCTTCTCAGTTAGAGCCAGTCATTTTTGGAACACACTTCCGATTGATTTAAGGGGTGTTACAAATTATTCTACTTTTAAATACAAGTTAAAGAAGTGGCTAAAAGCAAATCAAGTTTGTAATCATGTGTAATACTTCTGTCTAACACTTAAATAAATTCTTATTACATGTTTTTTATCCTTTTGTCATATAGAATTTTACTGTTTTGTATGTTTGATGTTGTGTTTTTTTTATTTTAGGTTGCCTTTTAAAATCTGGCAGGGGTCTGCCAATCTGGCAACAGATGAAAATTAGCCCTTGCGGCTAACTCTGGCTTATTTACAGTTTTACTGACTTATTTAAAGTTTCATACTGACTAATGAGCATTGTCCCTGTTAAAATAAAATAAATTCAAATAAAAAAAACAAACACATGTAAGGAGTCCCAAGCATTATTGATTGAAAAGGCATATTAGGAAACAGTAAGAATAAAAGCAATTTAGTTTGTTCTTTAAATTGAACTTTTAATATTTTATATATTTAAGATCATATTTGTTGATCCATGACAAGCCTGAGTGGAAAAATCTGTACTAATCAGGCTGATGTACAAACACAAAAACACACTCAGCTAAATATGACTTAGCATTACAGCATTAAAAATCGTTGAGATGCCAGACTCAGACTGAGCAGGAGTATTCTGATTATTATATTTGGCAGTGATTGAACACACTTACTGTCCGTGTTGTCTGTAGTATGCTAACTGTAGAGCCAGCTGGACAAACGTGTCAGGGTGAAGCTTTCTCTTCTTAATGGCAGTCTTTCCAAACGAGGTGAAGGCGTAGCTGACAACCTGCAGGTCCTGACACTGAAAATACAGAGCGCTGAGATGAATCACTCATGATGATTAACCAAAAAACAATCCCTTTTATTTTATTATTATTATTTTTTTAGCAGAAGTTTAAGTCTCTCACAGTGAGAAAAGAGCTGATGCTGGAACACATATTGTTCGAAAATTAAAGTGACCTTGGATAGAAGTAAAGGAGACCTCTACAACAAAATTAGACCCCTTTAAATAGATTTAAAGAATTTAATGAATTTTGGGACTTTTCCATGTGCGCGTCAATAGATAGTTCATACTTTGATGCAACTGTCTGTGTGTGTGTGCTAATTACACTTTTGTTGTACTGTTCTTTAGCCAGAGCGATGTCTCTCCTCACTCGCTCATCTACAGTGAATATCAGCTCCTCCGGCACAGGCATCTCACGCACAACCTCCGAACCCTACATGTCAAACAATAATTACACCATACACACTCAAGCATGTAAAATAACTAGGACAAACATAAATACAAGCACTCTTACCTTCCACACTCCACCACAGGCCTTCAGTTTCTGATCTACGTAGTATCCATTCGACACCAAAACCATGGCATCATATGGCGCATGCTTTAAAACAAACACAATCATGGAATAAAACTGCCATTATCATCAAGTTATATATATATATATATATATATATATATATATATATATATATATATATATATATATATATATATATATATATATATTCATTTCACGAAGAGAAAGCAATAATTTGAGAACTTGTAACATTAGAGCTTCATTCTGACAAGAACATAACCTTGAAGTGTTTTCTGAACAAATTTACCAAAAAATATATATATATTTTGACCCTCACCATTTACTTAAAAACACAGTAATAGTGTAAAATAAAGTAAAGTATACTAAATCAGTTATGTAAAATGTATTTTAAATCTAATTTATATTTTGAAGCCATTTTTATTATTTCTATATTTCAACTGCTTACTTTTATTTCATATCTTTAATGTTGAACAAATAAGTTGTGATAAAGTTGTCACACAAGACAATTGTAAGATATTTGTGAATAAGACATTTAATAAGTTGTGATATTTTTGTAGATCCTGTAATCAGGATTGTTTGGTCCCACTTTATATTAAGTGTCCTTAACTACTATGTGATGATGATGATGATTAGTCAATCAGTCGACACCAACTTTCAGCCACTTTAAGGATCATGATTTGCCAAGCTTTCCTATTTCTGACTGCTTCTTTCAGTTGTTCAATGTTCAAGTTCAAGTCCGTCTTGATTGTGTGCAGCCATCTTGTTCTCTGACACCCTCTTCTTCTTGATCCACTGACTGCACTGAGCATTAAAGCTGTTTCCATGGAGTTGGCTCGCATGATATGACCAAAAAACGAGAGCCGTTGCTTGGTGAAATCACACTGAACTGAGCTAAACTGAACTGAACTGAACTTAAACACTAAAACCTGAACCACACTGTTCCAGTTACTGAACCACACTGTTCCAGTTACTATGACCATTTATGTGAAGCTGCTTTGACACAATCTACATTGTAAAAGCGCTATACAAATAAAGCTGAATTGAATTGAATTGAATTTTGCCCTCTAGAGATACATTTTGTTTGACACGCTGCAGGATTGTTTTGTTTGTGATCCTCGCCGTCCATGGTATGCGCATCATCAACTACTATGTACTTACATCAAAAAAAAAAATATACAATGTACTTACTCTGATTATAATGTATTTGAGAACACCTGTGGTGCTCTTGAGTTGGGATAGAGGTTGGGTTATGGACAGGTTTGGTGGCATGGGTAGGTTTAAGGGTGGGTTAAGGTGTAAGGGATGGTCAACAGTGTATTTACAAATGTAATTACAAAAGTTAATTACAGATGTAATTACATACATGTATTTAATCAAGCATAAGTACACAGCAAATACATGTATTTTACAATAAGTACATTGTAACAAACTATTAATTTCTGTGTAAGTACATATTAGTTAAGGCCACTTAATATAAAGTGGGAGTGATTCTTTTATAAACAGAAACCTTAAAAATTATGTATTTGAAACACAAACTTCTGTACTAATGTAAAGAACAGCCCTATCACTTTTTATTCTAATTAAAGTGTTTTTTCAGAGTAAAACATACATTTTTTAATTAAATTGCACTACGCTTGAAAGTAGAAGTGGATATAAAATATAAATGTATTATAATAACGATGCAATAATCAATGACAGCTTTTACATCACAGTTGGAGCTGAAGATCCCATTTGAGTAGCAAACGAGGTTGTAAGATTTGTCTCCCCAGCGGTTTGTGGGGTCACCAGTCAACGCCAGATCAGTCAACTACAACAAGAGAGAGTGATTGTCATGAAGGGAATCAGATTAAGAAACTTAATATCATGCAACTAGAATGAATGGTGTTAAACCTGTGTGTAGTTGTCTGGTGTGGCATAAGGTTTGGCATCATCCAGGCCGACCACAAATAAAGCACTCTGAATGGTCTCCAGTATGGTCTTATTCACAGGATCAATGGAGATCAGATATTCCCGAGCCTGAAGTGACAAGAGAGGTGAAAAATCTCATTATAATAAGCCTACATTATACTTTAGCTATATTATATGGATGATTTACTCAAAAATATCAATTCTGCTCCTCTATTTGATACAAACATGTTTGAGTTTTTCTCTTCTGTTGACCACTAAAAGGACAGCACTACACAGTTTTCCATACAGATCAAATGTGGATCATCATAACCTGCGTCCAGTCCTAGCTAACTTCCAGAAAGGGGAGGTAACCAATAACTTTACAGATAACAAGTAAACCAAGTTCCACCCAAACCAAAAAGTTTCGTGCGAGCAGAGAGAAGAGCCAGTGAATGAGCGGATTTCCTTATTTTAGGGCAAGGGGAAGTTTAAAAAGGCTGAGCAATAGTATACTGTTTTCAAACAGGTTTGCAAGACTCTTTGAAACCCTAAACAGACCCCCTAGTTCTTCGCAATTCCGCTATCATTGAATCCAACGCAAAATCAACAAAAAAGTCGATCATTTTTGTGATCCTGCAAAATGTTTAACTCAAACGCAAAATAATCGCAAAACATTTTATTAATCTCAGAAAACATCCGATTCCAAACCATATAGTCTAATAATATTTATTTAAGTTTGCAATTAATAGTTTTACATAACTTATAGACGATGCATACAAAGCTCACGTGATGTATGTGAGTGTCTTTCGAAAAATGACATCTCACTTGCGCTTACATTACATTAGAGCGGAGGGACATGTTTTGCAGCCTGTGCAGTAGGCAGACGCGCATGAAGTGCAAGTGATTTACATGTGAAGTCAATGCAAAGATGCGATAAGACATCCTGTGGTGCAAATTGGCCGTTTTGTGCGTTTGATGAGCTTCACTGCAAAAGAAAGTTGGAACAAACATCTAACAAACAGAGCAATGTAATATTATGATGTGCGTAAAATCGATAAATGTTTTCGTTTGACTCTTTCCCTGCAGTTAACAAGAGAAAACGCTTCCCTGCCACTGACGAGTTTTACGGCAATAAGTGTTTTAGGTGTATTATGGTAGAGGAAGCCCTAACACGTGTCATGAGCGAGGTAACGTTACATGATGTCAGATTCTCTAGAGTGAAATCTAAGAAAAAGTAAGATTGTAGATAAAAATAAAAGTTATACAAACTTTCTTTGGTTTAATCCCTACCATTTTAGATCTGCATTAAATCTTGTCTTGACAATAGACCAAAATAAAGAAACTCTATTTTTTTTGCCTAAACACAAACAGCATTGGCAGCTGTGAGAGAAGAATAGTTTTGTAAACAGTTTGTCATGGCAATAGTAGGTAAGTAAAGGTTTATTTAGATAGCATCTTTCCCAGACATTGAGTCACAAAGTGCTTTACATTAAGAGAAAACAAATAAAATATGTAAATCATATTAAAACTAGTTAAAATCCAAATACAGAAACACTTCTACTGTTAATTTAAAGCTTGACCCAGAAGATTTGTCTTTAAATGCTTTTCAAAAAGTTCAACTGATCCCAGAGTTCCCCTTCGGTTGGGGAACTTCAGTGCCATGAATGGGAGGATTCGGATCAGAAGCCGCTTATCTGGAGAGTATTGAACGGGCCAATGAATGAAATTAATTGGCAGCGTAAGCTTGCGCAGGTGTGCGACATCTGCAATTATCTCAGCATATAAGCACACCTGAAGCCAGCAGACGCCATCCTTTTCGCTTCAGATCCTTTCTGAGTGAGTCGATGAGGGTTCCTCTTGCTGATCAGCACTTCAGAGCGAACGAGTGTGTCTCCCGGTCCAGAGTGGGTCTTCGCGGTGGCAGACGGTCGAGCTGGGTTACTCCCTTGCCTGCGGTTCTTTGGGTCCGGTCCTCCAGAGCGGTGCGTATAGTTGCAACTTTCCTAAAAGAGCAACACAGTCGTGCAGCACGTCCTTTTCAGGATGGCGCTCCGACTGTGCGTTTCTGGATGCGGGGGTTTCCTGTCTCCGGATGATGGACACGATCACTGCATTGCATGTTTGGGGGTCCAGCATGTTAATGCGGTGCTCGCGGGCGGTTCATGTCGTCATTGCGATGCCATGACCGTTGCACAGCTAAGATCGCGGCTAACTTTCGCAAGAGAGCGAGCCACCCCAGTTGCCTCCTGTTCTAAAAAAGCAGCGGGCGCTCGGGCAGATCTGAGGGTTTCAGCGGGAGCTAATCCGCCGCCCACGGGCTCGCGGACCTCTCGCTCCTCACGGCGCTCCATCCAAGCTTCGGGTGGTGAGTGTGATCCGTCTAACCAGATGGTAGCTCTCACACTCGCTGACACCGGAGATCAGATGTCCTCCGCGGCATCGGAGGGTGGGCTTTCACTGTCCGACGAAGATCCGGACCCGCTCGCCCCCTCCGGGCAGGTGAGCGCTGTCAAATCGGATCCTGAAGCGGACATGTTAGCCGTGCTTTCCCGGGCTGCTTCGGCCGTGGGGTTGGAGATGGTTTATCCCCCAGCTCCGCGGCCGAACCGACTAGATGGGTGCTACGTAGAGGACCAGAAGGCGAAGCCTTCGAAGCCTCTCGTCCCCTTCTTCCCGGAAGTGCACAGTAGGCTCACGCAGTCCTGGAGGGCACCTTTCTCTGCCCGTGCTGCGAGTGCCTCCGCCCTCACCGCCCTTGACGGCGGAGCTGCCAGGGGGTATGAGGCGATCCCGTCAGTGGAGCGCGCTATCGCGGTCAATCTTTGTCCGCGCGGCGCCTCTACGTGGCGGGGTTTGCCCCGCCTCCCGTCCAAAGCCTGTAGGTTGTCTGCCTCCCTCGGAGCCAGAGCTTATAAGGCTGCGGGCCAGGCTGCTTCTGCTTTGCACGCGATGGCCACCTACCAGCGCTACCAAGCGCAGGCGCTGGCCGAGCTGCACGAGGGCGGGTCCAACCCAAGCTTATTACATGAGCTGCGCACCGCGACCGACTATGCTCTTCGGACTACTAAGTCTGCCGCGTGTGCGCTGGGGAGGACGATGTCCACACTTGTGGTTCAGGAACGCCACCTCTGGCTAAACCTGGCCGATATGCGCGACGTTGACAAAGTTCGCTTTCTTGACTCGCCCATATCCCAGGCTGGCCTGTTCGGCGACACCGTCGCTGAATTCACCCAGGAATTCAAGGCGGTGAAAGAGCAGTCGGATGCGATGGGCAATGTCATCTATCGGCGTGGCCGTAAGCCCGCTCCGCCCGCCGAGCCATCCACCTCCGCTGTTCCTCGCCGAGGGCGCCCGCCAACGAGTGCTGCCCCGCCCCCGCCTGCGCCTCCGGCCAAGCGGGCGCGGCGTTCACCTCGAAAGCAGGCAGCCCCTCCTGCCCAGGGCGCCGTTAAGTCCGGTAAACGGACCGCGAAGCGTCCCTGAGACAGGCCATCCGGAGAAGAGGAAACTTGCTCTTTCCCCGCTGGAGGGCGGGGCCCCGATAACAACGGTACTTTTCAGTGCCACCAAAACATCAGTAAAAGAGCACTTTTTCCCTTCCCCGGATGTGACTGCACGAGTTCTGCCAGTCCGGGACGCGCTGCCTTCCGGCTCGCAGACTCTACGTGCTTCGCCAGTGGCTCACGAGCGCTGGGGGGACGGTCTCCCTTCCCTCAGCCCTCCAGCCCCCTCTCCGGAGTCAGGGTGCGGAGCCAGAGCGAATCGCTCTCCTCCAGCTTTTCCGCGGGACCCTCGTGCTTCCCGGAATAGCACACCCACTCCGCGCTGCCCCACCGCTGGTACGTCAGCGATTGTAGCGATGACTCCATTAGCGAGGGCTCTGCCTGCCTGGTTAGCGCGGGCCAGCCCCTCGCGGTGGCTCATACGCACAATCAGACTCGGTTACGCGATTCAGTTCGCGAAACGGCCCCCCAAGTTTACGGGCGTGTATTTCTCCAGGGTCAACCCCCTGTCCGCCCCTGTCTTGCGAGAGGAGATTGCTGCCCTCCTGGCGAAGGGTGCAATCGAGCCGGTTCCTCCAGCCGAGATGGAGAGTGGGTTTTACAGCCCATACTTCATCGTACCCAAAAAGAGCGGTGGGTCACGGCCAATCCTAGATCTGCGCGTTTTGAACCGCTGTCTGCACAAGCTGCCGTTCAGAATGCTCACGCAGAGGCGCATTCTCCAATGCGTTCGTCCTCGGGATTGGTTTGCAGCCATAGACCTGAAGGACGCGTATTTCCATGTCTCCATTCTTCCACGCCACCGCCAATTTCTGCGGTTTGCGTTCGAGGGTCGAGCGTGGCAGTACAAGGTCCTCCCCTTCGGGCTCTCTCTGTCTCCGCGGGTCTTCACCAAACTCGCGGAGGGTGCCCTAGCGCCCCTTCGGCTCGCGGGCATTCGCATACTCAGTTATCTCGACGACTGGCTGATTTTAGCCCACTCGCGGGAGCAATTGATTATGCACAGGGACGAGGTGCTTCGGCATCTCCGCCTACTGGGGCTTCAGGTCAACCGAGAAAAGAGCAAACTCGCCCCCGTGCAGAGGATTTCTTTTCTCGGGATGGAGCTGGACTAGATCACCATGGTAGCGCACCTCTCCGAGGAACGCGCTCGCCTGTTGCTGAACTGTCTGAGGGAGCTCGACAGCAAACTAGTGGTCCCACTGAAGTTCTTTCAGAGGCTCCTGGGGCATATGGCATCCGCAGCCGCCGTCACACCGCTCGGGTTGCTCCATATGAGACCACTTCAGCACTGGCTTCACGATCGGGTCCCCAGACGCGCATGGCACGCGGGCACACACCGGGTCTCGGTTACTGCGCTGTGTCGCCGCGCCCTCAGCCCTTGGAACGACCCCTCGTTCCTACAGGCCGGTGTGCCTCTAGGACAGGCGTCCAGCCATGTTGTTGTTTCAACAGACGCTTCCAACACGGGTTGGGGGGCCGTGTGTCGCGGGCATGCGGCTGCGGGCCTCTGGAAGGGTGCCCAGCTGCATTGGCATATCAATCGCCTAGAGCTGTTGGCAGTGTTCCTCGCTCTCCACCGCTTTTTACCGGTGCTGGAGCGGCAACACGTGCTGGTCAGGACGGACAGTACGGCGGCGGCGGCGTATATCAACCGCATGGGGGGTATGCGCTCTCGCCGCATGTCTCAGCTCGCCCGCCGTCTGCTCCTCTGGAGTCACCCGCGGCTGAAATCGCTGCGCGCCATTCACGTCCCAGGCACGCTCAATCGTGCAGCCGATGCGCTCTCACGACAGCTGTTACGCCCTGGAGAATGGAGACTCCACCCCGAGTCTGTTCAGCTGATATGGGCGCGATTCGGGGAGGCTCAGATCGATCTGGTTGCTTCCCCCGAGAACGCTCACTGCCAGTTGTTTTTTTCCCTGACCGAGGGCTCTCTCGGCACGGATGCACTGGCCCACAGCTGGCCTCGGGGCATGCGCAAGTATGCATTTCCCCCAGTGAGCCTGCTCGCGCAGTTTCTGTGCTAGGTCAGGGAGGACGAGGAACAGGTTCTGCTAGTTGCGCCCCTTTGGCCCAACCGGACCTGGATATCAGAGCTCTCACTCCTCGCGACGGCCCTCCCCTGGCGGATCCCTTTGAGAGAGGACCTACTCTCTCAGGGACAGGGCACCATCTGGCACCCTCGCCCCGATCTTTGGAACCTCCACGTGTGGTCCCTAGACGCGAGGAAGACTTAGGTAACCTACCGACTGCGGTGGTTAATACCATCACTCAGGCTAGAGCCCCCTCCACGAGGCGCGCCTACGCCCTGAAGTGGAGTCTATTCACTGAATGGTGCGTCTCTCGCAGAGAAGACCCCCGAAATTGCCAGATTAGTGTTGTGCTCTCTTTCCTTCAAGAGAAGTTGGACAGCAGGCTGTCGCCCTCCACTCTCAAGGTTACGTGGCCGCCATCTCCGCTTATCATAGCGCGGTAGCTGGCGGCACCGTGGGAAAGCATAACCTGGTCATCCAGTTCCTTAGGGGTGCTAGGCGAATTAATCCATCTCGCCCCCCTCTCATGCCCTCTTGGGATCTCGCCCTCGTTCTCACGAGTCTGCGATCCGATCCCTTTGAGCCACTCGAATCAGTATCTCTAAGATTTCTGTCCCTGAAGACAGCTCTGCTGGTTGCGTTGGCCTCCATCAAGAGGGTCGGGGACCTGGAGGCATTTTCGGTCAGTGACTCGTGCCTGGAATTCGGGCCGGATTACTCTCACGTTATCCTGAGACCCCACCCCGGTTATGTGCCCAAGGTTCCTACCACCCCCTTTAGAGATCAGGTAGTGAACCTGCAAGCGCTGCCCCCGGAGGAGGCAGACCCAGCCCTTTCTTTACTTTGTCCAGTTCGCGCTCTGCGCATTTATGTGGACCGTACTCAGAATTTTAGATCATCTGAGCAGCTCTTTGTCTGTTATGGCGGTCGGCAGCAGGGAAGTGCCGTATCGAAACAAAGATTATCCCACTGGATTGTGGATGCCATTTCACTCGCTTATTCGAGTCGAGGTCAGCCGTGTCCCCCGGGAGTACGTGCACACTCCACTCGGAGCGTTGCATCCTCTTGGGCGCGTGCACGCGGCGCCTCTCTAACAGACATCTGTAGAGCTGCGGGCTGGGCGACACCCAACACATTTGCAAGGTTTTACAATCTGCGAGTGGAGCCGGTTTCCTCAAGGGTATTAGGTAACCCTTTGGTGATTGAGGAGACAACTCGGTAGGGTGTTGAAACACGCTTGCTGCGCCATTCTCCCTAACACGGATGTACGTGCGCCTTTTTTATCTGTCAGTAAAGTTCCCCGTCAGGTGAGCCCTGCAGATTCCTCCGTGGCCCCCAGCACTGACTCAGCGGAGGAGTCACTTGCTGGCCCACTACGTTGTAGGTCTGCCCGCTGGTCAGCCCGCGTTTTGGGTATAGGTGCCTGCTATGCGTGATCCCCACTAGGCGATCCCATATGCTTATTCCGCCACGGTTAAGTCCCCCCCCTGGGCGGACCCGTGTCTTCCCTCTCCGCTAACCACTCTTTGCTATGCGTACTCCCCCTTTTTAGGGCTAGTCCATAGGTAAATTCTGCCATCTATCCCCCCCTTGGGTAACGGATGGCCTCCGCAGCGTCCTCCCTATCGGGATTGCACGCTTCCCAACGTACTGTCGTATTCCTAGAATTATCTAGATGCTCACGACTTCCCAAAAAATATATCTAAATCCGTAAAACTTCTGTTGAAGTAGGATAAATTAGGGCCAGGGACACGTTGGAGGACCGCGCCCCCCATGATGTGGGTGCGTCACGCTTGCTTGACTATCTCCTCATCGGGGGTGTTGGTAAGGTGCAGTCATTATGGCGCTTTCCATATTCTCCCATTCATGGCACTGAAGTTCCCCAACCGAAGGGGAACGTTTGAGGTTACAGAAGTAACCCTTCGTTCCCCGAGGAGGGGAACGGAAGTGCCATATTCCGTCGCCATAATGACTGTCCCTTAGCTGTTTGAAAGTCTCTTCAGCTTAAAAGGATGGCGTCTGCTGGCTTCAGGTGTGCTTATATGCTGAGATAATTGCAGATGTCGCACACCTGCGCAAGCTTACGCTGCCAATTAATTTCATTCATTGGCCCGTTCAATACTCTCCAGATAAGCGGCTTCTGATCCGAATCCTCCCATTCATGGCACTTCCGTTCCCCTCCTCGGGGAACGAAGGGTTACTTCTGTAACCTCAAACGTTCTCAGTGCTATAAGGAGAGAGTTCCAGAGCCGTGGGCCACCATTAAGAAGGTACGGTAACCTTTAGTCTTAAGACGAGTTCTGGAAATGGCTAAAAGGTCTTTGAAAGAAGACCTCAGAGACCGGCTACATGAGTGACTGAGTACAAGATCTTGAATATACAGGGGTGCTTGACCATGCAGAACTCCACATGTAATGACCAGAAAGTGCCTTAAGCACAGGAGTAATGTGTGACCTCTTATAGATGTTTGTTAAAAGCCTCGCCGCTGCAATCTTCACAACTTGCAATTGATCCATAGTATGTAGTATGTGTGTCAACTTAACAAAAACAGAAGAAATCGCACATGAAGGAAGGTGGACTTCCAGAACCAACAGACTGATTGTGTACTGTTGGTCACTGCAGACCAACAGTAGTTGAAAGGAGCCAAAAGAAACTCCCCCAAAAAGTTTGCTTTGGTCGCTGTTTTGAAGTGCCAAAACAAATTAAAAACAAATCTTGATCTAGAAATTTCTTTGAAATTACATCATCTTTGATTTTGTTTGAAGTACACCTCGATTTTAAGAAAGATATACTGCAGAATGTTGGAAATTATTATCATTCATTCATTTTCTTGTCGGCTTAGTCCCTTTATTAATCCGGGGTCGCCACAGCGGAATGAACCGCCAACTTATCCAGCAAGTTTTTACGCAGCGGATGCCCTTCCAGCCGCAACCCATCCCTGGGAAAAACTATTATCAAATTCTATGTATATTATTGGCAAAAAGGTTTGGAACTACTTAAGGGTTAGTACATTTCCATTTTTGGGTGAAATATCCTTTTAGGGTACCGTTGAGCAAGTTTTTAATTACTGCACCTGCCTGTAAAATGTCAGGTAGAGTTCTTTTGCATGCTTGACTGTGATTGGTTGTGTTGCTGTAACGGGTGTGGCTCTCACCTTTGCCCAGCGTGTTCTTTCCTCAGTGGTGAGCGCACTCACTCCATCCCCCTCCGGCTCTCCATCACAGCAGTTTTTAATGTACGTCAGCTGCCTAAAACACACAAGGCCCATGATTTATATATTCTGAGCTTTTTACAGATATTGTCAAAAAAACCAACCTGCTGAATCCCTGAAATGCTGGACTAGGGCTTCATGATAATGGACAAATATGATATTGCGATATTTTGTTTATTTGCAATACTGAATATTTTGCGATATGACCACATTTACACCGGATGCCTTGAATAGCTGTATATGGAAAGAACGAATTAATTTCTATTGATTCAATGATTCTGTAGGAGAGTGAATTATGCATGAATTATAATAAACAAATCACAAGCATAGATAAATACAGCAGAGCTTAAATAAAAGAGAAATAAACAGTGTTTAATGGTTTTCTAGCCATTCAAACAGTGCTCAGGTACAGAAATTGAATAATCAGATGTAAAATAACACTTTAGAGTCTCCATCATATAGATAATTAAATCAAGTTAAACTTTGTTGAACCACCAAACATAAAGACTTGTTGTGCACAAGTGATTTAAATAGTCTTGAAATGCTCACAGTGTCACAGGCCTTAAAAACACATGCAAGTGTAAACTTATGGTTAAACTCTGCACAAATCTCAGTGCTATGTACTCTAGTGCTATTTTGGGATTTCCGGCTGGATTTTACCTACTCAAATTTAAAAGCTTTCCAAATGCACATGCAGAGATGTAAATGCAAAAGATTGGTATCATTTTAAAGAAAACCCTTTTCATTTTCATAAAACACTATTAAAAAGTGTTTTAAATATCTGTATATGTTCTCTGTGTTATAATAAACACCTAAAAAAAAATTTTTTTATTATTTTTTTAAAACTCAAATTTGACACATGAAATTTGCACATGTCTGTAATCATAGGAAAATAGAAAAATGTCTCTACCATATTCTATGCAAAAGTTCCAACTGATGAGAGGTGCTATACAAGCCACATGGATCGATCATTGTTTTTATATTTCACTATTCTTTTGTTTGATCAAACATAATTCACTATGTTTGGACCACGTCAGACATATAAAAGGATTGCTTATGCACATCACCTCAAAAACAGAGGAGAATAGCCCTTAAGGGCACAGCATAAGGTAAGAGAAGACAGCTGTCTGTGCTATCTGGGGCTGCTTATTGATCATAAATGTATTGTTTTCACTTCTGTGCCATGGAAACACAGCGATTCATCCCACAACAGTTTGATATGTGGATATAATTCAGTAAAAAGAATGCTAGAACCGTATGAGCACCAGCAAGAGCTTTCATTTGAGCTATAACTTGTACATGTGTCATTAATGAACCATATGAAAAATATAAAAATGAACCAATGTTCTATACCCAGCTCAAGTATCCAAAATACTGTGTATTAAAGTGTAAATAACTTTTGTACAGTAAAATAAAAACCAAAGTGATGAATATGTGCGTAAAATATAGCTCCTACACTTTCAAACAAAACCATTTAAAGGGGTCTGGTGCAATGCTAGCCCTTTAAATCTGAAATTTAAATCCGAGGAGTTTAACTGGTTTTTAAACTCTAATGCAGACTCAACATTGTATGTCCTGCGATGTGACTATTTCAGATGCATACAATGAGATATGATATGTTACCCTTTTTGCCAGATAGCAATATCAAAAGTACTGACTTCAAAACTAATAGTTACTAAAAAAAAATGTTAAATGTTACAATACAAGCATTTCCCGCTTGCATTTAGAGCACTGTTGAGTTGATTCTTGAACTAAACTGATTGGTTATTGTGCAAGAGATGTTTCCATCTGTTGACAATGACAATGTATACAATACAAATTATACAATAGCTGATTCAGTAAAAACAAATGATAATGCTCACAGTATCACAGGCCTTAAAAACACATGCAAGTGTAAACTTATGGTGAAACTCTGCACAAATCTCTGTTAAACTCTAATGCAGACATAACATTACAGCTCATGCGATGTGACTATTGCAGATGCACACAATGCGATATCGATGCTGAAATGACATATTGTGCAGCCCTAGCTCAGATGCTTGGCACTGTACCTCAGCAGCTCTGGAGGAGTGAGGATTCGTCCATCACAGAGGGCATCGAATGTGAAAATCCTTCCACGGCACATCACTATCACATGAGACGGGCAGGGTCCTTCACTCTCTACAAAACACAGACAATAAAGCCACACACATGCGTGCTAGTAAATGTGTATATATGAACACTGAAGGGGCCTGACCTGTTTTAAAGAAGTTGAGGATGGTGTCTTTAGTGATGCCAGGAACTTTGCAGGTGCAGAAGAGCATGCGGAACTGATCCATGTCAAAGGGTATCGTTCCTGCTTTATGAATAGCCAACCTCTCCCTGATCAATAGCAGCAAACATAAATCAATAACCAAATTACTTCAATAAATAAAACACCACTGACAGAGACAGAAACAAGCCATTCACAACTGAAAATAAACAGAAATCAGACACTTTTATATAGCTCAAATGTAAACACTGATGTCTACTGTAGCGTTTAAATTAGTATAAATTATCTTTTGCAAATAACTTTTTTGAAGTTATGCCAGTAGGTGGTAACTTTTGACTATAAAGAAATGATTTTGTGGCTGAACCAAATATTGTAACATTTAGCCATTTTTATGGCAGTAGGTGGCAAAATGTGTCAAGGAATAAAAATGCTATGTTACCCTTTTTGCCAGATAGCAATATCAAAAGTACAGACTTCGAAACCAATAGTTACTTAAATTGTAAAAATGTAAAAATACAAGCATTTCCCGCTTGCATTTAGACTAGAGCTCTGATGAGTTGATTCTTGAATTAAACTGATTGGTCATTGTGCAAGTGATGTTGCCATCTACTGGCAATAGCAATGTATACAATACAATTTATACAATAGCTGATTCAGTAAAAACAAATGATTTGATGGTCAAATGTTGAACTTATTGGCATTAAGGATGTCAAGAGAACAGATTTCAGTTTCAATCTCTACTGAAATTGTAAAAACATCCATTTTCCATTAACATTTGAGCGCTGTGGAGCAGGGGTCCGTTCTTCGTACCTCGCTTAATTGATCTAAGATTATTTGGCAGATCCCGGATCTTTTAATCTTGATAACTGATGCTAATTTGGTTCTTCAAACGAGTTCGCAAATCAGATTAGAATGTCTGGATAAACTGATCTGAGATCGCTGCGTGTGCTGTGAAGGACAGATCTATTGATCCTCGAAATCATGATCAGCAATGCAACGATTGGCTGACGGCACAGCAGTGTAATGACATCATCTGATTAATATTCAATTATCCATGTGAGCAAAATTACATCAAATTAGCAGTAAATGGCTTGTTAATTATGATACGCAATAACCTTCCACATTTGTTGTGAGCTGCAGGCTTTACACTTTCATGTGTCAAGAGTATTTATCATGTATTTCAATGCAAATCAATGTATTTAGTTCCACATTTAGAAAATATTTTCTTTATTGTAGTAGCCGTTTTTTAACCGGTGTAAAGAATAACTGGTTGTTTAAAAAAAGCGTTTTCATATTGGTAAAGGCTTCTGCAACTTTTGTGAAGCATCAAATCACTGGCATATTAACTACGAAAACATGTTCATTACTGCATAAATGTATTATTGCTTTAGAAAAAAAAGTCACATATTGTGCATTTCTATTATACACAATTTGTACTAAAGCGATCTAAAAAGTTCATATCAATAAGTTTTCTCTTTGCACCAGATGGCAGTCTTTGTACCTTCATTTCGAGGGTGCAGATTGCATACGTTTTATTAATAAGTATAACTTTATTTATTTTATTAATGACTATAACTTTATATATATATATAGTTTAAAAATATGTACCATTTTCCCAAGTGTATATAACTACTACTGTAAGAAAATATCAGAATTCAGAACATACTTTCTGTATTATCTTTGCTTGAACTAAGCCGATCTAATCCTGTTTATATGAATTGAACCTGCTCCCGATCAGGTTTGACCTAGCAGAACTGTTGCTATGACAACAACTCTCAGATCAGCTTTGAAGAACGAAACGATCCTGGATCGTGTCAAATCGTCAATATCCAAATCCAGCTAACTGAGTAATCCACGTACGAAGAACGGACCCCAGGTTCTTAAACACCGCTGATAGGCCATTGTATTCATGTGCTAAACATATGTCACTGTAATTGGCTACCATAATCAGTCCTAGATGTTCTTCACCAAGTGATTACACAGATACACACTGGAGCATTTGAAAGTCATGTCTATCAGAGGATCTGTCAATGAGCGCATATATATATATATATATATATATATATATATATATATATATATGACAACATGACGGTTATAAACTTTCTTACTGAAGCACATGTTGTATCTTTACATTGTTCTGCTAGTAGGTTAAAAAATGTGACATCAAAAAGGTTTGTGCTATTAAATCAAATACTTTATAAATTGCGATCATTACAAAATTAGTCATTGAATCAAATAAAGATTGTATCTATTACATTATGCAAACAGGAAGCAACAGTTGTCTGTTAAATTGTTTTCTACTGAATCAAATATTCTATAAATTACATTGTAGTGCCAGTAGATGGCGACATGTGATAATCAAAAAATTTGTCTGAATCCATTTAAAACTGTGTCTTTTACATTAAGCCAGCACATGGCGACAGAAAGTAAATAATTTGTTTGCTATAGAGTGGAGGAACTATGACGTCACCTTGTAGGCTAATCGGCTGCTAGCATAAAACTGGTTCCCTCGATAAAATCCCTATAGGATTTCCCTATAGGCTTTTCGAAGATTGCGAATAATAAACTCTGTGTTCAAACACTGTTCATTTCACTTACACGTTTTGTCCAGCCAGACAATCCTCACACGAAAATACAACTTGGAGCACTTTTGGATCTTAAATGCAAACATAAGAACTGAAAAGCTAACATTAAACTATAAACAGACTACAGTGCCTTCGGGGTGCTTGCCTGTGACGTTAGCACCACCCTCCAACAGACAACTTTTCATCTTATTTTTAGAAATATGGTCCATGACAAAGAGTTAATCTCTCTGTTTATTATATTTCAATACACGCTATATATTATAAACAAATAAGTACGCAAAATCACAAAGACCTAAGTGCCGTTTGGATCGTTTTTACGTGGAAATACATTTTGTTTTGCTTTATGGTTGTTGTAAAAGTTTTAAAACTGTATGTATAATTGTGCCTACATAATATCATAAGACATTTTTAAATAGGTGCATCGCTCGCGTACACACAGCCTGCTTACCTTAGTAACAGATGGCAGAAATGAGGCGTGAGGAAGAAGTCTAAATGCATGCAAGTTCAATCACGGATAGAAAACAACATTCAATATTAATTTTATGTCACGAAGTAGAGTGAAAAGTAGCCCATAAAGTCACATTTACTATACATTTCATAGAGGAGTGTATACTGCAGTTTTGACAGAGTTAAATGTGTTCAGATGAAGAAAAAACCCTAACGAAAAATCTATTGATCACATTAAAAATAACAGTTTTATGTCTGTATTTCTTATATATTTATTCACACGTTTGCATTAGTGGGAGCAGGAAAGAGACAGACAGCACATGTAAGAGGTATCTTCATATTATTGTTTAATTTACAGCACATGTAAGAGGTATCTTCATATTATCGTTTAATTAACAGCACATGTAAGAGGTATCTTCATATTATCGTTTAATTAAAATAAATGATCAACAAATGAATCTGTCTTGACTGTTTTTACATGTGAAGGCATTATCTACACACAATATTAATTCCCAATTAGAAAAACACTACAAACTATAAAATACTATTCATGAATATACTTAAATCACAGACAACTGGAAAGGCGTTCCAGACCAGATCAGCTCGATGACATATAATGTCTCAGACACCGCCTGTAGTCCCATTTAACAACTTGATAGCAACCGTCTTTTTAAAGAAGCATAACCAATTTAAAAAATCAAGAGTGTGCTGTAACTGATGTGTTTTGTGTCGTAGAATAAAACATGAAATAGTCTTGAGTTTGTGTCAGTCAAAAAAACCTTATTTAAGCAATTTCACTAAAATCCAATTGAAAAAACTATTGACTTTGGGACGAGGGAACTGGAACTGCTAAAATGCTAACTCACTTCCGGGTTTTTGCATACAAATTGACGTCATAGTTCCTCCACTCTATTGAATTAAGCATTGTGTAAATTACATTGTAATACCAGTAGGTGGCGATGTGACCATAAACATAATTTGTTGCTAAATCATATATACTTTTGATTTGTCAATTCACAATTGCTGGAGAATCATTAAAAAGGGACTTATTTGCTTCTGCTTCTTCTTTATATTCATAAATAGCCACTTACGTGCGGATAAGATCCCAGTACTGGAAGGTGAGCCACAAAACCAAACTGGTCCTCTCAAGCTGTGTCCCTTCTTGTGGAGGCCAGCAGTGCTCCAGGTAAGCTGTGGGTCCCCCAAAATTCACATTGAGCTGAGAGGGGATGCGCACCTCTAGATACGCTGTGTCCAGCCACCATTCCTCTAGCTGAACAACAGTAAACACCAGGCTCAGTACATGTCATTTTTTGAGTTATGTGTTCAATGCAGCAGAGGAAAACACCAGTGTCCTGTTACCCAGTTACGTTTGCTCTTGGCTCTCTGAAGAAGCTTCTGGTGCAGCTCTTGTCCAATGCCCTCCTCAAAGCGCTTAACAATGGCCACTGTGGCTCCAAACTCCTCCTCAGATGCAAAAGGTTTCACTGCAGTAACAATCATAATAACAACAAAAATAATACTTTCATTTAATAAAATATAATAAAAAACTTAAATAATTCTAAAGTGTATATAATAATTTGTCTAGCAGTAGTAATAATAATACTATTTACAGCTTATATTTCAATAACATTTTCATAGAAACATCAAACACTATAACAATAATAATAATAGTACATTTTAAAATGTTAATATAATTTGTATTTTAAAAATAATAATAATAGTAACAACAACAGTAATACTTTTTAAATTTGTATATAATTATTTTAACAATAATATTTTTTTGCAATGATTTTTATAAAAACGGCTACAATAATGACTACTACTACTGTACAGTCAGTTAATTACACTGATATTACATATAATCTTTTAGAAATTCTGAAACTAAACTCTAGTCATGCCAGTAATAACTATTTGTTTACTAAGTACTATTCACTTATTACACTAGTCTGCACTTTGATTAACAATCAGAAGCTCAACTTGTAAAATACACCAACAACACTGCAAAAACTCTCCAAAAACAGTCTCAAAAGTTAATTCTGGTCAAAATGCGTAACATGTCCAGCAGGAGTGTTTGAGGTAACCTCTCACCTGCATCCAAGTATTTGCTGAGGGTGTCGCGCAGCGCGGGCACGGGTAAAGGGGGAAGACTCCTCTGGTACTGAAATGTCCGTTCTGCGCTTGACTCAAAGACCTGATTATCCATGACTACTGCACTGATTCAGCTGCGAACAGAAAGAAAGACTCAGTGCCAGCATAACTGTTATATCACAAATGCACGTCTGTCAAAGCTGTTTGTTTACTCCCCCTAGAGACTTTTCTTGACGCAGCGACTTTTATTGCAGATTATTAAATGATTTTATTGCAATGCATGAATACATCGCTGAATACATTAGTCCAGCTGTCATAGAAGCAAATGCAAAAATACAAAACTAATCATAAACACATATGCAAGTAATGAGGAACAAGCATAATGTTCAAATAGACAATTGTCGAAGTGACAGACCTGAGAAAGTGACTGCAGTAGTTAATCCAGAAACTGAGAGGACTGTAAATCTGCTCGGGTAAAACTATTGAGAGTCTTTTGGATACTTTACTGACTAAACTCGATGTGTGCATTCAACTCCAGAAAGGGAATCGCTCCATTTACCTTTGCCCCATTTACTGTACGTGAAGTCAAAAACAATAACAATGGATCCACCATCATGGCCTCCTGCATGAGCGCATTTCAAAATACAAGTTCAGGGGTTCGACGTGTGCAGTAAGCGAATGAATGAACGAATGAATGAAAGTTTGTGTTCTATTCGTTTTTTTTTTCTGTAACAAAATAAAATTTATTTAGACTAACAATTGTAAACCACAACAATGAAATCAAAGAAAATCAAAGTTTTCATATATTTTCTGTTAATTATTTCCTCATTCTTTTTTATTCTTTTCTTGTTTAAACTTAGTTCTTACATTAAATTACGTGCAAAAGAAGATGTATATATTTGTTTGTATATTGAGCAGGGTAGCCTATAAACCCATTTAAATGTAAGATTTAATTTTGATATTATGCCCTTCTGCAATTTTTTGTCTTTTCATAATACTTTTATATTTAATATATGCAAAGACTAAATCCTACAAAACATAAAGAGACTTATATATCTCACATCTCCCTGTTCTTGCAAAATCAATCTATATCTGTAATTACATTTAACATATACAAACATTTAAATGACTTACTTTAAAGAAACTATAAAGAAACTAAAAATCAATTCATGTAATTAAATTGTTGTATTAACGTATTGATTTACAACACATCAAAAAGGAAAACATGATGATAATATAAATTATGATTAAAGAAAATATGATCCTCTATTTGATTTAATGCATTGTAAACTTTTTTAAATATTATTTGTTGCTAAGTAAAATTTAAAATTAAAAAGATTTATGTCAGACATGTTTAATAATATAGTTCCTTTAAATGGCGTGGGTTTCCTCCAGGTGCACAGGTCCAAAGACATGCACTATAGATGAATTGGGTAAGCTAAAATTGTTTGTTGAGTTGAGTGTGTGAGTATGTTTGTGAATGAGTGTGTATGGATGTTTGGATGTGGATAAATTGGGGCTGCACGGTGGTGCAGTGGTTAGCACGTTTGCCTCACAGCAAGAAGGTTGCTGGTTCGAGCCTCAACTGAGTCAGTTGGCGTTTCTGTGTGGAAATTGCATGGAAATTGCAACCCCGTGTTGGCGTGGTTTCCTCCGGGTGCTAAATTATCCATTGTGTACGAATGTGAATGAATGTGTATGGATGTTTCCCAGTGATGGGTTGATGAGTTGGAAGGGCATCCACTGCGTAACATATATGCTGGATAAGTTGGCGGTTCATTCCGCTGTGGCAACTCCTGATTAATAAAGAGTCTGAGGCGAAAAGAAAAGGAATGAATGAATGAATGAATGAATGAGTGATCCCTTTAAATGCCACGCTCTGTATTCTTGGTTTGTATCTTATGGAACATACTATTGGAAAGACAACATTTTTGGATTTTGGTTTTCTTTAAGCTAAAAGGGCTATTGCATTATACTGCAAACACATGGATGCTCCAGCCATGGAGTTGTGGAAAAAAGAAATATTGAACTGTATTGGACTGGAGAGACTAACTTATATCATCAAAGGCAACCAATAGGACTTTGACTATCTTTGGTAACCATATATGAATATTATGTAAATTGTGTGTTTGTAAACGTGTTTTTATTGTATTATTGTTTCTGTTATCTTGTCATTATGTTTAAATTGATTATTTTTACTTTTTTCTTATATATTTTTTTTGTTTGTTACTAATTATGGTATTTGAATGTGTAAATATGTGTATGTAAATGTGTATATAAGAAGGGTGTGGATATGAGCTGTTTTGTAGGCTGCATTGTTGTTGTATGCATAGTTGATGCATATTTGGAATTTTTGGAACACATTTTTTTTTTTTTTGTAGTAATTTATGCTAAACTGTTTTCGTGTTTTGCTTTTTCCACTCATGTATAACATTTCACTAAGAAAAGTGCCAGTATGGTTTTTAACCATTTTTTGAGCACATAATAAAGAAGAGTATCTGTAAACAGATTTGACTAAATCTGAGTACATTTCTTCTAACTTTCTATTATGTAGATATCTAAGTTATGATAATTCAATTGTAAAAATAATGATTATAATAATAATAAATAAAAATAATACATCTACAATTACTATTATCATCATTTTTGTAATACAGTATGTTTGGCTTCAGACTTTGAAAATGTGTAACCGTCATATTTCCTCTCCTTTTTTAATAAACTGCATTGATGTGTAGGACAACACATTTTAAAAAGAGAGAAAGAAGTAAGATCTGATGTTCACTATTTTGTTGTATGTTGCTCTTAATCCTTCAATTAGAACAAAGAAAATATTTCTAAATGTTTATCATAGAAGAGGCGGAATTAAGTCACCCCAAAAATGAACCATCTACATACACAAAATACTTGCACCTTAACAACAAATTTACCTTAAATTGCAAACTTTTTTGTTGCAAATACACCTGTTTGATTGACTCTGATTTGACTATCTTTCCTGGGTGCTGACTTTCGCCTGATTTGGCAACCCTGTACGGCAGTGTGTTGGCAGGACCTCCACGTCTCTGCTTCTGCATGCTCTGACCCAGAGGGCTGTAGTGTTGACTACGCTTCAGTGAGCTCTCAGAGGACAAAGAACAGCTTTGTGTACAAGCCCACAATTACTGACCACTCAGACCAGTAATACTAATGAAGCAGTGCAGCAAAACTTCACAAAAATTAAACAAAGGAGACAACCTTAAAGTGATATTTGAGCTTTATTCAGTGACTCATTTTTTTAAATATAAAAAAAGCAAGATTACAGGCTTCCATCTTGAGGACTCACCTGACATATAATCAGGAAGTAGAACTACAAAACCAAGATTATTATCTTGTCATTTGTTCATCTATATTACATTAAGCCTATATAAAGTTTCGGTCGTGGGTAACACTTTACAATAAGGTTCATTATGCGTTTACTAACATGAACTAATCATGAAAAACACATGAACATGATATATATTAATCATAACTGAACATTTATTAATGCATTATTAACATCCAAGTCCATGCTTGTTAACATTAGTTAATGCACCATGAGTTAACATTAACTAACAATGAACTACTGTATTATCATTAAATAACGTTAACTAGCATGAACAAATACAGTAGTAAATGTATTGTTCATTGTTTGTTCATGTTAGTAAATGCATTAATTAACATTATTGTAAAGTGTGACCCCGTCGTGTTGTTTTCATGGTGAATGTTTACATCTATATACTCTTTACATCTAAATTTGCAGATGTTAGTTTGATTTTGCCCCCATCACTTTCCATACTTTTCGATGGCTTGCTTGGCCAGTGTAATGTAGGCTTTCATGGCATCTTCAGTTGACATACCTGATGGAGAAAGAGGTCATGAATCAAGCAGTCATCAGAAACATTAGAAGGAATACTCTCAGATAGTCTATTTATAGCTGAGTGCAAATCTCAGTTCAAATAATAAAGTCGAGATTTGATTACTGAGGAGACTGCAAAGGAAATACTGTTAATTCTGTGCAATTCAGAAGTGTGTAAAAGCAGAAAACACATAACCCACATAACCCACATAATCAGGTTAGGGACAATTTCTGTTCAAATAAATGGTTATACATCTGCTATTATAACAGATATTATATAATAATAAATATTTTTAACAGTGTTTATTCATTACCTTTCCTTGAATCCCATGCATCCCATTTGGCTTTCCCTTTCAAATCGATCATCCCAGGTTTATCTACACAAAGCAGAACATACACATTCAGAATTATTGGCAAGGCAAGGTTATATCACATTTAATACACAATGGTAATTTAAAGTGCTTTACATAAACAAGGACAAAAGAAACAAGAAAATAAAAACAACAAAAAATAAAACAGATTTAAAACAGATAAAAAACTGATTAAATGTGTTAAAACAAGTTTTAAAGCAATGAAAAGTGAAGAAAGACATCATATTATTAGATTCAAATGTCAAGCTCAGGAAGATGACGCTGGTGCTGTCCTGTCACATCTATGACTTAAAATGTTTTCTTTATTAATTCCTTTGCTTATCAGAATGCAGGAACATTTACTACATAAACACACAAAAATCATGCATTGAACAGGTTAAATGGTCCTGAAAAATAAATAAATAAATAAATAAAAAAATCAAAGACATTTTATGTTCAACTTTATAAATGTGCACATTAGAAATGATTTGGAAACTAAATTAAACAAAATTTATAATTAAATTAATAAAATAATTAAAAATAATCAATAATTTGCAACTGGAAACCCACTTACACATTGACATAAATTATTATTATTATTTATTGTACTTTGTTGTACAACAAAAGTACAACATTGTTGTATATGTTTTTTTACAATATTTTAAAATAATATTCTTGTGTATTTTTCATAACAATAAACTTATAAATGGAGTAAATAAATAATTATTGGAGATAAACTACTACATAAATATAGTTTTCTGTGTGTGTGTGTGTGTGTGTGTGTGTGTGTGTGTGTGTGTGTGTGTGTGTGTAGAAATGGAACAACAGCAAAATATGAGACCTCTTAAAAATTCTCAGTTTATCTGCAACTGATGGTTTAATTTAAAATATTTGGATTTATATAATATGGATTTAAAAACAAAACCAAACAAATCAAATTAATCGGTTCCTACCAATATTAATATCCCCAACAACAGCTTGTTTGTAGAGGCCGTACAAATCCAGCAGCTCCTGGTCTGTAGGTCTGGTCTTGACTTTCTTCACATCCTCTGCATATTGATCGAATTCTGCCTGTAGCCACAAACATCATGACTTCAGCGTTAATTCTCATAATGCTTATCTGCTGGTAACAACTGCAAAAAGCTTGGTAGGTCTGACCCATTTTGCCCCACTAAGCACTTCCTTAATCACTTTGCATCGTGTATTATTCGCGCACTGTATGAAGCCTTTTGTTTTATTGCCACAATGAACTAATAGTTGCATGTTGCCAACATTGTGCCCTTTGTACCATTATAAACCTACAAGCTATGGGTTGCCATGTTGAGGGCCAACTCCACAAGACTCTAATACAAAACGAACAATTTGTGTATAAGATACGCATAGCGCAACTTCATACTAAAGCAAAGATGAGCGACGAATGACGTAACTCACTGACGAGTGCACATCCAGAAGCTGCAGATAAAAAATCTACGTGTGCAATACAAATGCTAAAAGCGTATTCATATAAATATAGCATAGCCTTGTGCATATGCAGCAGAATATGATACAGCATTATAATAATACACCGCGTCATCTTTAAAATCCTACTTATATTTATCCAGCGGTTGGACTTTAAAGAATATCCAAATAGTTTGGATTCATGATTCGTATCTCAATATGTGCAATGGATGTGATATTATAGGAAAGAGCAGTTATGTACCTTTAAAGTCATTTTCTTAGGCGAGTGTTGAGCGGCTGTGATGTCGGCTTGAGCGTAGCGTAGATGCACTGATGAATCGAGTTTACGGTGACACCGCTGTGGGAGAGAGGAGCTGAGCGCTGATTGGCTGATGGAACATCCGATGGTGAGACCCGCAGATTGTTCATCATTTTTAGGGTGAACGCATTTATTACTCATTCGCTTGCACGAACAGCAGGTTTGCGTAACATGACAAATAAAATTATGCATTCAAATGGATTCGAATTAGAATATATTTAAATATTATTCTGAGTAAAAGCAACTGTGAAAATAACTATAGTAAAATCGTGTCAGGCAAAATTAGGAGAGGAATTATTTGATTACAAATTAGCCTCAAAAATGTAACAGCAAAAGTGCTATATAAATAAACATGAATTGGACTAAATAATATTGACTGTTTCATTTTTATAGCTATATATTTTTATATTTTACCTCTCTAGGTATAAAATAATTTTGAAAGTCTAATTTCAAATAAATTAAAATATAATAACATTTAATATGATCACTTATTCATTTAATATGATCACTATATGTATATATTTAGGAACAGTATAGAAAAAAATTACACTCAACATTTATTTTCACGTTTTTGTGGCATGATTTACAAAACAGTCACTTTATTTGTATTGCCTATGACTCATAATCATAAAAGGTAGATCATGCATTACTTTATGAAGTTATAATTTTCCAATTAGAACATTTGTTTCTGAATTAAATACTTCAATTTTAGATAAAAAAAAATACAATTTAAAAAACTCAAATATACACCAATGCTGTTAAAAAAATCCCTAGAAAAAAACAACGGCTCATTATTTTTACCATGATTTACAGGAGACACTAAAATGTTATTCAGACAGTCTATTTATTATAAAAAAATGTTGTTACAATTATTTTATGACATTAATTGTCTTATCAATTACAATTCATTTGATTTTTAAATGGTTATATTTACTATTATTCTTCAAACCTCTTGGAAATAGAGGAATAGCAAAATTGTAATCTTACATTTTTAAAAATAATTTTATGATCACTCATTCTTTTATATAATTACAGTCCAGAGTAAGTATGCTGTTTCATTTTTCATAATAATATCCATTATCCCAAATGAGAATAGAACATTTTCCCGTATTTCAACATTGATTTTAAAACAAGTTGATTTTAAAACTTTATTTGCATTCTGTTTTGTGAATTTAATATGATGCTGATATCAAAATGGGATGTCCTGCCTTTGACCCATAATCATAAAAAGAGAGATCATATATTCTTTGCTTTATGACCTTATTATTTAGGTTTAGAGGAGATACTAAAATGTCATTCAGATGGTGTAACCTCCTGTAAAAACAAATCTTGTCACAATTATTCAATGACATTTTAAGTCTAACAATAGTTTTATATATATATATATATATATATATATATATATATATATATATGTAATAAAACAAATATTGTTACAATTATATGATGACATTAAAGTCTGATTGTGGCTAATTGTGGATCATTAAGTGCATTTTTAAATGTCTAGATTTACCCATAATCCTTCAAACCTCTAAAAAGGAAAAACGAAATTCCATAAAGGAATAAAAACATGTAATCTTCAATAAAATATGATATTATTTGTTTTAACAGACTAGAATAATGCTGTTTAATTTTTCATAGTTATAAACATTATCCTAGATTACAACAGAAAATTAAACTACATTTCAACATTTATTTTCAAAGTTGTTTCGTAGCATTACCATGTAGTCACTTTATTTGCATTTTTTTTTTTGCAAACTAAATGATGCAGATACCAAAATGAAACATCTTGCCTTTGACTCATAATGATAAAAAGGTATACAGATCATATACTCTTTACTGCCTTTTTTTACTAGCTTATTATTTTCAATTTAGTCCAAACAATACATTTATCTCTTAATTAAGTGCTCATCAGTTTAAAACAAAGCAATCACTATCAATATTAATATTTATTAATCCTCACTAATATTATTATTAGTCACTGATTTCATGCTATCTATGAGCTGTTACGTTTATACGATTTTTAAATTGAAGGCTTGAAAAACATTAACAACAAATGTCATCAATAAAACAACAACAATCCAGGGGTTTTCAGTCATTTAGTCCAAGATAAGTTAAAAGTCCTTCATCAAAGTCTGTTCGTATTGCTTTTAAGTTTGTTGATCCCGCAATACACTCAAAATACATTTTCATTTCAATTTTGAATTTAGGAAAAAAAGGTTTACACTTACAAAACTTGCTCTTATAAATATGAAATTTGGCCAAAAAAATCAAGGTGTTTATAAGATTTATAAATGGTCTGGCCTGACTGTTTACGTTTATGACAAATTACAACCGAAAAGCTCTTTCGGAAACATTCACTAGATGGCAGTGTGTGCATTACAAACCCTGAACTATTAACCACAGAAGAAGACCTTCAATAACAACATGTCTGCACACACAACTTAGTACACGCTGTAGATGTTGAGCTGAGGAAATCTTCATTTCTGGCTAGTTAATTAGGTTTGTATATCATTTTTGCTGTGTCTTCTTGGTTGTTATGAATACTAAGTTGTTTATAGGCTACATGCCTCGTTGAGTTTAACGTGATTTGTAATGCTAGTTTTTGAACATTTCAAGCTTTCCAGCAATAATGTCGACCCCAGCGAAAGGAGCAACGAAGAAAGAAAAAAAGAAGCCGATACCAGTCAAAACATCCCTGAATAACCCGTACAACATTGGCTGGAGTGACCTCTTACAAAAACAACACAAACATTTAATACTTGACACTCTGAAAGAAAAATTATCCGCCACCGGGCTTCGGAAAGAGCGTGTCAGCCGGTTTCGCGATTGGGGAAGCAGAAGGAGGTCCAGAAAAAAGGCATCAAAACCCACCGAAGAGCAAAACCCAGCTTCTGAACCCGCAGAGAGCGTGCAAACCCCCGAGCCGGGCTGGACCAATCTGGCCCTGAGGAAACAGCTCGCCATCGGCATCAACGAGGTCACCAAGGGCCTAGAAAGGAACGAGCTGAGTTTGGTGCTCGTGTGTAACTCGGTCACCCCAGCTCACATGACGAGCCATTTAATCCCGCTGAGTAAAACCAGGTCGGTGCCCGCCTGCCAGGTACCCGGTTTGAGTGGAAGCCTGTCGGAGCTGCTCGGCCTCAAGTGCGTCCTGGCACTGGGCTTCAGACGCGGGTCCGAGGAGTTCGAGAATACGGTCCGCGCCATCACACCGATGGTCCCACAGCTCCCCGTGGCGTGGATTCAGACAGACTCAACACCAACAACCAAAGAAAAGCGCACAGAAATCGGACAGAAGAGGAAACTAGAAGAGCTGTCGAGTGATGCATCTCCTTTGGTTCTCCAGCCTCTAAAAGTAAAGAAAATCATTCCGAATCCAACGAAAATTAGGAAACCCAAACTGAAAAAACAGAAAAAAGTTGTTTAACCTGCATTCTATGAATGAAGAATGTGTAAACACGTTTATTATATTTATATTTTCAATAGTTTGTGATGATTTTGTGAGTGTATTTTACATTGTGATTGGTGGACTGTCATATTTGATGGTCTTTAAGAAAGCTGATCATTTAAAACTACACAATTTTGGCATTTGTAAAGACACCTTTTTTGAAATTTGGCAGATACTTTGGGTATTCTTACCACCAGAGTCGTTAAATTCATAAACCACTGAAGGGGGAAAGAAGTTTAATGTTAATGTTGAGTGAACCATTATAGGTTCACTTAACATTAAACTTCTTTCATTTTTTAAGACAGGGCTGTCCAAACTCTGGGCTGGTGTCCCGCATAGTTTAGCTCCCAACTTCCACACACCTGCCTGAAAGTTTCTAGTATACCTAAACCACTTGATAAGCTGGTTCAGGTATGTTTAACTGGGGTTGGAAATGAAGTATGCAGGACACCAACCCTCCAGGACCGAGTTTTGACACCCTTGTTAAGATAATTCTTCAGAATCTCAAAAAAAAAAAAAAAAAAGAAAGGCCTTTTTCTTAACTTCAATATTTGCTTAGGCTACTAAATACTTGGCTTGGACACACATTTTTATTAAGTATATGTGATGGTTATGAAAAATAAAAAGCCCCAACTGAGTAGCGTTTTACATTTTGGATGCTTTTATTCAGTCAAATATCCATGCTGGTATACCTTGATGTATATTATTTTTGACAATTAGATATTCGGGTGGACTGTCTTGTTTGACATGGTGCTGGTACTTGTTCCCATCAGTTCCATCCTGCAATGGAGTTCAATAAAAATACTGTCTTCAGAAAGAGAAAGCTGATCGTTTAAAACTACACAAGTTAAACGTTTAAAAAAAAACAACCTCTCTGAAATAAGGCAAGTACTTTAGGTGTTCTCACCATAACCCATAAATTCAAAAAACCATACAGCTCGAGGGGGGAAAAGGATTCATGCTCAGTTCATTCAGCAAGCCTTAGAAAAAACATATGCAAACTGACATTCGCAAAAAAGTGCCCTTGATGACGTTATTGAACGAAACCACTGACTGAAATGTGCGACTTTGAGAGGAGTACCTTTCTTTTGAAGCCTGACTGGACGTGCGCTTATTTAAAAGCAAATTGTAGATTCAGAAACATTAAAGCAAACCATGAAAGCAAAACCAGCTTCTGCTGAAGAATAACGTTCACATTAACGTTCATTAAGCTTCATCAGTGATTGTAACTGAAACAGCAAGCAAGCTTTCCTGACCGCATCACCAAAAGCATTAGGAGAAACGCTTATATCAAAATGAAAACGCACATATGATTGTTCAGCTCTTCTTGTGCTTAAAAATAGCAAAACGATCAGGACCTGATCGAGAAAACGCACCAGTCAAATGAGGTTATGGTTCACTGCAAATACTGAGAGAGCAAAGAAAGTGGAGAATAAAATGTAACAAGTAACTTAAGCACAATTCTAAATATCAGAATTGTTTAGCTAAAATGATGATTTAGAAACACTAGATGGTAAAGAACAGAAACGAGTGGGGGAAAAGAAGCTAACAATCATGCCTTCATGAAAAAAGAAATGGAAATGAATTCACATTCAAAATTCGAAATGTTTCTTTTGGACACACAAACCCTAAAACAAAACATCATATTCTTACAAATGCACCTCAGAGCAGTCCGGCCCTTTTATAAACAAGTTGATGTTGTGCTTCAAAACGCAATACATTCCTCCACACGTGTAACCATTTACTCGCTCCGCAAACAGACAGAAACTCAGAATGCTGTATGAATTCAAAGGCAGCTCCATACAAAAGACTTTGGATTTCGACCCATGTTCCTGTTCCGTTGTAAACCTCACAATACGTAATAAATATCTGGCATTAAATGTACAGCTTGCTAATTCACACAAATGTATCAACACTCCTTCATAGTACAAAACAAATGAACAAAAAGACAAAAACCATGGGAATAAACATGTTCTGAGAGAGGAGACAGATTGCATGTTGAGGAAAATAAACACTACGGTTGTGTATGTGTGTGTATCTGCATGTGTGTGTATGTATGTGCAGCTTGTAGATGTGTTTGACCTTGATAAATGTTTCTCACATTCTCAGAAAGAGAGTCAAAGACAAAGAGAAAGGAGGGAAAGCCCTCAGGAACTGGAACAAGACCTAAGAGAGCTGCACAACAGAACTCATTCACTTTGAATGGATGTCAGTTTTTCCTCTTTATATCGATTACGTCCAAGTCTGAGAATTCAAGGTGGACCTCTGAAATCAGTCGGCATCCAACAAGCAGCAGCCAGTTACTGTAAAACAAGGCCAACCTGCGGAGCATGGAGAAGAGAGTTAAAACACACTCCTATGATACTGATTTTGTATGGCATTTGTATGGCATAACCTACTCACTGGCCACTTTATTAGGTACACCTGTCCAATTGCTCTTGTAACGCAAATTTCTTATGAGCCAATCACATGGCAGCAACTTGATGCATTTAGGCATATAGACATGGTCAAGACGATCTGCTGCAGTTTAAACTGAGCATCAGAATAGGGAAGAAAGGGCTGGTCTAAGTATTTTAGAAACTGCTGATCTCCTGGGATTTTCACGCACAACCATCTCTAGGGTTTAAAGAGAATGGTCCAAAGAAGAGAAAACATCCAGTGAGCTGCAATTCTGTGGGCGCAAATGCCTTGTTGATGTCAGAGGTGAGAGGAGAATGAAGAAATTGCAGATTGAAAAAACATTGCCTGGTCTGAGGTGTCTCGATTTCTGCTGAGATATTCAGATGACAGGGTCAGAATTTGGCGTCAACAACATGAAAGCATAGATCCCTCCTGCCTTGTATCAACGGTTCAGGCTGGTGGTGATGATGTGATGGTGTGGGGGATATTTTCTTGGCACACTTTGGGCCTGTTAGTACCAATTGAGCATTGTGTCAATGCCACAGACTACCTGAGTATTGTTGGTGCCCTGTCCATCCCTATACGACCAGTGTACCCAGCTTCTAATGGCTACTTTTAGCAATATAAGGCATTATGTCATAAAGCGCGACTTGTCTCAGACTGGTTTCTTGAACCTGACAATGAGTTGACAGTACTAAAATGGCCTCCACAGTCACCAGAACTTAATCCAATAGAGCACCTTTGGGATGTGGTGGAACAGGAGATTCACATCATGGATGTGCAGCCGACAAACCTGCAGTAACTGCGCGATGCTAATATGTCATTATGGACCAAGACGAATATTTCCAGTACCTTGTTGAATCCACTCTACAAAGAATTAAGGCAGTTCCTAAGGCAAAAATGATCTAGCCCGGTACAAGTAAGGTGTACCTAATAAAGTGACCTGTGTATATTTGAACAGAGCAAAATCCTATTAAAACAATTACTTGTTTACTAATGTAAACAACTGTACATTTAGAGGAAATGTTATAAAATGTTACTGGTTTTTGATGTTGATTAAACATTACAGCATATCAATGAAACAAAAAGTACAAGAATGTTTTTGTTGTCATAAGCAATACTGCTGTGATGTTTATCTTTTATGATAATGTCTAATTATGTGAACTATCAGAAAGCTGACATTGTTATTCACATCAAAAAGGTTTTAGATAAAGCATAGTAAATCAGTTAAAAGGACTACAATTCAAGTTCCTAAAGCAAAAAAAATCAACCCGTAATTGCCTTTTTCTCCTAAGTTTCATAATGTAAGCAAATTAATTTAATACAATAGTTCAGCAAACAAGATGTCATTGACTTTTAGACACTTAGTTTAGACCCAATATTGTCTATTTTTAAAAACATTTGCTTCTATGAATCGACTGATATGTACAAATATTCTAAGACAGATGCTACTGGTGATTTTAGTTCCACTTTCATTAATTCATGACGGGACTAAACCAGTCATACCTGTATAAAGAGGGTTAAGTATCAAAGCTAGCATTTAAAAAAATAAACTAAAAACCTAAAGAATCTTACTTTCTCTGGGTCCATGGGAGGGCATTTCCAGTTGTACAGGTAATACTGCAGGTTACCATCGCCAATTCCAAACTTGAGCTTTTCCAAGAAATTCTTATTGTCCATTAGATCCAGCGCATTAAAAACATCAAAACCTTTCTGTCGTCCCAAAACAGCACACAAAAAAGTGGAAACAGGAATTAGAACAGGCTCGGTCAAATATAAACATGAATGTGTATGATGCTTCTGGTATCTTTATGCATATTGGCCTGTCTGAAAATACTCTGCTATGCTGCTTGATACTGCAAATTGCAATTACATTAATTATTAACAACATATTATTATTTTCATTACTTATAATTAATTGCTTTTTGAAGGTTGAAATAGCTTAATTATGCTTCTGGTGAATTACCTATAACAACTAATACATTAGAAGTCTTGCACATTCATGTTAGGGAAAGGTGGACATGAAGACAACTTTACAAAAAACATTAGAAATCATCCATCAAGAACACAATCGAATGACTGTTAAAACAATTACTCTGTTAAGTCCAATGTACAGTATATTGATTTTTTTAGGCATAAGTTAGCTTACACGTTACCCTTCAAAGTACACTATGTGACGGTGTGCACAAACACAAGAATATGTCTGCACTCTTTTAAATGAGAGATCTTTTAATACTCTCACACAACATGGCCATCTATTGCTTTTGCATTCTTCAGCAGCAGTTTGTTGTTCATGTGTCATTAAATTTTGGACTTGTTCAGTGATGACACTTTGTGGACAAAGTCATGCAAATACAATTCAAAGCTCTTATAGGAGCTGTGTAGACACTGTACACACATTTCAAGTCCAATTTTTATAACCAGGCATGCAGTGTAGCCACTTTTCCACCATCATGCTACACGGTGCTAAAAACAGCCAGGAAGGTTCCAGTTTTATTTACATGTGTGCCTGTTATGGTGCAGCACTATTAAAACCCTTGAGGGAGTTAAGGGGGTCAAACACCAGACATGCTACAACACATTGTGATATCTTTTTTAGAATTGTTAACGCGTATGTGCATCAGCACCACCATTTGGCATCTGTTTGCATTGGTTAACAACCTACAGACAACTAAGTAAAGTCCATGTGCAACCCGCTATAGACAACCATGCCGAGCCATGCTGAAAGAGCGCGTGACATCACCTCTCTGTTTCTTGACTGTAAGCGTCTCCATATTCAGCAGAAGTGAGCTAGCTAGCTACTTATTTTTTTGTTTTGTTTGTTATTTAAGAAAGTAAATATCAGAAAAAGCATCATGTAATACACTTGTGTTACCAAGGCAACGATTGACACATTTGTATTACATTCCAAAGAGCTCTATTATCAGCACCACAGTGGAAAATAAAGCCTTATCCATGATGACTGACCCAGATGAACACAGAATGGAACAGTTTAGAAAACAGAATCATTTAGCCCAATAGTGGACATGTAGCTTATGTGTTTACTATGCTGATAAATTATGCTATGCTGTCAATTTTAATGCATTCATACCCTAGTATACGAATGAAAAGCTAAATGTACTTCTAGATGCACTGATCTGACATGTTTTGTTGTGTTATGATCATACCAGTTTGGCTAAGATGAGAGCATCATTCATCAGGTCTATGAGCGGCGTCTCTGTATGGACATTGTAAAAGG